TACCCGCCTGTGCTGACGCCCACATGGGGCAATGAGGACCCGGAATTCTTCGACACCATGGTAAGGAGTTATGACGGGTGCCCACTTATGCTTGTAATTAATACCCACATGTGCTTATAATGAGTGAGCACCCGCCTGTGCTGACGCCCACGTGGGGCAACGAGGACCCCGACTTCTTCGACACCATGGTGAGAAGAATTGCAGCCAATAGTGGTCACACACATGTGCTCTAAGGGATAATACCTGCCCGTGCTGACGCCCACGTGGGGCAATGAGGACCCAGAGTTCTTCGACACCATGGTGAGGAGTACAGGCTTTATAATGAAATCTCCCCTGTGCTTATAGTGAATAAGTGCATGTGCTCTTATTGTGAAACTGCCCACATGAAGGCAGCTTCCAGCTCCACACACCCTCTCTCCTCGTTTCTGACGATCCCAGCATATCTTGTCGATTGACTCGCCAAGTAATCAACTTCTGAGACGTCTCAAAAGTCGTTTCTGACGATCCCAGCATATCTTGTAGATTGACTCGCCAAGGAATCCCGTCCCCCCATCACCCCTCACCCCCACACCTCTGTGTCTCACAGGAGTCCGAATTCCAGCCGCACACGCTCTCTCTCCTTGTCTCTGACACACCTGGCGTGCCTTTTGAGCTGATAAGAAAATATCCTCAAACCATTCCCCCTTCCACTCCCACATTTCTGTCCCACAGGAGGGCGGATTCCAGCCGCACACGCTCTCTCTCCTCGTTACCGACACTTCCGGCGTGCTGAATCACATCACGGGTGTCTTTGCCCGCCGCGGCTACAGCATCCAGGTGCGACCACTCCCTCGCTTCCCTTCCTCCCTTTCCCTCCTTTCCCAACTATCCCTCCTTTCCCACCACCCTTCCTGCCTTTCCCTCCCTTTCCCTTCCCTGCTCTCTCTCCTCGCCCCTGACACTGCTGGCGTCCTCAATCACATCACGGGTGTCTTTGCCCGCCGCGGCTACAGCATCCAGGTGCGCCTGCTGTCCATTTTCTACTCTCCACTCCCTTTCCTTCTGCCCGCTCGCTTCCCTCTTCCCTCCCCCTTCCCTTCTGCCCGCTCGCTTCCCTCTTCCGTCTCCCTTCCCTTCTGCCCCCTCGCGTCCCTCTGCCCTCTCCTTACCCTTTAGTTGTGACTCGCGCAACACAATGGTGGTGCCGGGGAACGGAGTGCAGGGTCCGCCCTATTGAGTGACTGGATCATAACCGAATTTCCTCTAATGGGTGTTACTTGTGAGAATTCTTGAAGGTAACACCAATATAGGTGGTGCCGGGGAACGGAGTGCAGTCCCCGCCCTCTCGATAGACTGTATCATAACCGAATTTCCTCTAATGTTTTCCCGTTTGTCTGGCAGAGACTTGCTGTGGGGCCGGCTGAGAAGCCGGGGGAGTCGAGAATCACGATGGTTTTGAGACGTCTCAAAACTAGATCACGATGGTGGTGCCGGGCACAGAGCAGTCCATTGATGACCTCTTGTTCTTTGGCCTCTCCAATTTCCGTTCCGCCCTATTGTCTGGCAGAGTCTGGCGGTGGGGCCGGCTGAGAAGCCAGGGGAGTCGCGGATCACGATGGTGGTGCCGGGGACAGAGCAGTCCATTGATGACCTCTTGTTCCTTGGCCTCTCCAATTTCCGTTCCGCCCTTTTGTCTGGCAGAGTCTAGCGGTGGGGCCAGCGGAGAAGCCAGGGGAGTCACGGATCACCATGGTGGTACCGGGGACAGAGCAGTCCATTGGCAAGCTGCTGAGGCAGATCCTGAAGCTCATTGAAGTCATCAGCGTGAGTGGCAAGCTGGCGTACACGCATGCATTGGCCAATACACAAGCATGGCGGTTGGGTGTTTACTCACTGATATCTGCTCAAGGGGAACAGAGCAGTCTATTGGCAAGCTGCTGCGGCAGATCCTGAAGCTCATTTAAGTCATCAGCGTGAGTGGCAAACCGGCATGTATGCATTTGTGAAGGCCACTGGGTGTTTGCTCACTGGTGGTGGTGCCGGGGATCAGCGTCAAACCTGTTTGAGTCGACTAGTTTCGTTTTAAGGCGCCTCAGAACTCGTCATAGTATATTTATACATATATATATGTATGTGTATATGTGTGTGTGTGTGTACGAGCTGATGCTCATCAAGGTGGCGGCAGGGAAGGGGAAGAGCCAACCATTTTCACCTTGGATTCTCTTATCCCTATTCCTGGCTCCCTATCTCTGTCCCTCTCAGGTGGAGGATCTGACCTACATCCCCTACGTGCAGCGGGAGCTGATGCTCATCAAGGTGGCGGCAGGGAGAGGGCAGCCAACCATACTCACCTTCCATTGTCTTTTCCCTATTGTTTTTTTCTGTTCCTTGTAATTGCCCTCTCTGTCCCTCTCAGGTGGACGATCTGACGTACATCCCCTATGTGCAGCGTGAGCTGATGCTCATCAAGGAGAGGGGAAGACTTTTGAGTCGACTCAAAAGTGAGCTGATGCTCATCAAGGAGGGGGGAACCAACCATTTTCACCTTTCATCATATTCCTTCTCCACTCTCTTCCTCCCTATCCCATGTTGATTGTTATCCTTACTCCCTCTCAGGTGGAGGATCTGACGTACATCCCCTACGTGCAACGCGAGCTCATGCTCATCAAGGTGGCGGCAGGGAGGGGGGAGCCTCGGCGGGAGGTGATGGACATTGCGACTGTCTTCCGGGCGCGGGTGATCGACATCTCACGGCGAACCATGACCCTTGAGGTACGAGATGTCTCAAGGACTGAATAAACTTTGTCTTTCTGCTCCCTCACTCACTTCCTCCGCGTCAAGAGGTGATGGACATTGCGTCTGTCTTCCGGGCACGTGTGATTGACATTTCAAGGCGAACCATGACACTTGAGGTATGATTCATCTCACTTTCTCTCACTCAATGTGAGACTGAGAAAGGGAGCCTCGACGGGAGGTGATGGACATTGCATCTGTGTTCCGGGCGAGGGTGATCGACATCTCACGGCGAACCATGACCCTTGAGGTATGATTCAACTCACTTTCTCTCACTCACACTGAGCCTGAGAGGGGGGAGCCTCAGCGGGAGGTGATGGACATTGCCTCTGTCTTCCAGGCGCGGGTGACTGACATCTCAAGGCGAACCATGACACTTGAGGTACGATCATGTCACAGGATGATTGCACTTGTCTCCCCTACCGCTTACTTTCTCGGGTCGGGAGGTGATGGACATTGCCTCTGTCTTGTGGGCGCGTGTGATTGACATTTCTCGGCGAACCATTACTCTTGAGGTATGAGGCATCTCACTCTCTCACACTGGCTCCTGGTTGAAGAACTAGTGCCTTCTCTTGCCCTCTCTCACAACTCAATCGCTCTCCCTTGGGAGTTGATGGACATTGCGTCTGTCCTCCGGGCTCGTGTGATTGACATCTCAAGGCGAACCATGACGCTTGAGGTACGAGGGCTTGATAGGGCTTGAAGAACTACTGTGTCTGTTTCCCTCCATCACCTTTCCTCAAGGGGTGATGCACATCGCATCAGTTTTTCTCCTTTCTTTCTGTCTTTCTTTATTTTCTTTTCTTTTCTTTTCACCCCTCTGACGCGCCTCAATCGTTCACTTTGACCTCCAGATTGGCAGACCTCCCCCGTCCCCCTTCCCTCCTCCCTTTCTATTTCCCATCAGCTCACAGGTACCCTCAAGAAGATGGCGGCACTGCAGGGATTGCTGGAAGACTACAGCATCCTCGAGGTAAGCTGACTCGTTTCTGGTATAACAATTCTACACTGGAGTATTTTTTCGTTCGTACTTGCTGCTCATCCCTTTCCACCCACCCCACCCTCCCCTTGATCAGTGTAAAGTGGCCACTTTGACCTCCTCACTCCCATCCCCTTGTTCCCTCCACCACTCCATGCGTCCAACTTCTATGCTCTTCTTGCTCTCTGCGTCCTTGCTTGCTCCACCAAGGTTACGAGTCAACCAGTTGCCACCCCACCCTCTCACTCCTCCTCGCTCCCTCCCTCTCTTGCTTGCTTTCTTCTGTCTCTTGCTTGCTTTCTTCTGTCTCTTGCTTGCTTTCTTCTGTCTCTTACTTGCTTTCTTCTGTCTCTTGCTTGCTTTCTTCCGTCTCTTGCTTGCTAACACCAGGTGGCGCGCACGGGGCGTGTGGCATTGTCGCGAGACAGCGGGGTCAGCACGGAGTATCTTGGCCAAATGGAGCCGCAGCACTCCATCTTCTGAAGCTCGCAATGTACCACAAGCAACATATAACGTGTAGCAGGGTGCATGCAACAGGCCTAAAACCACTCACTGTGTTGCGTTTGTGTGTAATATGTTGGAGAAATAGCAGGGTCACCTCGGTAATCCAGGGAGCTACAGCACCCAATCTGTTAGGCTGGCTTGAGGCATGTGTTGTGTCCCAGAGCTAGGTAGATAATGTGAGGTGGAGTCAGGATGCATTGGCTCAAGTGCTAGTACTGTTGGCTCCATTGCCTTTGATTTGAAGATGCATGTTTCAGTGGCAAGAGACTTCGCATGGGGACCCTTACCATAATTGCAGGGCGTGTGGAAACAACCACAATACCAGCATTTCAAATGTGCCCTGCCTTCCTACTTTAGCTTCCATCCATTACATGAGAATTTTGAAGAGTGGGACAAGCACTTTGAATTGAATCTCTTCTGTCCTAGGCTTTTATTTAATGCTCTTTTGTTCTATCACCTATGCAGCGTAATGACTGTACTGTAAGCATGCTGGTGCACAAGATTGTTAAAGAAAGCATGTGGTGTACAGCATAGCATGTCTTTTCTGTAGCAATTGATTTGTCTTATCGAACAGTAGCCGCTTGAAAACGAGATGCAGCGGCGCACCAGCCGTGGCCTCCGGACAGAAAGAGCCTGCTGGTACACAAAGGTTGTGAGGTGAAGATGTGGTGTACAGCATGTCATCTACTGTAGTACTTGCTTTTGAAAATTCTCTGAGGTGAGAATGTGGTGTAGATCATGCCGTCTACTGTAGCATTTGCTTTGTCTTATCGAACAGCAACCGCTTGAAAACGAGATGCAGAGGCGCACCAGCTACAGCCTCCTTGTGTAATGTGGACTGGAACACCACCTGTGCAAGAGAAGAGGATAGACACGCAGGCGGCAACACAAGCGGGGACGGATGAGTGAGGCATGAGTTAAATGGGAGAGGAGAAGTTGCTGATGCAGACCACCTGTGGCCTCCTTGGGTAATGTGGACTGGAACACCACCTGTGCAAGAGAAAAGGATAGACACGCAGGCGGCGACACAAGCGGGGACGGAGGAGTGAGGCATGAGTTAAATGGGAGAGGAGAAGTTGCTTATGCAGACCACCTGTGGCCTCCTTGGGTAATGTGGACTGGAACACCACCTGTGCAAGAGAAAAGGATAGACACGCAGGCGGCAACACAAGCGGGGACGGAGGAGTGAGGCATGAGTTAAATGGGAGAGGAGAAGTTGCTTATGCAGACCACCTGTGGCCTCCTTGGGTAATGCGGACAGAAACACCACTTGTGAAATCGAAGAGGATAGAAATGGCAAGGCAGTAGAAATGAGGAGGGAGGAGAGGGGTGGGTGTTTCAGCTATCGCCGCTCACTTCCAGACAGACACGCGGGAGACAGATAGCATAATGAAAATGAGAAATTGACAATGCAGGGTGGCACAGATTCGTGCGAGCTTGCCTTGAATTTGCCTGACTTGCCAAACGGGGACTGGATTGTTCCTTGTGCTCCTGCCAAAAAAAGGAAAGGAGCGGAAGAGGCGGAGGAGAGAGAGGACAATATGTGCTTCCGTGCTAATTTCCAATCTTGTACACCCATTTACAATCTCTCCCGCCGACCGCTCGTGACTCCTCCTGACCTCTCCTGACCTCTTGTGTCAAAATAATGATCCACCCACCTTCCACTGTGGAAACTCGCAGCCCCACGAATTTGGAAATGTCCGTTTCCTTCTTGAAGAGTCCTCGGCCGATGAGAGAATGCGAATCAACCACTCGGTCGATCACTCCTTCCCTGCTCTTCACCTTGTATATCCGCAGAGGCTGAATGATAGTGAGGAGAGGGATGAGTGGGAAATCAAAGTGAGTGAGAGGGCGAATAGGAGATCTGCGTAACAGAGCGAGACGAAATCATATGACGTTGGTGAGCCTACATGCATACCATACCTATTGCCAAACCTGAGCGCCGTACCACAATAGTGCCATACATACCTGGGAGCCCGAGTGCATGGTGGTGGGACCAATGGGGAGAGAATACGGCCATGGAAGGCCATGCGGGGAGAAGTAGGTGGACGGATGGATATGCGCCAAACAAATACCATACCTGTGCGCTGTACCAGAATACAGCACCTGTGCGCCGTACAGTCCCATACATACCTGCGAGCCTGAGTGCATGGTGGTGGGATCAATGGGGGCGAGGATACGCCCATGGAAGGCCATGCGACACGTGTTGGTGTCTGCACGTGGGGCGAGAAGGGGTGGATGGATGGACGTCAAGGAGAGATGGATGGATCATGGGGCACTGATAATATAAAAACGGAAAATTTGAAACGGAAAACCAACACCTACAACGAAGACATGCCCTGTATTCAAGACGTATCAAAGAGGATATGTTTCTTCATTCACAAGGAATTGCTTCAAGGGCGTGTTCGCATGTCACGGATGTCAGAGTCGAGGCGAGATGCTATGAGCAAAGCGTCACTTGGACAGGCGATCTGAATGTGCACCCAAATGCCATGCCATGTCACAAGCGAGAAAGGTTTAGGTGGCTGTTAAGAACTTCGTGGCTCAGCATTCTCGAGTTAGAGACTTGATTCCAAGGTCACTCGTTGACTCGTGTGAAGTTAGAGAGAGTGAACTGAGACCACCTAAAGTTAGAGAGAGTCAACGAGGTGCATCAGTACTGCGTGAACTGAGACCATCTAAAAAGCCACAAAACTTGCAGTCGTCCGATCGGCCGATTGAGAAAAAGGAGGTAATCAAGCAAGCAAGCAGGAAGCACTCAAGGGTTGCTGCCGTGCAACATTGAAGAAACGATATCACAGAGAACTTTAGTCATACCAAGTCAACTTCAGTCACAGCAAGTCATAGAGGCATCTACCTCGGACTCGAACACTAAGAGAGCAAAGTGTTGGTGTGATGGAGCCTCAGATGCGTGCTCCTTGTGCTGCTGCTGACTCGGTGATGGTCCTGCAGAGAACAGGTTACAGGAAGGGGGTTGGTAGGGAGAATAAGGAGGGGATGAAGCGACGAGAGGAATATGAAGCCACATAACGAGTCAACGTCCTGGTGCTGCTGCTGTCCTCGTGCGTGATGGTGTCGCAGGAGAGAGGTTGAGAGAGGGGGGTGGGAGGGAGGGTAAGGGGGGGTTCTAGAAGTGAGAGGATTATGAAGGGAGGGTAAGGCGCATGATGCATGGCGAGTCAGATGCATGCTGCTGGTGCTGCTGCTGGCATGGTGATTGTGCTGAAAGATTTTTTGAGTCGACTCAAAAATCGACTTACTACACGAGGTTGAGAAAGGAAAGGAGGAAGTGAGGTCACACAGCGGCAGCAGCTCAGTGCAATGGCAGCAGCTCAGCGCAATGGCAGCAGCTCAGCGCAATGGCAGCAGCTCAGTGCAATGGCAGCAGCTCAGCGCAATGGCAGCAGCTCAGTGCAATGGCAGCAGCTCAGCGCAATGGCAGCAGCTCAGCGCAATGGCAGCAGCTCAGTGCAATGGCAGCAGCTCAGCGCAATGGCAGCAGCTCAGCGCAATGGCAGCAGCTCAGCGCAATGGCAGCAGCTCAGTGCAATGGCAGCAGCTCAGTGCAATGGCAGCAGCTCAGCGCAATGGCAGCAGCTCAGTGCAATGGCAGCAGCTCAGCGCAATGGCAGCAGCTCAACGCAATGGCAGCAGCTCAGTGCAATGGCAGCAGCTCAGTGCAATGGCAGCAGCTCAGTGCAATGGCAGCAGCTCAGCGCAATGGCAGCAGCTCAGCGCAATGGCAGTAGCTCAGTGCAATGGCAGCAGCTCAGCGCAATGGCAGCAGCTCAGCGCAATGGCAGCAGCTCAGTGCAATGGCAGCAGCTCAGTGCAATGGCAGCAGCTCAGTGCAATGGCAGCACAGCACAGAACTCTGAAGCCATTACTTTAGAGTTGGCTCAGAAGCCACCATGATAGCAGCACAGAGCAACTATACTTTTGAGCGAGCTTAAGAGTAATTTTCACGGAAGAAAAGTGCTTCAGCAGCACATTGGCAGAGCATCAACATACCAGTGCTTAGTTGTTGCCGTTGAAACTCGTTGGGTTCGAAACGCAGCAAGCCTGCTAAGAGTAACGATCTATAGCACTAGTCTACTAATCTGAAAGGCGAGGGAAGTAGTGAGAAAAGGTCTACTAATCAGAAAGCCAGACACATTAGGCCTGGATGTCGCGTGTGAACGCGTTTCGGCCAGCAAAGGTCTTCAGCAGCACATTGGCAGAGCATCAACATACCAGTGCTTAGTTGTTGCCCTGCGCCTGACAGTGGTAAGAGTGTGTCACTGTCTTGTAGATTTTCCAGCAAACCACACCCACGCAAAGCACATGCATGCAGCAGCAGTTTCACCTCTCATGCATCGTAGCAGCAGGCTAGCAGCACATTGGCAGAGCATCAACCATACCAGTGCTTGCTTGTTGTGTGGCGTTTGACTGTGCTAAGAGTGTGTCACTGTCTAGATTTTCCTGCAAACCACACCCACGCAAAGCACATGCATGCAGCAGCAGATGCAAGAGTGAATTAAATTGGTACAGCAATTAGTCCAGAGATGGTACTTACGTATATTATTTAGTCGACTCAGAACGCACTTGTCCAAAACTTGAACGTAAAGAAACTTGTGCCTTTTTCTCTCACCAAGTGGGGGTAATCGAGCGAGAAATCGAAAGGCGATCCTTCTATGGGGAGGAGATGACGGGTAGGATGAGGGGCAAGACGGGAGAAAGGTAGTGTTGGGTGGAATGTAAGCTGACTTGGAAAATAATGTCCGCAGTTTATACACACACCTATATATATACGTGTATATATTAATATTTATACAAATCGATATAGAAGTCTTTGTCATGCAAGAAGTGGGTTAAAAAGGGAAAGAAGACAGCTCAAACAGACACTGACGTGCTGACAAGTAAGAAAACAATGGTTTGGCAGAGGGAGGAAGCAGAGGAGAGCAGAAGCAGAGGAGAAATGCACCTGATGCGAGGTTTGTAGAAGAATGTGGAGAGGGATAAGCGAAGAAGGTGAGAGTTGTCATGACTGTGGAGTGACCCACCGTTACTGTGATGGGGGGAGGGGAAGGGAGGGAGAGGAAAAGCAGCTGATGATGCACCTAATGTAAGGGCTGTGGAAGAATGGGGGAAGGGATGAGCGAAGAAGGTGAGAGTTGTCATGACTGTGGAGTGACCCACCGTTACTGTGATGGGGGGAGGGGAAGGGAGGGAGGGGGGAGGTAGGAGAAAGAGGTAGTAGGAGGTTGGGGGGCTGGGTGAGGGGAGGAGAGGAGAAGGATTGATTTGGCTCAAAAGAGAGCAGCTGTCATCACTGTGGAGTGAGCGACTCACCATTACTGTGTCTAGGGCCAGGGGGTTGGGTGGGGTTGGGTGGGGTTGGGTGGGGTTGGGTGGGGTTGGAGAGGAATGCGTTAGCCTTTCAATGGGATGAAGAGCGGTGCAAAGGAGAAGAGAAACATGGGGAGGCTATTCTTGAGGCGCCTCGAAAGCGATTTGATCAGAGTGTGAGAGGGTGAGAGAGGGAAAGAAACCAGCAGCTGGAAGTTTGAGAGAGTGGGAGGGTGGGAAATTGGGTTGGGAGATTGAGAGTGTGAAAGAGCTGGACGTACCATGAAACTTAGAGTTTGACGTGAGGGGCCCTTTGAAGAATCGGATGGGATGGACGGCTGCGATCGCAGCAGAGAGCATCGGGACTGAACCAGGAGCAGCCTGCATGCTACAAGGGGGCGTATGGTTGGGCAGAGAGGGACTATGTTAAGACCCCTAGTGACACTATGTTGAGCGGGCATGGTATGGGGTGTTTACATATTTGCGTATGCAAGGAGCTCATTTCACAGAAAGGAATGCTTGACTTGAAGAGGCATAGGAGAATTGACTAGAGTGAGCAGCATGGCACGTAACTGCAATTCCTCGCTCGATGAGCTTCGGGTCGAGCTGAGTGACACACAGACCCACACGGTCTCCCTGAAACAAGCACATGAACAAAAGGCGCTCATCAGCTCAGAAAATACCGTGCATTACAAAAAAAAAAAAAAAAAAAAAAAAAAAAAAAAAAAAAAAAAAAAAAACAAACAAACAAACAAACAAACAAACAAAAACAACAACAACCAACGTAGAGAAGCACACACACCTGGGATGCACGAGTGACTGGTTTGTGAAACATCTGCATGCTCTTGACCTGCATGCATGCAGGAGGAAGGGCATGGCATATCACATGGCATGACGGGATATCACATGGCATGACGGGATATCACATGGCATGACGGGATATCACATGGCATGACGGGATATCACATGGCATGACGGGATATCACATGGCATGATGTGATATGACATGTTCAGTGGTAAGGAGCAGGGAGATGAAGCGCTGTGATGAGACATGCTGTGATGACCCCTAAGGCACGCTGTGAAGAAAAACATTAATTCATCTGCAACAATTATTGTCATGCCCACCCAACCCAACCACAAGTTACAGCCGCTACGCTCCGCACAACATCCTCTGATTCTTAAGTCGACTTTCAACCTGACCAACCTTTTTCTGCAGCTTCAGCAGAGGGAGCTCCAACGAATCATTCACTGCCACGTGGCCTCTCAGCACTGTCCCTGTCATCACTGTGCCCTGCGAAGTTGCAAACAGGGTTTGGCAAATGAGGACGTGCCACGTGGCAAGAAAAGCGTGAGGCGTCAAGAGGATACCTGTAAAGAGGACGCACAAGGGTGAGGCTTTAAGAAAAAACATGCCAAGAGGACGTGTGCATGCAACGCAGGAACCCCTGACTGCACGTTGAGATCACATGAACCTGGTTGAAATCACCCGACAGCTGGTTGAAATCACCTGACAGCTGGTTGAAATCACCTGACAGCTGGTTGAAATCACCTGACAGCTGGTTGAAATCACCTGACAGCTGGTTGAAATCACCTGGCCTTTGATCGGAAAGCAGTGGTCGATGGCAAATAGGAAAGGCCCCTCTGTTGACCGAGATATGGCTGGCAAAAGAAATCGAAGGAAATGGAAGGAATGAAAATAGTTAAGGAAAGGGAGGGTAATATGGAAGGAAGAGAGGGCACATACCTTGGTGGAGCACAAAGAAAAGGAGGAAAACCGCTAAGCCTCTTTCTCCATTTCTTTCTGGCGCTCAGAAAAGGGGGTGGGAGTGTGCCTATCACTCACTCACAAGGAACCCGTGCCATTAGCTCATTAATGACGTCAGCTATGCCCTCTGCTGCTGCTGCTGATGGCACGGCGGCTACTGCTGTTGCAACCATAGCAGCATCGGCAAACTTGGTGCCTTTCAACGTGGCTCGCAGCCTCTTCCTCATCTGTGAGAGTGATGGTAGAGAGATGTGCACGAGAGGTGCAAGAGAGGTCAAAGAGAGGTGCAAGGCACGGACAACTCGGCCGCTGCTGCTGCTGCTGCTGTGGCAACCATAGCAGCGTCGGCAAACTTGGTTCCTTTCAACGTGGCTCGAAGTCTCTTTCTCATCCGCAGACAGAGATGGTAGGGAGACATAAGCAGAGAGAGGAAGGGACACGCGCTCCACTTTAAAGCCCCTCACAAAGGCCTACTTGAGTTTTCGGGAAGCAACTTTTTGTTTCGTTCCTAGTTGCTTAAAGCTGCGGTCTACATACATCTGGGTGTTTTTAGGGGGTATTTCTATTGCACACCCTTTGACACACGTTGATTCGCTTGCGAACAGGCTCCCGCTCGGAACTGTGCTTGCGACCCAGTCAAAAAAGACTGGCGGGACTACTCAGTTTCGCTAGGGACGATGGGATGGGAAAACAGAATCAAGCGAAAATTTGGTTATTTCGTGAGGGGGGGAAGGGCGGGGGAAGAATGTGCGAAAGGGCGGAAGCCCTAGGTCAAGTTTCGGGCCCTGTTCGATAACATTACGGAACGGGGACGTGAGGTGTTGGTTCTGTGAGTTTCTTCCCGAACCAGACGCGACAAAATTTTGCAACCGCTAAAAGTCCCTAGTCCCGTTCCGTTGCAGGCGAGACACCTGCTATCGAACAGGGTCTCGATTGGTTTGGGAACCCCCAGTCCCCTCCCTCTTTCCACCTCGATTGTTTCTTCACAGATAGGTACTTGGTTCACCCGGTTTTCAAGTGATAAACCAAGGCCTGTCCCTGGAGGTATGTAGACCGCAGCTTTAAGCGTTTTCTTCAGGTTTGATGATGCTACCCCACTATGAGCTTGAATCCTTGGGACATTAGACAAATGCAGAGAAAGGACGGGACATGCGCTCCACTTTGAAGCGCCTCACAAATGAGCAAGCGACCTTTCGAGACGTCTGTTGAGACTCCTCGGAAATTCGTTTTGGGTTTTGAGAAGCCTCAGAAATTCGTTTTGGGTTTTGAGACGCCTCAGAAATTCGTTTTGGGCGCAAGTGACATGTTTCGAGCTGTGCTTGCTGACCAAAACCAACTCCCCAGCAACCATCCATGGTCTTACCTTATCGATCTGTGCTTGCTTCGTGGCAGCAGGTAAAAGGTCCTGGGCCAGGGGAACGGAACGGAGAACAGGAGAGAGAGCTTAAGAGAAAGAGGATGGGGAAAACACAGCGAGTAAACAGGTCCTAGGTTAAGGGAACGGAACGAAGAGCAGAGGTTTAACCAAGAGGGGGAAAGAACCGAGGAGAGAAGGGAGGAAAGCTGGCTCATAGAAGTGAATGAACTACCGTTTCGTTTTTGAGACATCTTAAAAACTCTCTTCTATCACATCACATGAAATACCGTTTTGTCGAGCACGACAACCATTTTCTTGGGTGGAGCCACCTTGCTCACTACTTTTCAGGCGTCTCAAAACAAGGTTTGTCTCAAGAGTCAAGACGCCCTGCATGCTTACCGTTTTGTTGAGCACCACAACCATCTCCTTGGTAGGTGAAACCTCACCCCATGCGTTTTAGGCGCCTCAACAAAAAAAAAGTTACCTCAAAACGAAAGTCGCCTCAAAACATAAGTCGCCTCAAAACGAAAGTCGCCTCAAAACATAAGTCGCCTCAAAACATAAGTCGCCTCAAAACATAAGTCGCCTCAAAACATAAGTCGCCTCAAAACATACGTCGCCTCAAAACATACGTCGCCTCAAAACATAAGTCGCCTCAAAACGAAAGTCGCCTCAAAACATAAGTCGCCTCAAAACATAAGTCGCCTCAAAACATAAGTCGCCTCAAAACATAAGTCGCCTCAAAACATAAGTCGCCTCAAAACATAAGTCGCCTCAAAACATAAGTCGCCTCAAAACATAAGTCGCCTCAAAACATAAGTCGCCTCAAAACATAAGTCGCCTCAAAACATAAGTCGCCTCAAAACATAAGTCGCCTCAAAACATAAGTCGCCTCAAAACATAAGTCGCCTCAAAACATAAGTCGCCTCAAAACATAAGTCGCCTCAAAACATAAGTCGCCTCAAAACATAAGTCGCCTCAAAACATAAGTCGCCTCAAAACATAAGTCGCCTCAAGACGCCCTGTATGCATGCTTACAGTTTTGTTGAGCACGACAACCATCTCCTTGGTGGGAGACACCTCGCCCACTACCAAACACTGCCGATGCACACACGGTGAGAGAAGGAAGGAGTGGGGAGAAGCAGGGAGAAGCAGGGAGGAAGGCGGGAAGTGAGGGCATGAGTGAAGCGTGATGCACAACAACCATTTCCTTGGTGGGAGACACCTCGCCCACTACCAAACACTGCCGATGCACACGGGCAGGGAAGAAACAAGGAGAAGCAGGGAGAAGAGGAAAGAAGCGGGGAGAGCAAAAAAAAAGAGTGACAAGAGTTAGAAAAGCTGGAACTCAGAATGGAAGAGAAAAATCAGTCATACGTAAGCACTAGCCATTTTCAGGACCATCCATTCATTTAACCACTCCACTGCTCTTCTTCAAAGAAAAAGGAAAAAAAAAAAAAAAAAAAACTCATAATTTCTCACCTCTGCTGTCTGCGTCTGAATGCCCTTGGTAACGTCAACCACAAGCAGCATCATATCAATGATCTGTGCTCCTGATGATGGGGATGATGGTCACAAGGAGGAGGAGGAGGAGGAGGTGACGGGGTCTTCGGACGTGTTTGAAAATCACCAAAATCCATTGTCTCCTCTCCAGGCATTTTTGGCGATCATTGATCAAACCAAAGCATTGAGTGATTGATAAGAGACAAAGGTCGAACCTCCAATGATGGTACGGATGAGAGAGGCATGGCCGGGGCAGTCGACGAGAGTGAATTGGACCTTGTCGTATGGGAGTCGATCCACTAAGGATGGGGGTACGTCCACCTGAGGGGACGCGGGAGAAGAGAGGCGCACGCGGGAGAGGAGGGCGGCATAAATGTTTTGAGGCGCCTCGAAACTAGGCATAAATGGCAGTCAATGAGGTGACTTTTGAGTCGACTCAAGAGTCAACTGAGGGGACGCGGGAGAAGAGAGGCGCACGCAGGAGAGGAGGGCGGCATAAATGGCAGACAGTGAGGAAATAAGTGGACGGCTGAGAGAAGGGGTAGAGAGGCAGGTTGCAAGTGAGAGGACAGGTGAGGTGAGGAGGCGAGGGATGGAAAGAGGGATTGTGAAGTGAGGCGTTTCAAAACTAGAGTAGGTGTAGGAGGGGGGGGGGGGGGGGGGGGGGGGGGGGGGCGCGAGGGAAGGAGTGGAAAGGAGTGCGAAGGAGTGGTGAGGTGCGACGGAGGAGGGCAGATGAGCTGCGCGAAAAAAAGCACTGCAAAGCTAAAAGCCACCTGGAAGTTACCTGGAAGCTACCTGCAAGGTACCTGGAAGGCACGAGGAAGGCACCTGGAAGGCGGAGAACCCAAGGTCGAGGGTGATCCCTCTCTCCGCGCTCTGCGGGTGCTTGTCCAATGCGGCTGTGCTCAGCAGCGTGCTCAGCGCCCTGGCTGGGGACTTCGAAGCATGGCATGGGGATACAGCATACGGGCATGGGGGCAGGCATGAGGCAGTGCTCCTCTCTCCCCCCCTCCGCGCTCTGCGGGTGTTTGTCCAACGCGGTTGTGCTCAGCGCCCTGGCTGGGTGGATGTATGGGGGGAGTACGGGGGGGAGTACGGGGGGTGTATGGGGGGAGTATGGGGGGAGTACGGGGGGTGTATGGGGGGAGTACGGGGGGAGTACGGGGGGTGTATGGGGGGAGTACGGGGGGAAGTACGGGGGGTGTATGGGGAATGTACGGGGGGTGTATGGGGGGAGTATGGGGGGTGTACGGGGGGAGTATGGGGGGTGTATGGGGGGAGTATGGGGGGAGTATGGAGGGGGCATGGGGGTTGTATGGCGGGAGTATGGGGGTGCATGAGGGCATGAGGATTCACTCGGACACACCCCTCCCTCCCCCTCTCCGCGCTCTGCGAGTGTTTGCGAGTGTTTGTCCAACGCGGCTGTGCTCAGCAGCGTGCTCAGCATGTCGTTCTGCCACGTGTCAGCTCGGCTCACCGAGGCTCGTCTTGCCGCTGTCGACGTGCCCCAGAATGCCAACATTCACGTTGAAGACACGTGGCGCAGTGCTACTCGCTAAGACAGGTGGTGGATCACTCGATGGCGACGGCGGCTCCATCGCACTTCTGTCGTCGCACGAAAGATAGTCGTCGCACGAGAGATAGCCGTCGCAAGAAAGATAGTCGTCGCACGAAAGTTGGTCGTCGCAAAGGGATGGTCGTCGCACGAAAGATGGTCGCCGCAAAGGGATGGTCGTCGCACGAGAGGTAATTACGGTCACAAAGCCTGATTTTCAGTCGTCGCGGCTGCAAGCACATGTTGACTGATCACTCAAGCCGATTGCCGTTTGTACGCGTTAGTGCAGCGTGTTAGTACTTGAGAAAATAAAAGATGACATCATAATACACAAGGTGCAAATTCCCATACAGATCTAGGCAATAGGCACATCTGACGTTGATACATTGAAGCTCAGTATGGCAGTAATTAGCATCAAAGTGGTTAAAAAGGCTAGAAATATTCACAGCAATCAAAACATAGTACAACAAACACATATAATCTGCAGTGTCCAAGCAAAATGAATGAAAGCTCATTGACATCTTATGGAAAAACTGAAATGCGAACCTAGAATGCTCCCATGAAGCATGCATAAGAGTTCCAGCTCCTGTAAAATTACCAAATTTTGAGTCGCAACTTGTTCCTGTGGGAGTCTCACTATTGAGGCACCTCAAACAATAAAACGTGACTCATGCTTTTTTTCGAGGTGCCTCCTAATACTTTATGTTCCCATCGGTGCACCCCCCCCACCCACCCCCCCGTTTCGGCCTCTCCCTCTCTCCCTATAAGGCGTTGACCGCCACACTCAACCCCTTTCAAGCCTGGCTCTCACACCCCCTCACACACCCTCACACCCTCACCCTCACACCACCGCACCAACCACCCTGCCTGCTTTGTCTAAGTAAAACTCTCAACTCAAAGGGGGTATTTAGCTGCACACACAAACCCCTTTTGCTACAGAAATCCACCCAACTGCCACCACAAATGGCGCCCCGCATTTCCCTCCAGGGCTCCCATCGTGCCCTTCCTCCAAACCCCGTTAAGCCAACTCGTACCCCTTCCTTTCTGTCACTGCATATCACACCCCCCTCAGTCCCTCCCACCAGCACTCCCACATCCATGTCACCCCTTCTTCCCCCAGGAAGTCGATCGCCACACCGGTCCCCCTTCAAACTTGCCCCTCGCACCGCCACCAAACTTGATATCCGGCCTCGTCTCTCCCCCACCCCCTTGCCCTCCTCCTCCTGTGCCTCCTGCTCCCCCTCCTGCCCCTCTCTCTGCTCCCCCTCTGTTCGTGCTCTCAGCACTTCCACCAGTGCTGCTTCCACCCTCAGCCCCTTTAAAGCTGACTAGCTTTTTGAGCAGCCCCTCAGGCTTCAGTATCGGCCCCTGCTGCTCCTGCCCCTGCTGCTGCGGTGGCTGCTGCTCTACTATCCCACTCACGTCCCTCCCATTCCCCTCCTCCCTGCTGCTGGCAGGGCGTTTGAAGCTGGGAGCTCCGATTGAGTTGCCAGATCTCTTAAAGCTGCCCGTTTTGATCAAGCTGCCCGACTGAGCCGAGCCCCCTCCTGCACCCAAACTCCCAGCCCCATCCTTTTCTCGGGAACCACCACCAGAACCAGGCCTATTCAAACTCTCCGTTTTCACAAAACTTCCTTTCTTACTCTCCAGCCGAATAAACTGCTTCACCCTCCCTTCCGGCCCATTCGGCTCCCGCTCTCCCGTTGTTGTCGCCTCCCTGATCCCTTCACCTCCTGGCACAGAAGCGCTACGGAAACCCCCAGCACGAGCCACAGGGCCCCCCTGGAAAGCCTCGGACTGCTTGAACGAGGCTGACCGCATTGACTCCGCTCTGAATGACGCTGCCCTCTTGACTGGCGTTGACTCAGTCAACCCTCTTTCCTCCCTTGCCTCCCTTGCCTCTCTTACCGCGTCATTGCCAAGGTTAGACTGTAGGAAGGACCGTTGCTTCCAGAACGACTCTGCTTTGAACGACGTTGACTTGAAAGACCCTGCTCTGAAGTCACCGTTTTTGAAAGAGCCTCCCTGCGACGCGCTTCCCCTGGAGAACCGCCTCTTGAGGGACTTGCTTGCCTTCAGATGATTGCTGCTGCTGCTGGTTGGTCGGTCGGCGTTGCTGAAACTCCTCCCACCCATGCTACCAGCTCGGTCGAATGCTCCCGCTCTCTCCCCTTCTTCTCCTGGGCTTCTGAGGCGCCTCACAAGTCGACTACTGCTGCTGGTTGGTCGGTCGGAATTCTTGAAACTCCTCCCACCCATGCTACCAACTCGGTTGAACACACCCTCTTTCTCCCCTTCCTCTCCGGGACCACCACCGAACCCACCTGCAGCATCAAACCCGCCAGCAGCAGCACCATAGTTATCAAAGTCGATGTGCTGCAGCTGGTTCTGTACGAGAGCGGAGTGCACGTCAGGGGGGTCTTTCCACCCCAGCCCCACGAGCAGCGCGTGGAAGAAGTTTATCTCCATCATCGTCTGCACGCCAGCGCGGATGCTGGCCCACACCCCCCCTCCCTCCTTTGATTCCTTGCTTTCCGTGCTTCCTTCCTCTGCCTTCCCCTTCCTGGACGATCTGTAATGAGTCATGGTGGAGGGAAGAAGGGGGGGAGATGGAAGACGACAGGGGAGAAGAGGTGGGGGTGAGGGAGAGGGAGTGCACGTCAGGGGGGTCCTGTCCGTCCACCGCAGCTGGGGGGTCCGTGCCTTCGCCACCCCAGTCAGCCCCACGAGCAGCGCGTGGAAGCAGTTGATCTCCATCATCGTCTGCACGCCAGCACGCATGCTGCCCCAGAAGCCCCCTCCCTCGTTCGCTCCCTTGCTTTCCGTGCTGCCTTCCTCTGCCTTCCCCTTCCTGGAGGATCTGAAGTGAGTGGGTGTGAGGAGGGGTGGGGAAAGAGGGAATAAGAGGAGGAGAAACGGGAAAAGTGTGTGAGTAAGAGGAGTGCACGTCAGGGGGGTCCTGTCCTTCCACCCCAGCCCCACGAGCAGCGCATGGAAGAAGTTGATCTCCATCATCGTCTGCACGCCAGCGCGCATGCTGCCCCACACCCCGCCTCCCTCTTTTGCTCCCTTGCTGCCTTCCGTGCTTCCTTCCTCTGCATTGCCCTTCCTGGAGGACCTACAGTGCGAATCAGCGCAGGGTAGGAACGTGGGCGGGGGAGGGGGAAGAGGGAGGGACCGTAGTTGTCAAAGGCCCCGTAGCTCAGGATCCTGTACCCCGTATAAGCCAACCCGGCACATTGCACAGATGTGACTCCTTTTGCCTGCTCACCGTATTGTCTCGCTCGCAAGCTCCGGTTGCAACTCACCCTGCTTTGCTTCCCTCCAACTCCTCCTTCAACTCCTTCTCCAGCTTCCGGCAGTAGCTCAGAATCCTGTACCCTGTATAAGCCAACCCGGCACAGTACAGTACACCTGCTTTCTCACCTCCTCAACCGAACAACTCACCCTGCTTTGCCTCCCTCCAGTTCCTCCTTCAGCTCCTTCTCCAGCTTCCGGCAGTAGCTCAGAATCCTGTACCCTGTATAAGCCAACCTGACACAGTACACAGAGCCTGCTCACCTTATTGCAAGCCCAGATTGCAACTCACCCTGCTTTCCTTCCCTCCAGTTCCTCCTTCAACTCCTTCTCCAGCTTCCGGCAGTAGCTCAGAATCCTGTACCCCGTATAAGCCGACATCGCGCAGTACACAAGGCAGCACAGCACCGCGACCGCGCTATAAATAACAAACAGCGTCCAGAAATTCTCAGGGCCAAGGCTGGTAGAGGAGACGGAGGGCCCGAGGGAGCAGGAGGTGGAGCCCTTGATCCAGAAGTCGTGCATGCTCTGCAGCTGCCCCGACTGCGCCAGCTTTGAGATGGCGACGGAGAGATCGTACGGCACGCGCATGTCCTTGTGGAACGCCTGTCGAGGAGTTGGGGGGGAAGGAAGTGGGGGGGCAGGGGCAGGGAGGCAGGGGGACAGAGGCGCAGGGGGGCAGCAGGGGAGCAGGGAGGCAGGGAGACGGAAAAGTATCAGCAAGGGAGTGGTGGCAGGAGGAGCGTCCAGAAGTTCTCGGGGCCGAGGCTAGTTGGAGGAGACGGAGGGTGGGAGGGAGCAGGAGGTGGAGCCCTTCATCCAGAAGTCGTGCATGCTCTGCAGCTGCCCCGACTGCGCCAGCTTTGAGATGGCGATGGAGAGGTCGTAGGGTACCCGCATGTCCTTGTGAAACGCCTGGGGGGATTGGGGAGAGAGGGGGGGGTGTGGGAGAAGGGATGGAGGAGAGCAGGAGCAGGATGGGGAGAAGGTTGACTGCGCCAGCTTTGAGATGGCGATGGAGAGATCGTAGGGCACGCGCATGTCCTTGTGGAGCGCTTGTTGGGAGAAGGCAGTGTGTGTGGGGGGAGGGGCAGAGGACAAGGCCACAAGGAAAGGAGAGGGGAGTGGGGAAGGCTTTGAGATGGCGATGGAGAGATCGTAGGGCACGCGTATGTCCTTGTGAAACGCCTGGGGGTCGGGGAGGGGGGTGGGGTTGGGGAGGGGCAGGGCGGAGCAGGGAGGCAAGGGGAAGGGGACGGTGCTAGAGGGGCAGATGAGGGAGGGGAAGGGGACGGGGACGGTGTCAGCGGGGAAGGGGACGGTGCTAGAGGGGCAGATGAGGGAGGGGAACGGTGAGCATGAGAGAGGGTGGTGGAGGCGATGGAGGGTCCGAGGGAGGGAGCACCATGTATGAAACAAACCAACCAAGAGCACTCACAAAGCCCCAGTTGAAGGTGGAGAGCTGCTCTTTCACGTGCGTGTAGCTGCAGAAGCGAGAATGTCCAGGTATGGCGCCTCTCAATGACCGTGCCACACCACACACACCCCATACATCAAGCCACATACACCAAGGAAAACCCCCCACTTACAAGTCCCCAGTTAAAGGTGGAAAGCTGCTCCTTCACCCGTGTGTAGCTGCAGAAGCGCGAGTTGAACACGTCCAGATACGCACCGTGCCACACCCCATGCACCAAGCCACGTGCACTAAGACAAGACAACCAGCAGCACTCATAAAGCCCCAGTTGAAGGTGGAGAGTTGCTCCTTCACGCGTGTGTAGCTGCAAAAGCGCGAGTTGAACACATCCAGATACGGCGCCTCATCAATCACCATGCCACGCCCCATGCACAAAGCCACATACACCACAACACACATGCACCAAGGAAACGACACTCACAAAGCCCCAGTTAAAGGTGGAAAGTTGCTCCTTCACGCGTGTGTAGCTGCAGAAGCGCGAGTTGAACACGTCCAGATACGGCGCCTCATCAATCACGGCCTTCACCTTGCCCGACCCCAGGGCGTCCGCGAATTCCGCCATGGAGCCCAGCGGGAACAGCACTGACTGGTGGGGGCGGGGAGGGGTGGGGCGGTGGGTGGAGGGTTTCAGGCGAGGGGAGGGATGGGGGCATGAGCGAGTGGGCCTCGTCAATCACGGCCTTCACTTTGCCTGAGCCCAGGGCGTCCGCAAACTCCGCCATGGAGCCCAGCGGAAACAGCACTGACTGGTGGGGGCGGGGAGGGGGTGTGGGTGGGGGGTTGCAGGGTATTGAACACATCCAGATACGGCGCCTCGTCAATCACGGCCTTCACCTTGCCCGACCCCAGGGCGTCAGCGAACTCCGCCATGGAGCCCAGCGGGAAGAGCACTGACTGGTGTGGGGCAAGGGGGGGAGTTGGGGGGTTCCGGGGGAGGGCAGGTATGAGGGCAGCATGAGTGGGCCTCGTCAATCACGGCCTTCACCTTGCCCGACCCGACCCCAGGGCGTCCGCAAATTCAGCCATGGAGCTCAGTGGGTACAGCACTGACTGGTGGGTGGACCGAGGGGAGAGGGGAAGAGGGGGAGATAGGGGATGTGAGAAGGGCAAGGGAACACTTATAATGAGATAGAGACTGTGACCGCCTACAGAGATATAGAGAGACTGGTCACAGTCGGGGCAGAGACACACTGCTTATAGCAGGGATAGAGACGCATTAATTAAGACAAAGCAGGGATAGAGATACTGATTTGCTCAAAGAGGGGATATAGACACGCTGCTTAAAACAAGAAAGGAAGCCTGCTTACAGCGGGGATACAGAGGCTGCTTACAGAGGGGATAGTGCCTGGCCTGCTTATAACGAGAAAAAGAGAGTGCTTACAGCGGGGATGCCGATGGCAAGGAGGTAATTGTAGGTGAAGGAACCCTCATGGTAACCGAGAGGAAGCTTCAGAGAAATAGCCACGGAAAGGCTCTGAGTTGGGGGGGGGGAGGGGTTTGGTTTGGTGGGCGTGGGGAGGGGAGGGGGTGATGAGGATGGATGGAGGAGAGCGAGGGGGTGGCATGGCGGGGTATCGTGGACTAGCAATACAGGTTGGGGTTGAGAGTTTAGAATTCCAAGTGGTAGGGGTGCTCACATCAGGGGTGGCAGCGAGGTTCTGAACGGTGAGGATGGATGAGAGGGAGGCGGTGTAACTGGCGGTGTATTGTGGATGGGCTAGCAATTCGGGTTTAGGGTGCTAGACATGCTCACATCAGGGGTGGCAGTGAGGTATATTGCGGATTGACTTGCAATGGGTTTAGGATAGGATTTAGGGTGCTAGGGGTGCTAGGGGTGCTAGGGGTGCTCACATCAGGGGTTGCAGCGAGGTTCTGAACGGTGAGGATGGAGGAGAGGGAGGCGGTGTAACTGGCAGTCACGATGAGCACGAGGAAGAGCCAACACATCATGGCCAGTCGCCCCATGGTGGTCTGAATGGGCTTGTCTGCTCATATCACATGGCATGACATGGCATTGCATCATGACAGGTAAAGGGGGGAAAGAAGAGGGACACGACAAGGTGACGATGAGCACAAGGAAGAGCCAACACATCATGGCCAGTCGCCCCATGGTGGTCTGAATGGGCTTGTCTGCTCACATGGCATGCGATAGGAACGAGGGGGAGGAGGGGGGAAGAGGGTGCAAAGAGAGATAAAAGTGCTGACAAGGTAGCATGTAAGGAAGAGCCAACACATCATGGCCACTCGCCCCATGGTGGTCTGAATGGGCTTGTCTGCTCACATGATAGTTGGGGAAAGCGGGGGGTGGGGGGTTAAGAGGGGGTGAGGGTGGAGGAGAGGGGGGGTGCGGTGGGGGGTTGGGGAGGAGAGTGCGTTGGGTCGTATAATGCAGGGACAATGTCATGGTGGTAGCACACACACACACCCACACAATGTGGTGATGCACGATGATGCTGATGCACGGGTGTTCTGATGAATGCATTGACATGACATGCATGAGACGGTGAAGGTGGATGGGTGGGTGGTTGGGTGGGCATTGGTCAAAGGCGTACCTTGCGCAAAGACGATTGTGGTGAGCGCATACCTGCAGAAAACAAGAGAGGGACACGCAGGAACATGGGAAAGAGGGTAGTACAGGGAAGAGGATGAGCCATACTTAATCATTCGTAGGGACTTTTGAGAATTCTCAAAAGTCGCACCAACACGCAGGAACATGGGAAAGAGGGTAGTACAGGGGAGAGGATGAGCCCTACCTAATCATTCGTACGGACCAATCATATTGGGCATTGGCCAAGGTCCCACCCAACCAATCTCTCACCCTTCTCATCCAGCGAGTGTACATTCCTGGATTGGATCCAGCAATCCTAATGTAGTAAGTCGATTTTTGAGTCGACTCAAAAATCGACTTATCCCTCACCCTTCTCATCCAGCGAGTGTACATACTTGGATTGGATTGGATCCAGTAATCCTAATCCAAGCCAGAAAACTGTGTCTCTTCTCATCCCTTAGGGATTCTCTTTTGGAATCATCACGAAAGAAAGAAAGGAAAGGAAACGAAAAGAAAAGAGAAGAGAAGAAAAGGGTCTTGAGACATCTCCCTGAGATGTCTACTTAGTGGGCTCACCAGACGCTGTCGATGATCTGGCTGGAGAGCTTGCCGTGGGCGTAGAAGTCCTCGTTCTGGTTCTTCTCAAGGCAGTTGTGGGGCGCCTCAACTACTGACACGTCTCACTGGTGGAGTGAGCTTGCCAGACAGACACTGTGCTTCAGGAACCAGGGTCGAGAACTTACCAGACGCTGTCGATGATCTGGCTGGACAGCTTGCCGTGGGCGTGAAAGTCCTCGTTCTGGTTCTTCTTCTCAAAAAGTTTTGAGACGTCTCAATAGTCGACCTACCAGACGCTGTCGATGATCTGGCTGGAGAGCTTGCCGTGGGCGTAGAAGTCCTCGTTCTGGTTCTTCTCAAGGAACCACACGGCCACCACGGTGAAGGCGGTGGAGGCGAGGATGACCAGCCACATGGTGAGCGAGAAGGGCGACAGGAACGACCACGCCCCCGTGCTCGTTGGCTCTTGCGCCACCGCCATCGACAGACTTGCAGACTGGAGGGATGGAGGGAGGGAAGGGTGTGAAGGGAGGGTGTGAACTGCCTTATGAGTCGCCTCAGAAGCCATCTTGAGAAGGGCGACAGGAACGACCACGCCCCCGTGCTCGTTGGCTCTTGCGCCACGGCCATTGACAGGCTGGCAGACTGGATGCAAGGAACGGGGTGAACAAACTTTTGAGTTGACTCTAAAGCCACGTCGAGAAGGGCGAGAGGAACGACCATGTGCCCGTGCTCGTTGTTTCCTGCGCCACCGCCATCGACAGGCTGGCAGACTGGAGGCAGGGGAAGAAGGGGGTGAAGGATTCGAAATGGCTTATGAGTCGCCTCAGAAGTCACAGCGAGAAGGGCGAGAGGAACGACCACGCTCTCGTGCTCGTGGGCTCCTGCGCCACTGCCATGGACAGGCTGGCACACTGGCCCAACCAACTGCCTTGGCTTGGGTGTACCTGCCTTGGGTGTACCTGCACTGGGTGTACCTGCACAGGGAGTACCTGCACTGGGTGTACCTGCACTGGCATACCTGCACCAGGCCAGATGTACCTGCACCAAGTGTACCTGCACTGGCTGTGTGAACTGCACGAGCTGCTGGCGCTCCTGTGTGATCGTGATGTCCCCCACTGCCCCGTCAAATGTCTGCACACACGGTGAAGTTGGGAAGGGAAGTAGAGAGGTTTGAAAAAGAGGAAGATGAGGATGAGAAAGAGTTTTTGAGGCGCCTCAAAAGTCGAGCTGCTGGCGCTCCTGAGTGATCGTGATGTCCCCGACTGCCCCGTCAAATGTCTGCACAGACGGTGAAGTTGGGAAAAGAAGTAGAGAAGGTGGAAAAAGTGGAAGATGAGGATGAGAAAGAGTTTTACTGCCACCCGAAAGACTCAACTCCACCCCTGGTCACCTACCCAAGCATGTCCCATCCCCTGTTCCCACCTTGTTCGCAACGAGTCGGAGCATGTCGGTGTAACTGAGAGACTGGTTGCCGACGCCATAGGGCACAAACTCAAAGTCCAGCGTGTAGGGGAGCAGCCCAACAACTGTCCGAACGACTCAAACCAAGCCCTGGTTACAGTGTTACCTACCTTGTTTGCAACGAGTCGGAGCATGTCGGTGTAACTGAGAGACTGGTTGCCAACGCCATAGGGCACAAACTCAAAGTCCAGCGTGTAGGGGAGCAGCCCCACTGCTGCCCAGCCCATAATATTCAACTCACGCCCTGCTTACCTATCCAAGCATCCCCTGTTCCCCCATCCCACCTTGTTCGCAACCAGTCGGAGCATGTCGGTGTAGCTCAAAGACTGGTTGCCAACGCCATATGGAACAAACTCAAAGTCCAGCGTGTAGGGGAGCAGCCCAACAACTGTCCGAACGACTCAAACCAAGCCCTGGTTACAGTGTTACCTACCTTGTTTGCAACGAGTCGGAGCATGTCAGTGTAGCTCAGAGACTGGTTGCCGACGCCATAGGGCACAACCTCAAAGTCCAGCGTGTAGGGGAGCAGCCCAACAACTGTCCGAACGACTCAAACCAAGCCCTGGTTACAGTGTTACCTACCTTGTTTGCAACGAGTCGGAGCATGTCGGTGTAACTGAGAGACTGGTTGCCGACGCCATAGGGCACAAACTCAAAGTCCAGCGTGTAGGGGAGCAGCCCCACTGCTGCCCAGCCCATAATATTCAACTCACGCCCTGCTTACCTATCCAAGCATCCCCTGTTCCCCCATCCCACCTTGTTCGCAACCAGTCGGAGCATGTCGGTGTAGCTCAAAGACTGGTTGCCAACGCCATATGGAACAAACTCAAAGTCCAGCGTATAGGGCAGCAGCCCCACCGCCGCTCGAAAGACCTCCACACAGAAGCCGGTGATGGTGTCGTTCGTGGCTATCTGCACAAACTGCGTGAAATCCTGTTGTGGGCAGAAGGGTTCGGGTTTAGGAAGGAAAGTGGACAGGGAGAGAGGACACTGGAAGGAAAGACCTCCACACAGAAGCCGGTGATGGTGTCATTGGTGGCGATCTGCACGAATTGTGTGAAATCCTGTTGTGGGCGGAAGGGGGGGAGGGGGAGAGGGACATAAAGAGAGAAAGGGGCGGGAGGGGGAAAAAGGGAGGGAGCGAGGCACTGGAAAGACCTCCACACAGAAGCCGGTGATGGTGTCGTTGGTGGCTATCTGCACGAACTGCGTGAAGTCCTGTTGTGGGAGGAGGATGGAGGGTGATGAGACGAAGGAAGATATTGGTGGCTATCTGCACAAACTGCGTGAAGCCCAGCCAGCAATGCTTTGCAGCACAGCAGAATTGCCTGTCTGATGCTGTACAACATCTGGGAGACGTTACCTGCTTGTACGGCACGGCAATCTTCAAGGGTGTGTGGGCACGCGGGAACCAACCACGCGGCAGCTGGGCAGAACAAACAAATACAGTGAGTGAAAAAAAACAAAACAAAAACAAGGTCGTATGATTGAAACGAATACGAGAGAAGCAAGGCACTTGCGGTGAGCAGACTGGTATCACCGCCGCGTGTGAGCAATTCCCTGAGCAAGGCATTTTCATCATACGGCCAGCAGAAAAATGCTCAGGGAATGCATACTCAGAACAGAAAACATCTGCACTACGCAAACAAACTGATAGGAAAATAGTGTATATCTGATAGAATGAAAATAATTTGTGTGGGTCTAGGTAGAACTGTGATTTAACTCAATTGAAGGAGAGTGCAACGGCCTGTGGGTGACTTACAAAGGAGACCCCGCCCGGCCAGATGACACCTGCCAGCACTGACTGGCTGGAATCCTTGCTTGTCGATGTGGGCTGGTGTGGGTGACACATGGGAAAAGAGTTGGAAGGTTGCACAACAGACAGGGTAAGCTGATGCTGACTTCTAAAAAACAATTAGACGGTTCTCGAAATGCCAGCTGGTTTGTGAAAACAAAATGCAAGAAACACTGCAGGCTGGTGTGAGTACTGCAAGCTAGCATGGTACCACTCCTCACCTAGTTTGAGGTTGGAACTCAACCTTGGCCCAATTATTGGGCCCCCAAGGTTGGGTTGGGAGATTATTGCCCCCCCCCATAATGTTGACCCACTTTGGTCAACATTATTGGTCCCCCCAATAATTCCTCAACCCAACTTATTGGTGGGAGCCAATAATGTTGGCAAAGTTCACAACCATACCTCCCATCCTAGTTCAACTAAGTAAACCCGCATGTTTCCTAATACAATAATCGGTTCTTCTTCAAACTTTGTCCGTTCTCTGTGGTCCAATAGCCGATGGAGCGCAGCCTGTCGTTGGAGGAGCGGTGCGGAGGAGTTGGGTGCAATACTACAAGACTTGTGGTACAAGTGCGTTTCCTCACCTCAAGAGAAGACGCAAGGCCGTTCTCTGTGGTCCAGTGGCCAATGGAGCGAAGCCTGCCGTTGGAGGAGCGGTGCGGAGGAATTGAGAGCTCTGAAATGTACCCGATGGGGTGCACTACTATAAGTGCTTCTCCTCACCTCAAGAGAAGACGCAAGGCCGTTCCCTGTGGTCCAGTGGCCGATGGAGCGCAGCCTTCCGTTGGAGGAGCGGTGCGGAGGAGTTGGGTGCAATACTACAAGACTTGTAGTAAGAGTGCGTTTCCTTACCTCAAGAGAAGACGCAAGGCCGTTGTCTGTGGTCCAGTAGCCGATGGAGCGAAGCCGGCCGTTGACTGCATTGACGATCTCAAACGACGTGCCGTTGCGATCTCCCAGCGCATCCAGTGACACTCTGTGCAGGGGACGGGGGTTGGGGAAAACAACCAGATGGTCGCGTGTATACCGGTACGGTATTCTGCCGAACAACCGTCGAAAACAAAGAAGGGAAACAACGTAGTAAATTATTGCTCGACAGCGCAAAAACAAAAAGCTCACCTCCCTGTAACCCCCTCGAACGTCGATCGTATGATGGCCTCCATGAGCTTTGAACCGTCTGGGAGGAGGGCAGGTGAATGGACAGGGGAGGGAGCAAGGAACCAGAGCAGGCAACAGGCGCAGTCGGGGATCATGCATGTGAAGTGTCGTTCGTATGATGGCCTCCATGAGCTTTGAACCGTCTGAGAGGAAAGTGGGTGAAGGGATAGGTGGGGTGCGAGGAGGATGGACGGGCATGTCAATGAACAACCACAGCACAGCATTCATGCCCCAACCACGTCGAACGTCGTTCGTATGATGGCCTCTATGAGCTTTGAACCGTCTGGGAGGAGAATGGGTGAAGGGATAGGGGGGGATCGAGGAGAATGGACGGGCATGTCAATGAAAAACCACAGCACAGCAGTCATGCCACAACCCCCTCGAATGCCGTTCGTATGGGAGGACCCGTATGGGAGGACCCGTCACAACCTCCATCATCTTTGACCCGTTTGGGAGGACCCGTTCCCCTTGTCATGCCCTCGAGTGTTTTTTGAGAATTCTAAAAAAACACTGAATGCCGTTCGTATGATAACCTCCATCATCTTTGACCCGTTTGGGCACCCGTTCCCCTTGTCATGCCCTCTCACTCACTCCCTCCATGTACTCATGATCTCGAGTCCCGCACTGCCTATCCCTGAGATGCACTCTCTCGCACTCCCGTTCATGTACGCACCAAGGTTCTCTTGCAGCCGAGCCAGGTCAGTAGACGCCCCCCCACCCTTCGGCAACTCCACTGCTTATCACCGCTCTAAACCCATTATTCCCCCTCGGCACTCCCTCCCCCATACGCATTCACTTCGTACAATGCATTCGTATTCCCTATCAAGCACGCACCAAGGTTCTCTTGCAGCCGAGCCAGGTCAGTAGACGCCCCTCCTCCCTTTGGCAACTGCACTGCTTGCCACCGCTCTAAACCCACCACTCCCCCATTCGTACCCCCTGCCCCCGCCCCCACTCCCCCTGTCGCTGCTTCTGCTCCTGCCAGCCTCCCGGTGCTGTTAACGCCGCTGCCACTGCCACTGGCGTTGCCGTTGGCGGCAGGAGGAGGGGTGGTGATGGGGGGTGGGGAGGTCGGGTAGAGGAGTGCGTGGATGGAGCGGGCGATGAGGGAGAGGGAATCAAAGGCGAAGAGAGTGTAGAGTGTGGTGGTCTGCACGGTGGATGGGGGGAGAGGAGAGGGAGGGGACAGTGAGGGGGGAGAGGAGGGCAGGCGGACAGGGGGGGAGTGATAAGAGTTGGGGTAGAAGCGGAGTGTCTGGCACATGCGATGAGGGAGAAGGGGTGGGGGGTTGTTTGACTGTTGACTATCCTGGTCGTGTTCCCATCCCCATCCCATCCGCCTGCCACGCACGCCTCAACCACCCCTCTCCACCCCTCTCCACCCCTCTTCAAACTCAGACTGCTCTTGAGGCGCCTCAACCACCCCTCTCCACCCCTCTCTCACCTGATCAAAGGCCACACCACCGTTGGTTGCATTCCCGTCCCCATCCGCCTGCCACGCGCGCTCAAACTCAGACAGCTGGGGGTCTTTTGAGTCGATTCAACTCACACCCCCCCCCCCCCCCCACCCCCCGCCCCTCCTCCCCCCTCGTTCTCACCTGATCAAAGGCTGCACCACCGTTGGTCGCGTTCCCATCCCCATCGGCCTGCCATGCGCTCTCAAACTCGGACAGCTGGGGGTTGGGCGGCACGAAGACGCGCGTGCCGATCATCCCTTCGGTGGAGAGCTCGGGCAGGTTCTCTAGCTCCGCCACCACTCCCTCTGTGGCTATCCACACATAGCCTGGAGTCATCATTCCCACCTCCGATGCTGCTCATGGGGAGTGGGGGCATGGGACGGTTGTAGTAGCACGGGGAGAATAGGGGCATGGAAACACAGAACTGAAGATCATCCCCTTCGGTGGAGAGCTCTGGCAGGTCCTCTAACTCCGCCACCACTCACTCTGTGGCTATCCACACGTAACCCGGAGTCATCATGCCCACTTCGTATGCTGATAAGGGGAGGAAGAGAGCGGGCAGAGAGAGGTATGGAGGTTTGTGTTGCTGTGCAAGCCGTTGAAGGTTCTCTAGCTCCGCTACCACTCCCTCTGGGGCCATCCACACATAGCCCGGCGTCATAATTCCCACTTCTGATGCTGTTGTGACAGGCGGGGGAAGAGGAGAGGGCATGGGAGAGAGTATGAGGAGCATGGGGCATTGAGTTCTCCGGATCCGCTACCACCCCCTCTGTGGCTATCCACACATAGCCCGGCGTCATAATTCCCACTTCTGATGCTGTTGTGACAGGCGGGGGAAGAGGAGAGGGCATGGGAGAGAGTATGAGGAGCATGGGGCATTGAGTTCTCCGGCTCCGCTACCACCCCCTCTGTGGCTATCCACACATAGCCCGGCGTCATCATTCCCACCTCTGCCGCTGTTGAGAGAGGAAGGCAGAGTAGGCAGAGGGAAGGGCATGGAGAGGGAGGGTATCAGTTTCTCTGCTTGCCATTGAAGGCTATGGGAGGTACTCCAGCTCCGCAGGAGTCCGGCATGGGACCACTGACCATGGGACAGACAGATGTACAGCAGTCAGCACAGCAGCAGGCGGCACTCAACCCACCAGCAGTGAGCACGGGCACGATGAGGTCGAGGTTGAGCTGGAGAACGAAGACCGTGGACTCCAGCTTCTGAGCGGCGAGCAGGCAGCAGTGAAAGCACTGACCATGAAACAAACATCCTGTACTCCAGCTGCAGGCAGCAGCCACCCAGCCTACCAGCAGTGAGCACGGGCACGATGAGCTCGAGGTTGAGCTGGAGGATAAATACGGTTGACTCCAGCTTCTGAGCGGCGAGCAGGCAGCAGTGAAAGCACTGACCATGAAACAAACATCCTGTACTCCAGCTGCAGGCAGCAGCCACCCAGCCTACCAGCAGTGAGCACGGGCACGATGAGCTCGAGGTTGAGCTGGAGGATAAATACGGTTGACTCCAGCTTCTGAGCGGCGAGCAGGCAGCAGTGAAAGCACTGACCATGAAACAAACATCCTGTACTCCAGCTGCAGGCAGCAGCCACCCAGCCTACCAGCAGTGAGCACGGGCACGATGAGCTCGAGGTTGAGCTGGAGGATAAATACGGTTGACTCCAGCTTCTGAGCGGCGAGCAGACGCACGATGATGTCGGAGAGAGATGCGTCGAGGGGCACAGCAATGCTCTTCACCACATCCACTGACGCCTGGTGGTGTGGGAGGGGGGGTTGGGGGGTTGGGCACAGGAAGAGCAAGGCACAGCAGGCGCACGATGATGTCTGAGAGGAGAGCGAGGCGTCGAGCGGCACAGCGATGCTCTTCACCACGTCCACTGACGCCTGGTGGTGTGGGAGAAGGGGTGGGATTCGGGAGAAGGGGTGGGGGATGGGATGCAGGGGCGGCAGGCGCACGATGATGTCAGAGAGGGAGGCGTCGAGGGGCACAGCGATGCTCTTCACCACATCCACTGACGCCTGGTGGTGTGGTGCGGTGTGGTGTGGTAAGGAGGGGGGAGTGGGAGTTAGGAGAAGGGGGCGTGGTGTCCGATTGGGGCAGCAGTCTCACGATGATGTCGGAGAGGGAGGCATCGAGGGGCACAGCAATGCTCTTCACCACGTCCACTGACGCCTGGTGGAAGCGGGGGTAAGCGGGTGGAGGAAGAGGACACCCTATCTCCCAGGACACCCTATCTGCCAGCTCACCCTATCTCCCAGCTCACCCTATCTCCCAGCTCACCCTATCTCCCAGCTCACCCTATCTGCCAGCTCACCCTGTCTGCCAGCTCACCCTATCTGCCAGCTCACCCTATCTGCCAGCTCACCCTATCTCCCAGCTCACCCTATCTCCCAGCTCACCCTATCTGCCAGCTCACCCTATCTGCCAGCTCACCCTATCTGCCAGCTCACCCTATCTGCCAGCTCACCCTATCTCCCAGCTCACCTTATCCGCCAGCTCACCTTATCCGCCAGCTCACCTTATCCGCCAGCTCACCTTATCCAGCAGCACCGCCAGCTGGTTGACTCCGTTTCGGCCATAGTCGTCGTCGCTGTATATTGTAATCACCTCCAGCCAGCTGAAATGCGTCACTAGGTCTGGGGGATGGGAGTGAGATGCAGGAGGACGGGAAGAGGTGGGGGAAGTGTGTCACGAGGTTGGGGTGGTTTCTTTCTGCCATAGTGGTCGTCGCTGTAGATGGTGATCACCTCCAACCAGGTGAAATGCGTCACCAGGTCTGCAGTGAGGAAGCAGGGAGAAGCAGGGCAGGCAAGTCGCGGATGAGTGGGGGGAGAATGAGGAGGGGGTGGCCTGCCATAGTCGTGACTCGTCATCGCTGTAGATGGTGATCACCTCCAGCCAGCTGAAATGCGTCACCAGGTCTGCAGTGAGGAAGCAGGGAGAAGCAGGGCAGGCAGGTCACGAATGAGTGGGGGGGGGGGAATGAGGAGGGGGTGGCCTGCCATAGTCGTGACTCGTCATCACTGTAGCTGGTGATGCGTCACCAGCTCTGGTCTAGCCAGCTGAAATGCGTCACCAGGTCTGGGGGATGGGGGAGAATTGGGGGGAAGGAGGGAGGGAAGGAGGGGAGAAGGAGGGAGGGAAGGAGGGAGGGGGTTGAGAGGGGGGTGTACGTGTGAGTAAGTGTGAGTGTGTGCAAAGTAAGTCTCTGTAGATGGTGGTCAGGTCACCTCCAAACAGCTGACTGAAATGCGTCGCCAGGAACGCGAGAGGAGATGGGATGAGAGGTGGGCTGGGCCCCCACAATGCTACAGTCAGTCAGCCACACGTCACGTGCTGCTATGCTATGCCCATCAACACGCCCCATCCCACCATTCCCATCAAAATGTCAAGTCATGTGTCATCCGCTATAGCCTGCATCTTGATAGCGTTGCTGCGGATGGTGCGAGTGAAGTAGGGGGAGGTGGTGGCTGGGAGGGAGGAGCCGGGCCCTACGCCCTCACACTGCTATAATCAGCTGCCACATGCTGCCACCCACCCTGCTACGCCCATCAACGCGTCACGTCTCACTCACCTGCTATGGCCTGCATCTCAAGAGCGTCGCTGCGGATGGTGCGATTGAAGAAGGGGTAGGACGCGGCCAAGAGGGAGGGGTGGAGCACTACCCCCACCACAATGTTAATCAGCCAGCCATGCCTGGCTGGCCTGCTGCTATGCCCATCAGCTCGGCCCACCCCACCACCATTCCCATCAGCATGTCACATTCTTCTCACCATGGCTTTCAGCACGTCACGTCACGTCTCACCCGCTATGGCCTGCATCTCGAGAGCGTCGCTGCGGATGGTGCGAGTGAAGAAGGGGTAGGAGGCGGCTGAGAGGGAGGGATCCGTGGCGGAATAGGAGACCATGGGGACCTGGTGGGGGGGTGGGGGTGGTGGCGGGGGATGGTTGGAAGGAGAAAATGAAGGGGAGAGACAAGACAACGGCGGGTAGGAGGTGGCTGAGAGGGAGGAGTGCATGGAGGAATAGGAAACCAGAGAGACGTGGTGGAAGAGGGAGAGATGAAATATGGTGATGGGGTGAGCCAGGAACTGGTGGGAGGCAGGCGGCATTGTGACTTGTGAGTCGCCCCTGGGGGCTGGACACATGCACGCACACAACCATGCAAGCAAGCAAGCACGCAAGCACGTCATCATGCACGCACGCACGCACTCACACACGCACTCACGCACGCACGCACGAATGCACTCATTGCACTTACGGACGAACGAACGCACTCACGCACGCACGCAATCACGCATGCAACTCAAGCGCGCACCTGCACTTGCGTGTGGATGGCCGAGAGCACGTGCGCCTGGGAGGAGGTCATGGGCCCCACTGCTGCCACCACCCTCTCTGCTAGCATTGTTTGCACCACTGCAGGGGGGTGGGACAATGCCAATGGGGGAAGGTGGGGGGGGGAGGAGGGAGGGCGGGGAAGGGAGGGCTCGCTGCTTCCACCACCCTCTCTGCCAGCATTGTCTGCACCACTGCAGGGGGGGTGGGAGAGAGCCACAACAACAATCGCATGGAAAGAGAGAGTGCGAGAGAGGGTTGCACCTGAGGAGGCAGCCTGCGTGGTGGAGAGACTCGTGTTGACTGGCACGACCTCAATTGTGTAGTCCGGCAGCAGCTGATCGTTGCCGTTGACCTGTGCCTCGGCCAATCGCACAGCTACACGTGGACAGGAAGGGAAGGAAGTGGGGGGACGGAGGCGAAAACAGCCAAGGTGAGAGGAATTTGTATTGGAGCAAAGAGAGGGTTGCTGTGAGCTTTGAAAATTGATTTCCCGGAACAACCATGCGGTTAAGCTTGAGCATATAGGTTTGAAGACTAAGAGTAACAACGGGTGAGCAGAAAGGGACTGCACGCAACCGTAACGACCTGCTTCCCGCCATTTTCAGCAGCTGCTGCTGCACTGTCGACTGCCGCATTGTTGACTGACGCACTGTCATCTCTGAGAGCAAATACGCACGCGCCGTGTTCCCCCCTACTTCCCCTCGGCACGGCATTTGATGCTACAATGGAGAGCGCGGAAGAATATAAATATATATCATATACATCATAATGATAACCACCTTTGTACATGGCCTGGCCGAAAGGAATCTCCAGCGGTACGAAGCAAGCCACTTTGATAACCTGTTTCCCGCCATTATCTGCTGCAGCTGCTACACTGTAGACAGTTGACGGAGAGACTGCTATCGAGGGTGCTTCGGACGAGGCGACAGGATTAACGGAGTCGGCTGTAGCGGTGACTGGTAGCCCTAGCAACGACAATGTGATTGCTAGCCACAACATAGCTGGTAACCCTAGTGTCACGAGCAGCTTGTGCTTGTGTTGATGACATGAACACGAATACTTAGTTCGGTTCATTCTCCGGGGCCAGTTTGAATCCTGATTGCGAATAGCAGGAAGAACAGGACGGAACAGGATGCCGGAGGAATGCAGGAAGAGCAGGAGCCTGGGAATACTTAGCCGGCTATTCTGCCAATGGGACACCAGGACAGCCCATGTCACTACGAGTTTAATTAGAGACTACCCGTCGCTTCCAATTATCAGGAATTCCGGCATCTGGTTGCCATACGAACAAAGCAATAAATAGGCGACTATGCCAGTCTCAGCAGCACGTCCCGTCTCAGCAAGCTAACAGAAAGTTCGCGAAACCCTAATTTGGTGGTGCTGAGGACCCAGCCCAGAAGCGGACTGTTTTGTATTGTTCTGTACAACACAAGCAAGCGGAACTGTAGGGGGGAAGAAAAGGAAGGCATTCTCTAGGTCGGTCGGTCGGTAGGCACTGTACGGAAATTATTTGTGCTGTTGCCTGACAGTCAAGTCAACAGTACAGCGGCATTCCCTTTGACCTGCCTCGAGTTTATCGCAAATGCTCCTCCGCGCGTCACCATTGGTGGAAAACATCACACCAACCGTTCGCGAAAGCTCGCCAAAACTCGAGGCCTCACGTCGACCACAGAAAATTGTGCGCCATTGATGTGTCGGGCGGGCGACCAGTTTCTGTTCGGTGGCGGTGTGCAAAAATAAAGGGGTACAGTTTCAATGACTACACTCTGAGAAGTCCTAGCATAAGCTGGCTAGCTTCGCTTCTAAGAAGTCCTAGCATTTTAACTAGGCAAAAAAACTCACACCTTTTAATTCGTAAAATCCTCGTTCTTTTTATGCATGACAAATACTTCAACCAATCTTCCTGAATACCTGATGACTATCATTGTATTCCTTCCCTGTTTCCATATAAAATGTTTGAGACGTACCTCTAGGCCCACATCTACGTACATGTGCCCGGTTGAGTTTCTATACATGCATTTTCCCTCAAATCAAAACACTATGTACAAAGTTGCAAGAAAGGCCCGTAACAGGGCTACAAATCCCTACCCAATATCTATGGAAAAAATGTACACGGTAAACTAGCAAGCGCATGCAACTCAACACTGATTGTACCCATTCGTACCTGCATCCATCTGCCCGTATCACACATGTCCAAGATACGTCCCACAAACCAAGCTCCTGAAACCTCTCAATGGTGTGGTCAAAACCCGGTAGGCGGCCTCTCATCAGTTACAACAATGGGCTGCGGCTCAACCTCCCACGGCTTCAAGTATCGCCCATCAACGTTACACACATGTCTGACACCAGTCTCCACCAATCAAGCTCCACAAACCTCCCGCTGGTGCGGTCAAAACCCGGTGGGTGGCCTCTCATCAGTAACAACAATGGGCCGCGGCTCAATTTCACGTGGCCTCAGGTAGGATCCCCTGCGGACCGCCTCGGCCAGCTGGTGTGATGCAAGGAGGGAGAGAAGGGGGGGAAAGAGGGGGGAGGGAAAAGGGTGTTGGTGTTGGTGATTGGCAGAGGACAAGGGAGACCAGGAAAGTGGCCTCAGGTAGGGTCCCCTGCACACCGCCTCGGCCAGCTGGTGTGATTAGAGGGAGTGAGTAGAGGGAGTGACTAGAGGGAGTGACTACCACCAGTCACTACCCTTGTTGGTTCTTTGTGCTAAACCAAGGTACTAGAGGGAGTGACTGAGGGGAGCAGACCGACTGAGTGACAGGTGGCAGGCTGACAGGTGGCAGTGGCTGACCTGCGCAGTGCAGTTGAAGGAGATGGATGCGTGTTGTGCCTCTGCTGCTAATGAATCGACAGAAAGGACTGACTGAGCTTGAATAAGGAGAGGAATTTCACCTGTGTTAGGAGAGTGAATTAAGGACAGAGTGACAGACAGGTTCACAGATTGACAGGTGGCAGTGGCTGACCTGCGCAGTGCAGTTGAAGGAGATGGATGCGTGTTGTGCCTCTGCTGCTGTTGACATGGCCACACAGCACGAATGCCTCCAATCCATGGCTGCCACGTGGCAGGGAAGGGTGAAGCAGGGTGGGTAGGGTAACTTGGATTCACGAAGGGCGTTGCGAGTGGATCCTTCAATGCCCCCCCAACACCTCCAGTGCCCCCCTCAATGCTCCCCCAATGCCCCCCCAATCGTGCAAAAATGCATGCCCCGTCACCTGTCATGCCCCTCACCTGCTTTGTGCCTCTCTGCCTGTGCGTCTGTCACCATCTGCACCAAGCCCCAATCCCCACACAGCTCCACTGGCGCCCCATCTGTTGCCCAGCCACTGCGCTGATCATCCCAGGAGAACGGCACACAGCACACACACCCCGTTCCTGCCCCGCACCTGTCTTGCCCCTCACCTGCTTTGTGCCTCTCCGCCTGTGCGTCTGTCACCATCTGCACCAGACCCCAGTCCCCACACAGCTCCACTGCCGCCCACTCCCTCTCCACCACTGCTGCCAGCAGCCGGTACACCTGCAGGGGGAGCAGCAGAGATGCACGGAGCAACTATTAAGAAAAGAAAAAACAGAAGAAGGGCTTCAAACATCCCCAGGGTTCTCATCAAGCCCAGTCCCCCACACAGCTCCACTGCCGCCCACTCCCTCTCCACCACTGCTGCCAGCAGACGGTACACCTGCAGGGGGAGCAACAGAGATGCACGGAGCAGAGATGAAGAGAGAGACACGGTGTTCGAGAAAGGTCTTCGAGCCCAACCCCTCTCCACCACTGATGACCTCAGGGTTCTTCACAAGCCCAGTCCCCCATACAGCTCCACTGCCGCCCAATCCCTCTCCACCACTGCTGCCAGCAATGCGAATTTTCTCAGAGCGCGTGAGCAGAGAGACAAACACGCCCTGCCAGATACCTTGACTCGACTCATAACGGAAATTGCATGAGTGCGCCGGCAAGTAAGTGTGCGACAAAAAAATGGAAATTGCATGCGTGCGCCGGCAAGTAAGTGTGACTGAGAGACTCACAGCAACGCGTATCTCCTCGGATCGCTTGAGCAGAGACACGAACACGCCCTGCCAGGCAGATACCAAGCACAATGCCCCAAGTCATACCACAACACCCACATCATCCATACCATGCCATGCCATGCCATGCCATGCCATGCCATGCCATGCCATGCCATGCCATGCCATGCCATGCCATACCATGCCATACCATGCCATGCCATGCCATACCATGCCATAACATGCCATACCATGCCATGCCATGCCATGCCATACCATGTCCATGCCCATGCCATGCCCATGCCATGCCACAATCCCACAGGTGAGAAGTTAGCCTTTAGGGGGCCTCAGAAAGAGACTTGAAAGTCACTCAACCCCAGGGTTGGTCCTTCAGAAGCAAATGTCACTTCCTTCAGGTTTGTCTCCACACCGGTTCTACCAGCCAAGCAACTTTACACCCCCCGCCCCCCACCAGCGCTCACTCACTGCTAGGGTGGATCGAGCCCATCCGGATTTCCTAACACCCTGCACTGCACTCCTCCCTCCTACCAGCACTCACCGCTTGAGTGGGTCCGCTCGGTGCTTCAGCTGCAGAAGTAAATGTCACTTCCCCCCTTTCTCCCCCACAGCACCCCACCGGTTCTGTCAGAACCACTTACCCCTCTCAGGCGCTCCCCTCTAATACCAGCACTGACAGCTAGAGTGGGTCCTCCTGGTGCCTTAGAAGCAGCAGTAAACGTTTCTTCCTTCAGTTTCGTCTCCCCATCGTCCCCCACCTCTGAATTCATGCCTACACCACCCCTACCGGTTTCTCAAGCACCCCCACTCCTCCCCCACCCACTCTAAGCACTCACAGCCAAGGTGGGTCCGCCTGGTGCTTTGGCCGCAGCAGCAAACGTCTCTTCCTTGAGCTTCGTCTCCCCATCATCCCCCACCTCCAAATCCATCCCCACACCACCTCCACGGGCTCCTCCTCCTCCCCCCTCATCCACCCCACTGATCCCCGAGTGGGTGGCATGCACTGGCACCATCTGCACGTTCTCGCTCCCTTCCACTCTGTCTGCTCCGAAAACGGAAGCCAGTGCATGTAGCGAGGCCTGTGCGTGAACAGGAGAGTAATGCAGTAAAAGAGGGGACGGGTGAGGTGTCCTGGAATGAAGAGTGGGTGGCATGCACTGGCACCATCTGCACGGGCTCGCTCCCTTCCACTCTGTCTGCTCCGAATATAGAAGCCAATTCGCGTAGAGACGCCTGCAGAGACGAAGGGGAGTGGAGGCATTACAAGGGTAAACACGGCACGCACTGGCACCATCTGCGCTGGCCCGTTTCATGCCACCATGTCTGCTCCAAAGATGGACGCCAATGGATGCAGCGACACCTGCGTGCGTGTGAACAGGGGTGTGACGCATTAATGGGTTGGAGGGGTGGGTTGTGCTGGAAAAACGTGTGGGTGGCATGCGCTGGCACCATCTGCAACAGCTCACTCCCTTCCACCCTGTCTGCTCTAAAGATGGATGCCAATGCGTATAGAGAGGCCTGTAAGAAGAGGGTGAGGGAGGGAATGAGGAGGGAAGTGGATGCATCTGACACCACGTGAGCGATGTTTGAGAATTCTCAAGATTTGGGTGGCGAGGCATGCAATGGCACCACGTGCCCTGGCACCACGTGCCCTGGCACCACGTGCCCTGGCACCATGTGCCCTGGCACCACGTGCCCTGGCACCACGTGCCCTGGCACCACGTGCCCTGGCACCATGTGCCCTGGCACCACGTGCCCTGGCACCATGTGCAGGGAGCATTTTAGTGTGCAAAAGCAAGGAGCACTCAAGATGACTCACCGTGTGCAGGGAGGTGTGAGGGCCGCAGCCCCCAAAGGCACGCTTGAGAACGAAGCTGATGATGCAAGCAGGGAGGGGTGGGGAGCACTTTAGTGTGCAAAAGCAAGGAGCACTCAAGATGACTCACCGTGTGCAGGGAGGTGTGAGGGCCGCAGCCCCCAAAGGCGTGCTTGAGAACGAAGCTGATGATGCAAGCAGGGAGGGGTGGGGAGCACTTTAGTGTGCAAAAGCAAGGAGCACTCAAGATGACTCACCGTGTGCAGGGAGGTGTGAGGGCCGCAGCCCCCAAAGGCGTGCTTGAGAACGAAGCTGATGATGCAAGCAGGGAGGGGTGGGGAGCACTTTAGTGTGCAAAAGCAAGGAGCACTCAAGATGACTCACCGTGTGCAGGGAGGTGTGAGGGCCGCAGCCCCCAAAGGCACGCTTGAGAACGAAGCTGATGATGCAAGCAGGGAGGGGTGGGGAGCACTTTAGTGTGCAAAAGCAAGGAGCACTCAAGATGACTCACCGTGTGCAGGGAGGTGTGAGGGCCGCAGCCCCCAAAGGCACGCTTGAGAACGAAGCTGATGATGCAAGCAGGGAGGGGTGGGGAGCACTTTAGTGTGCAAAAGCAAGGAGCACTCGCACTCAAGATGACTCACCGTGTGCAGGGAGGTGTGAGGGCCGCAGCCCCCAAAGGCGTGCTTGAGAACGAAGCTGATGATGCAAGCAGGGAGGGGTGGGGAGCACTTTAGTGTGCAAAAGCAAGGAGCACTCAAGATGACTCACCGTGTGCAGGGAGGTGTGAGGGCCGCAGCCCCCAAAGGCGTGCTTGAGAACGAAGCTGATGATGCAAGCAGGGAGGGGTGGGGAGCACTTTAGTGTGCAAAAGCAAGGAGCACTCAAGATGACTCACCGTGTGCAGGGAGGTGTGAGGGCCGCAGCCCCCAAAGGCACGCTTGAGAACGAAGCTGATGATGCAAGCAGGGAGGGGTGGGGAGCACTTTAGTGTGCAAAAGCAAGGAGCACTCAAGATGACTCACCGTGTGCAGGGAGGTGTGAGGGCCGCAGCCCCCAAAGGCACGCTTGAGAACGAAGCTGATGATGCAAGCAGGGAGGGGTGGGGAGCACTTTAGTGTGCAAAAGCAAGGAGCACTCAAGATGACTCACCGTGTGCAGGGAGGTGTGAGGGCCGCAGCCCCCAAAGGCACGCTTGAGAACGAAGCTGATGATGCAAGCAGGGAGGGGTGGGGAGCACTTTAGTGTGCAAAAGCAAGGAGCACTCAAGATGACTCACCGTGTGCAGGGAGGTGTGAGGGCCGCAGCCCCCAAAGGCACGCTTGAGAACGAAGCTGATGATGCAAGCAGGGAGGGGTGGGGAGCACTTTAGTGTGCAAAAGCAAGGAGCACTCAAGATGACTCACCGTGTGCAGGGAGGAGTGAGGGCCGCAGCCCCCAAAGGCGTGCTTGAGAACGAAGCTGATGATGCAAGCAGGGAGGGGTGGGGAGCACTTTAGTGTGCAAAAGCAAGGAGCACTCAAGATGACTCACCGTGTGCAGGGAGGTGTGAGGGCCGCAGCCCCCAAAGGCGTGCTTGAGAACGAAGCTGATGATGCAAGCAGGGAGGGGTGGGGAGCACTTTAGTGTGCAAAAGCAAGGAGCACTCAAGATGACTCACCGTGTGCAGGGAGGTGTGAGGGCCGCAGCCCCCAAAGGCACGCTTGAGAACGAAGCTGATGATGCAAGCAGGGAGGGGTGGGGAGCACTTTAGTGTGCAAAAGCAAGGAGCACTCAAGATGACTCACCGTGTGCAGGGAGGTGTGAGGGCCGCAGCCCCCAAAGGCACGCTTGAGAACGAAGCTGATGATGCAAGCAGGGAGGGGTGGGGAGCACTTTAGTGTGCAAAAGCAAGGAGCACTCAAGATGACTCACCGTGTGCAGGGAGGTGTGAGGGCCGCAGCCCCCAAAGGCACGCTTGAGAACGAAGCTGATGATGCAAGCAGGGAGGGGTGGGGAGCACTTTAGTGTGCAAAAGCAAGGAGCACTCAAGATGACTCACCGTGTGCAGGGAGGTGTGAGGGCCGCAGCCCCCAAAGGCGTGCTTGAGAACGAAGCTGATGATGCAAGCAGGGAGGGGTGGGGAGCACTTTAGTGTGCAAAAGCAAGGAGCACTCAAGATGACTCACCGTGTGCAGGGAGGTGTGAGGGCCGCAGCCCCCAAAGGCACGCTTGAGAACGAAGCTGATGATGCAAGCAGGGAGGGGTGGGGAGCACTTTAGTGTGCAAAAGCAAGGAGCACTCAAGATGACTCACCGTGTGCAGGGAGGTGTGAGGGCCGCAGCCCCCAAAGGCGTGCTTGAGAACGAAGCTGATGATGCAAGCAGGGAGGGGTGGGGAGCACTTTTGTGTGCAAAAGCAAGGAGCACTCAAGATGACTCACCGTGTGCAGGGAGGTGTGAGGGCCGCAGCCCCCAAAGGCACGCTTGAGAACGAAGCTGATGATGCAAGCAGGGAGGGGTGGGGAGCACTTTAGTGTGCAAAAGCAAGGAGCACTCAAGATGACTCACCGTGTGCAGGGAGGTGTGAGGGCCGCAGCCCCCAAAGGCACGCTTGAGAACGAAGCTGATGATGCAAGCAGGGAGGGGTGGGGAGCACTTTAGTGTGCAAAAGCAAGGAGCACTCAAGATGACTCACGGTGTGCAGGGAGGTGTGAGGGCCGCAGCCCCCAAAGGCACGCTTGAGAACGAAGCTGATGATGCAAGCAGGGAGGGGTGGGGAGCACTTTAGTGTGCAAAAGCAAGGAGCACTCAAGATGACTCACCGTGTGCAGGGAGGTGTGAGGACCGCAGCCCCCAAAGGCACGCTTGAGAACGAAGCTGATGACATGGCGGCGCGGGTTGAGCAGCAGGCGAGTGCCATGTGTGGCTGGAGGGAGAAAAGTGTTGGAGGGACGAGGATGAGGGGACAGAGGCAGGCGGGGGAGGGGGTTGAGAAGCAGGCGGGTGCCTTGTGTGGCTGGCAAAGAGACAGTGTGTTTGAGGGGGGGGGGAGAAGGAACAAGGCGTTGGGTGTGGGAGGAGAGACAGGCAGGAGAAACGGTAAGAGGGAGAATTTGAAGCAGGCAATTCCTTATCGGAAGCAGCAACTCGCAGCGTGCGTAGGTGGCAAAAGCATCGAAGAATCCCTCCACCGTCTATGCTGGCACGTGCTCCTTGCTGCACCCCCATGCCTCACACATGCATCACAGGCGGGCATAGCGAGCAACTCGCAGCGATCGAAGAATCCCTCCACCGTCTCGGCTGGCACATGCTCCTCAGCGCGACCCCACGCTTCAATCATGCCTCACAGCGTGCATAGACCATCACTAACTCACAGAGGGCATAGGCAGCAAGCGACTAACAGCGAGCATAGGTGGAGAGGGCATCAAAGAACCGTTCAGCTGTCTCGGCTGGCACATGCTCTTCACTGCGCCCCCATGCCTCACAGACGGTACAGCAGGCACGGACAGGTCATGGCACAGCGGGTGCATTCATGCACTCACATCGTGCGTAGGTGGCGAAAGCATCGAAGAATCCCTCCACCATCTCGGCTGGCACATGCTCCTCACTCTGCCCCACGCCTCACACATGCCTCACACATGCCTCACACATGGCACAGTGGCGCATTCATGCACTCCCAGCATGCGTAGTTGGCGAAAGCATCGAAGAATCCCTCCACCGTCTCAGCTGGCACATGCTCCTCAGCGCGACCCCACGCTTCAATCATGCCTCACAGCGTGCATAGACCATCACTAACTCACAGAGGGCATAGGCAGCAAGCGACTAACAGCGAGCATAGGTGGCGAGGGCGTCAACGAACCCTTCACCTGTCTCGGCTGGCACATACTCCTCACATGCCCCACAGATACCTCACAGCGTGCATAGACGGCACAGTGGGTGCATTCATGCACTCACAGCGTGCATAGGTGGCAAGAGCATCAAAGAACCCCTCCACTGTCTCGGCTCGCACGTGCTCCTCACTGCGTCCCCATGCCTCACAGATGCTGTTAAAGAGTGCTGCCACCTCGTCCGCCTCTGACGCACAAGAAGAGAAATGAAAGGGCGGGCCAGGATGACTTTTGAGTCCAATTTGAAGCCAGTACCTCGCTCCGCCCCCACGCCTCACACATGCTGTTGAACAGCGCTGCCACCTTGTCCGCCTCTGAAGGACAGGGAAAGGGAGGAAAGGGATGGAAAGGGATGGAAAGGGATGGAAAGGGATGGAAAGGGATGGAAAGGGATGGAAAGGCTCGTGAACCAAGAAGATGCGTTGAAAGAGATGGGTTTGGTTCAACCCAAAAGTCCCAGTGTTCCTCCTCACTGCTGCTGCTAACGAGGTGACTTTTGAGTCGACTCAAAAGTCACCTCGTTTGGTTCAACCCAAAAGTCCCAGTGTTCCTCCTCACTGCTGCTGCTAACGATGGTGCTGGCAAGATCAGGACCAGTTCTAGACGAATTCAAGGGAGGGTACATACCAAGGCGAGGAGAGAGAGGCGAGTGGACACCGGTGAAAGGAGAACGTACGGATTAAAGTGAGAGGGGCCATGACTCCTGGCGTTGCCGGCGAGGTGAGGCGCGCAGCACACTTGAGAGCAGCTGGCAGGAGAAGGTCCAACCCCAAATGCAGCGACGCTGCTGCTGGTCGTGCTGCTGCTGCTGCTGATGATGGCGCTTCTCCTTCTGCTGCTGCCGGTGCCGGCGTTGATGCCTTGGTGCAGATCTGCACGAGTGCCTCGTGAATCTCGTCTATGCGGGGTTCAAGCAGCTCCACGCCCACCCTGCTGCTCGTGAACTGGCAGGCACGTGTGGGGAGAGGGAAAATGCAACGAGATGCAACACAAGGGAAGAAGGGACAGAAGGAGAGAGAGAGTGATGCCTTGGTGCAGATCTGAATGAGTGCCTGGTGAATCTTGTCAATGCGGGGTTCAAGCAGCTCCACGCCCACTCTGCTGCTCGTGAACTGGCAGGCACGGGAGAGGGGGAATGCAGCGAAAAAAAGCAGCTCTGAAGAGGGAACACGAGAGAGTGCAGGTCTGGACGAGTGCCCTGCACGGTGAATCTCGTCGATTCGAGGCTCAAGCAGCTGCGCTGCACACCCACTCTGCTGCTCGTGAACTGGCAGGCACGGGTGATGAGAGTAGGGGGGGACGAGACAAGGGAAGATGTAAGCAGATGTGGATGAGGGTCGTACTTGTGAATCTCATCAATTCGAGGCTCAAGCAGTTGCACGCCCACTCTGCTGCTCGCAGGTGTGGAACGGGGGAGAAGCAGAATGCAACCAGGTTTGTACAAATGACCAAGAAAGAACGGGGGGGGGGGAGGAAAGGAAACGCTGCACCTCTGAGAAGAAGAAGAAGAAGAAGAAGAAGAAGAAAGAAGAAGAAGAAGGGAGAAAGAAGAAGGGAGGGAGAAAGAAGAAGGGAGGGAGAAAGAAGAAGGGAGGGAGAAAGAAGAAGGGAGGGAGAAAGAAGAAGGGAGGGAGAAAGAAGAAGGGAGGGAGAAAGAAGAAGGGAGGGAGAAAGAAGAAGGGAGGGAGAAAGAAGAAGGGAGGGAGAAAGAAGAAGGGAGGGAGAAAGAAGAAGGGAGGGAGAAAGAAGAAGGGAGGGAGAAAGAAGAAGGGAGGGAGAAAGAAGAAGGGAGGAGAAGAAGAAGGGAGGAGAAAGAAGAAAGGAGAAGGGAGGGAGAAAGAAGAAGGGAGGGAGAAAGAAGAAGGGAGGGAGAAAGAAGAAGGGCGGGAGAAAGGAGAAGGGCGGGAGAAAGGAGAAGGGCGGGAGAAAGGAGGAGGGCGGGAGAAAGGAGGAGGGCGGGAGAAAGGAGGAGGGCGGGAGAAAGGAGGAGGGCGGGAGAAAGAAGGAGGGCGGGAGAAAGAAGGAGGGAGGGAGAAAGGAGGAGGGCGGGAGAAAGGAGGAGGGCGGGAGAAAGGAGGAGGGCGGGAGAAAGGAGGAGGGCGGGAGAAAGGAGGAGGGCGGGAGAAAGAAGGAGGGCGGGAGAAAGGAGGAGGGCGGGAGAAAGGAGGAGGGCGGGAGAAAGGAGGGAGGGAGAAAGGAGGAGGGAGGGAGAAAGGAGGAGGGAGGGAGAAAGGAGGAGGGAGGGAGAAAGGAGGAGGGCGGGAGAAGGGAGGGAGAAAGAAGAAGGGCGGGAGAAAGAAGAAGGGCGGGAGAAAGGAGGGAGGGCGGGAGAAAGGAGGGAGGGCGAAAGGAGGAGGGCGGGCGAAAGGAGGAGGGCGGGAGAAAGGAGGAGGGCGGGAGAAAGGAGGAGGGCGGGAGAAAGGAGGAGGGCGGGAGAAAGGAGGAGGGCGGGAGAAAGGAGGAGGGCGGGAGAAAGGAGGAGGGCGGGAGAAAGGAGGAGGGCGGGAGAAAGGAGGAGGGCGGGAGAAAGGAGGAGGGCGGGAGAAAGGAGGAGGGCGGGAGAAAGGAGGAGGGCGGGAGAAAGGAGGAGGGCGGGAGAAAGGAGGAGGGCGGGAGAAAGGAGGAGGGCGGGAGAAAGGAGGAGGGCGGGAGAAAGGAGGAGGGCGGGAGAAAGGAGGAGGGCGGGAGAAAGGAGGAGGGCGGGAGAGAGGAGGAGGGCGGGAGAGAGGAGGAGGGCGGGAGAGAGGAGGAGGGCGGGAGAGAGGAGGAGGGCGGGAGAGAGGAGGAGGGCGGGAGAGAGGAGGAGGGCGGGAGGAGGAGGAGGGCGGGAGGAGGAGGAGGGCGGGAGGAGGAGGAGGGCGGGAGGAGGAGGAGGAGGAGGAGGAGGAGGAGGAGGAGGAGGAGGAGGAGGAGGAGGAGGAGGAGGAGGAGGAGGAGGAGGAGGAGGAGGAGGAGGAGGAGGAGGAGGAGGAGGAGGAGGAGGAGGAGGAGGAGGGCGGGAGGAGGAGGAGGGCGGGAGGAGGAGGAGGGCGGGAGGAGGAGGAGGGCGGGAGGAGGAGGAGGGCGGGAGGAGGAGGAGGGCGGGAGGAGGAGGAGGGCGGGAGGAGGAGGAGGGCGGGAGGAGGAGGAGGGCGGGAGGAGGAGGAGGGCGGGAGGAGGAGGAGGGCGGGAGGAGGAGGAGGAGGAGGAGGAGGAGGAGGAGGAGGAGGAGGAGGAGGAGGAGGAGGAGGAGGAGGAGGAGGAGGAGGAGGAGGAGGAGGAGGAGGAGGAGGAGGAGGAGGAGGAGGGCGAGGAGGAGGAGGAGGGCGAGGAGGAGGAGGGCGAGGAGGAGGAGGAGGGCGAGGAGGAGGAGGAGGGCGAGGAGGAGGAGGAGGGCGAGGAGGAGGAGGAGGGCGAGGAGGAGGAGGAGGGCGAGGAGGAGGAGGAGGGCGAGGAGGAGGAGGAGGAGGGCGAGGAGGGCGAGGAGGGCGAGGAGGGCGAGGAGGGCGAGGAGGGCGAGGAGGGCGAGGAGGGCGAGGAGGGCGAGGAGGGCGAGGAGGGCGAGGAGGGCGAGGAGGGCGAGGAGGAGGAGGAGGAGGAGGAGGGCGAGGAGGGCGAGGAGGAGGGCGAGGAGGGCGAGGAGGGCGAGGAGGGCGAGGAGGGCGAGGAGGGCGAGGAGGGCGAGGAGGGCGAGGAGGGCGAGGAGGGCGAGGAGGGCGAGGAGGGCGAGGAGGGCGAGGAGGGCGAGGAGGAGGAGGAGGAGGAGGGCGAGGAGGAGGAGGAGGGCGAGGAGGAGGAGGAGGAGGGCGAGGAGGGCGAGGAGGGCGAGGAGGGCGAGGAGGGCGAGGAGGGCGAGGAGGGCGAGGAGGGCGAGGAGGGCGAGGAGGGCGAGGAGGGCGAGGAGGGCGAGGAGGGCGAGGAGGGCGAGGAGGGCGAGGAGGGCGAGGAGGGCGAGGAGGGCGAGGAGGGCGAGGAGGGCGAGGAGGGCGAGGAGGAGGAGGGCGAGGAGGGCGAGGAGGGCGAGGAGGGCGAGGAGGAGGAGGAGGGCGAGGAGGAGGAGGAGGGCGAGGAGGAGGAGGAGGGCGAGGAGGGCGAGGAGGAGAGGAGGAGGGCGAGGAGGAGGAGGAGGAGGAGGAGGAGGAGGAGGAGGAGGAGGAGGAGGAGGAGGAGGAGGAGGAGGAGGAGGAGGAGGAGGAGGGCGAGGAGGAGGGCGAGGAGGAGGAGGAGGAGGAGGAGGAGGAGGAGGAGGAGGAGGAGGAGGAGGAGGAGGAGGAGGAGGAGGAGGAGGAGGAGGAGGAGGAGGAGGAGGAGGAGGAGGAGGAGGAGGAGGAGGAGGAGGAGGAGGAGGAGGAGGAGGAGGAGGAGGAGGAGGAGGAGGAGGAGGAGGAGGAGGAGGAGGAGGAGGAGGAGGAGGAGGAGGAGGAGGAGGAGGAGGAGGAGGAGGAGGAGGAGGAGGAGGAGGAGGAGGAGGAGGAGGAGGAGGAGGAGGAGGAGGAGGAGGAGGAGGAGGAGGAGGAGGAGGAGGAGGAGGAGGAGGAGGAGGAGGAGGAGGAGGAGGAGGAGGAGGAGGAGGAGGAGGAGGAGGAGGAGGAGGAGGAGGAGGAGGAGGAGGAGGAGGAGGAGGAGGAGGAGGAGGAGAAGAAGAAGAAGAAGAAGAAGAAGAAGAAGAAGAAGAAGAAGAAGAAGAAGAAGAAGAAGAAGAAGAAGAAGAAGAAGAAGAAGAAGAAGAAGAGGAAGAAGAAGAAGAAGAAGAAGAAGAAGAAGAAGAAGAAGAAGAAGAAGAAGAAGAAGAAGAAGAAGAAGAAGAAGACGACGAAGCGTGCAACAGTACCACCGAGACGAGTTCACACGCTGCAAGAGCCGCCAGAGCATCTCCTCCCTCCTCACTTGCACCTCCCCCAGTACCACCTCCCTCTTCCGTTCCACCTTCACTCATCCCTGCCACTCCTTGCAGCTCCTCGACCAATGGCTGAAGCAGATCCAGCTTCTTGTGTTTTGTGGCGCCTAAATATAGTCTCATCCCACGAGGGCTAGGATCACAGGGAGAAGCAGAAAGCACGGAAAACATTAGAACAGTACCTCTGAAACGAGTTCACACGCTGCAAGAGCCGCCAGAGCATCACCCCCCTCCTCACTTGCACCTCCCCCAGTACCACCTCCCTCTTCCGTTCCGCTTTCTCCCATGCCTGCCACTCCTTGCAGCTCTGCGACCAATGGCTGCAGCAGATCCAGCTTCTCGACTGCTGACATGGCGTGCTGCGACTGGTTGGCCAGACGCAGTGCTGCCTCCACCACACGTTGCTGCACCTGGCGAGGAGAAGGAAAAGAGGAAAAAAACAATACAGGAGAGAAAAAAGATAATTCGGAAATGAGAGGAAACAAAATAAAATCATGAAAGTAGACAATATATATGTAAGTGTTTTTTTCAAAGCAGAAAACGCAATGGTATTGTTTCCCCTGGTATACCTGTGAGTGCGACGAGCGTGTAAGCTTGTACAGTTGATCACTACTGAAAATTAGGCTCTGAAACGAACGAAAGGCAGGAAGGGAGGATTGCGGGACAGAAGGATTGTGGGATGGTAAAACTGAGAAGATTGAAACACTTGAGAGGTAGCATGAGAATGGGTGAAAGCATTACCATGAGCCGAATGCAATGCACTGACAGCCTTCCAAACAGAGTTCATGAGTTAAACTGTATACAGTCGATACACCCCAACACACAGAACCCAAGGGCGATCGACTGTAAGCCTCGGGGGCGTCAGTGGCAGCAGCAGCTACAGGCAGGTGGTCGTCGCCCAAGCACCGCACCAAAACCACATGCTTTCTAAACCACAAAAAAACATGGGCCCAGAATCCAACGTACCACTCCCAAGGGCGATCGGCAGAAGGCAGCGAGGGCGTCAGTCGCGGCAGCAGCCACAGGCAGGTGGTCGTTACCCAAGCACCGCATCGCACCACACCAAACCATACCAACGCTCTCTAAACCACAAACACATGGGCCATAAACTCATCGTACCACTCCCAAGGGCAATCGGCAGAAGGCAGCGAGGGTGTCAGTGGCTGCAGCAGCCACAGGCAAGTACTCGTCAGCCAAGCACCGCATTGCACCACACCAAACCATACCAACGCTCTCTAAACCACAAAAACATGGGCCATAAACTCATCGTACCACTCCCAAGGGCAATCGGCAGAAGGCAGCGAGGGTGTCAGTGGCTGCAGCAGCCACAGGCAAGTACTCGTCAGCCAAGCACCGCATTGCACCACACCAAACCATACCAACGCTCTCTAAACCACAAACACATGGGCCATAAACTCATCGTACCACTCCCAAGGGCAATCGGCAGAAGGCAGCGAGGGTGTCAGTGGCGGCAGCAGCCACAGGCAAGTACTCGTCAGCCAAGCACCGCATTGCACCACACCAAACCATACCAACGCTTTTCAAACAACCAACACATGGGCCCAAAACTCATCATACCACTCCCAAGGCCGATCGGCAGAAGGCAGCGAGGGCGACAGTGGCGGCAGCAGCCACAGGCAAGTACTCGTCAGCCAAGCACCGCATTGCACCACACCAAAACCATACCAACGCTTTTCAAACCACCAACACATGGGCCCAAAACTCATCATACCACTCCCAAGGCCGATCGGCAGAAGGCAGCGAGGGCGTCAGTGGCGGCAGCAGCCACAGGCAGGTGCTCGTCGCCCAAGCACCGCACTAAACCCTCCCCCACCACTCGCCTTGCCACCTCCCCCTGACTCCCCAGCTCCTGCATCTCCTCCTCTCCCCCTTCTGCCATGCGCTGAAGCTGAGGAAGGGCAGAAGGGAAAGGGAAAAACACACAGGGAATGTGAACGTGCCTTTTGACATGCCATGTTCCCTTGAAACCCGAGCGAGCTCCTGCATCTCCTCTTCTCCCCCCTCTGCCATGCGCTGAAGCTGAGGAAGGGAAGGGCAGAAGGGAAAGGGAAAAACACACAGGGAATGTGAAGGTGCCTTTTGACATGCCATGTTCCCTTGAAACCCGAGCGAGCTCCTGCATCTCCTCCTCTCCCCCCTCTGCCATGCGCTGAAGCTGAGGAAGGGAAAGGCAGAAGGGAAAGGGAAAAACACACATGGAATGTGAAGGTGCCTTTTGACATGCCATGTTCCCTTGAAACCCGAGCGAGCTCCTGCATCTCCTCTTCTCCCCCCTCTGCCATGCGCTGAAGCTGAGGAAGGGCAGAAGGGAAAGGGAAAAACACACAGGGAATGTGAAGGTGCCTTTTGACATGCCATGATCCCTTGAAACCCGAGCGAGCTCCTGAATCTCCTCCTCTCCCCCTTCTGCCATGCGCTGAAGCTGAGGAAGGGAAAAGCAGAAGGGAAAGGGAAAAACACACAGGGAATGTGAAGGTGCCTTTGACTTGCCACCTCCCCCTGACTTCGTAGCTCCTGCATCGCCTCCTCTCCCCCCTCTGCCATGCGCTGCAGCTGAAGGAATGAGAGAAAGGGTATAGAGGAAGGGACAAGGGTAAGCGAAGCATGACGGTGCGTTTTGTTCGTGATTTTCACCTCGCCCTGAACCCCTGCCTCCTGTATCTCCTCCCCTCATCCCTCTGCCATACGCTGCATGCAGCTGGTCGTGTTTGAGAAACAAGCAGGAGTAACAGGAATGACAACGGTGGAGGACCAGCAGATGCGTTGTGAACAGGAATACAACGGACGCAAAAGAGTGCGTAATTGACTTAATCTCCACATGTGTTGTTTGTTAGACTTCATGTGAACTAAATAGTTCGACTGAAACAGACGCATGTAATCAGGACGACAGCAAATGGTCAGATTTTGAGTAAGGAGTGTGTATGTGCTCTCACTCTCACCAATGTGTGCTGGGTTTGCTCACCGCAAAGCAGCAGAGGCGTCGCATGTCTGGGGAGGGCGAGAGCATCCCTTTCTCCGCATATGGCTGCACGGCAGACGCACACACAGCGGCAGACGCACATACAGCGGCCGACTCACACACAGCGGCAGACGCACATACAGCGGCAGACGCACACACAGCAGCAGACGCAAAGGAAATGCACATGGTGTGAGGTGCCTCGGCATGGCTTGGGGCGCCTCGGCATGGATTGAGGATGGATTGATGATGTATCGCGGCGTCTCAGGATGCTTTTGAGCGACTGAGGATGGCAATGGCTCCGAGCACATGGCTGCATGGACAGGCAGGCAGCAACAGAAAGCACTGGAGGGGGACTACACGAATGCTGCCTGCAGACTTCATGCATAAGACAATAAAAAAAAAACGATTCTGGTGTGTAAATCACCGTAAGACCCACCAGGAGGCTTGGAAGGACGGGAAGAACGACCTTGGACTTGAAAACCCTGAAGAGTGCCTGTACAGCTGCCTGCTGCAGCCGCATTGCTGCCTCTGAAACTCCCCTGTCTCCCTCGCCCTCCTCCCTCTCCTCCTCCATGCCTTGTGTCTGAGATGATGGTCCAGTGTCTAATGCCCTAAAAGACAAAGGACAGCGAGGCATGCTAATTGGTTGAATATACTTCTAGTGTCCCTGAGAATTGCAATAGAAAGCAACACAGGCATGCAGCGTACAGTGAATGGTACACGGGATATTGCAGAATACAGTGAATGCTGCATAAAGCACAACGCATTGTGCCTTGTAATACCTGAGAATGAGTGGCAGAGGGAAGCTGCTCAAGAAGGCAGTGACTGACCCATCATCCGATGCTGAGAGCCGTGGGAGAAGAGGAAAAGAGGAGCAGCGTAAACAACGTAATAAAAAGAGCAGATGGACGTCAGAAGAGCAGATTTGACGAAACAAGGAGGGTTCCGGGACGTCTCAAACTCGTCCTAGCAGAGGTAGGGAGCGCTCCGAGCCATAAAAATCACTATGTGCAGGTGTTTACATGGCTCATCGTAGGCTCATAAGGCTGGCCATGAGTTCATACGGCTCACCATGAGTTCATGCTACTCAACATGAGTTCATGCTACTCACCTGAGTTCATAAGGTTCACCATGAGTTCATACGGCTCACCATGAGTTCATGCTACTCAACATGAGTTCATGCTACTCACCTGAGTTCATAAGGTTCACCATGAGTTCATACGGCTCAACACGAGTTTATACCCGTCTCTGATGAAGAAATGTAATCGAACCATCCGCAAACAGAAGGTGAAAGTCCAGAGAAAGCTCTCGAAGGAATAAAGCTCACAAAAGCTCTTCCAAAAAAACATTATTTCGAGAAAAAACACGTTGTAGGTGCGTGGATGATGGTGGCTTACTCGGGGTGCTGACCAGGTCCGCTGAAGCCGCAACGAACGCGTCTGTATCGAGCGGTCGCTCCTCTGATGCCAACGGTCCCATGGGTGTCCGAGGAAATCTTGTAGAATCGCAAGACTGGACTGCTGTTCGACTACGGGTATTTCAAATGTAAACCTTGAGCCGGAATACGAGGATAATCGAATTCGCTTTTCACGTAAAGAGCAGTAAGTAGTAGTAGTCGCTACGTGGTATGAGCAACAGGAGGCGTCGCGGTCACGGTTCTTGAAATGGAAAATGTGAGTTTGCTTGCTCGACCGACTGCCGAGGCAGTGTCATATAAACAGCTTCTTCAAGGCGGCTTGCGCTGGAGAACGGTGCTTCAAGGCAACAAAACGGTTGGTAAGGATTTCGAGATGTCCTGACCAGAAGAAATGCACATCTTCAGCGAGTTTGTAGAAGCAGAAGCGGACTACACTGTGACAGGAAATCTAGAGTTTGGAATCCTGTTCATGACGAATCTTTTTATAACGAGTTAACTTCCAATTTGTCAGGCAATTGAGCCTGGAACCAGCGTGGGTTACCGCAATCAACGACATGCAGGTCTGGCTCGAACTTCCTCCAACGCATTCTTCTGCTTGCCACGTCAGCGATGAGGGGCGTGATGGCTGACTAGAGCCCCGCACTGTGTGACGTGACGAAGCGCCATGCAAGCACCAAGGACCATGCATTCTGGCACTCGGAATCATGTGTCGCACATGGAGTTTCGCGAAAGATCTGCCAGATTCTTACGACGAGATTCTCGCGAATCGACGCTGCACGACTCATATCTCCGTCGTCTCGCGTCGTCTAGCGACACCGACTTTGAGGTTAGGTATGCGCGCTGGCTCGGTCAGCAACCTTACCTCTGGCAGGTCCGTTCCGAGGCTCAATCTGCAAGCCGAGGCTGGCTGCATGACCAGATAAAAGGCGAATGCTTTCGACGGCCAAACACAGACCGTCCAACCCAAAACGAATGGGTTTCAAAATGACAGACCCGAAATCCACCAGGACACGGCAATCAGGTGCGTGATTCCCGTTGGCTTTAGGCCCACCCCTTCAGTTCAAACGAGCACCAAGCGATTCCAGTGGAGAAATCTGCCAACTGCAGTCAACTTTTCGACAACTCCAAGCCAAGGCGAGCCAAGCCATTCTCTGGGACTTCGATTCGAAAATGCAACTTCGAGGCTACGCCTGACGGAAGTGGATCGCGTCACAATGAGCCCAGGCCAATCAGAGAAGTCTGACGGGCACACAGCAACACTCCAGCCCATTTCAGTTTTCACCTCAACCGTATTCAATCGCCTAGTAACGTACAGAAACCAAATACATTTGCAATAAACCACCGCAAAACTAGACCAGGCTCCCTCAAGTCCCCTGCGACCTACATCCGTAACAAATACCCTTCAGCACCTGTCACTCTGGCTACTGCTCCAGCCTCGATTCGCGCTGCTGCGGTCGTCACTGACAAGCCGACAGATGCTCCCGTGGTGGATGGAGTAGTTTCGGTTTCAGCTCGTATTAGCGCTCGATTCAAGTGGTTTAGCAGAGAAAACAGCCGTACACGGAAGGAGTCCAAAGCTTCAACGCTACGCATCCCTGGTAGCTACTCGAGCAAGGTAGTACCACCAGACGAATTTCTCTTGTGTGCCGGAGCTCTTTCCTCGGACGAAGTAGCCGAACCGAAGAATTGGATCTGTGTACCTTTGCTGTCAGGCTCATTAGGCTCGGCGCGCTCGTCAGGCTCGGCGCGTTCGTCAGGCTCCATGACCGAACCTCGCCTCGTGAAATCCTCCTCCGCGATGAGCTTAGAAGCCGAGCCTTTACGTTCGGAACATGTAAGATCACCATCTTCACCGTACGAGACGCCTCAGAAGCCAGAAAAAGAGCCATGGCGACCGCATCGCGCGTTTCGTCAAGCGGTTCAGGACATCTCTAACATCAAGCAGCAGGCGTCGCAAGTTATCGACAGAATCAGCGGCGCTGCCGGAATCGGACCCAGACAAGGTTCATCTGGGGGTGGAGGTCAGGGTTTCTTCGGTTCTGGATCCTCCCCTCCACGAAATTCCTCAGACGCTTTTTCGTCTATGGCAGGTTACATGAGCGAATCTGAGCTCTTGGGATGGGAGACTATTATACGCAGTCCTAGAGATGGGGCTGCTGCTACCGGCGGCGCAGGGCAGCTGAGCGCTAGTGTAAGTACGCAGGAGCGCGCTGGCGGGAAGTGGATTAAGGAGCTCTCGTCGATGGCTAACGTGGTTGTTGGCCGATGCGCGAGGTATGCACAGTGCGGCTCGTGTTTCAAACTCTTAGAAACCCGTCGCATGTTACCAACTTGGTTCCGTAGCGTTTCCACCATCATCCAAGTTGCTGTTCACTCGTCGCTGGTGCTTTTTCCGGAGCCTTTTCACACCTAACCCTAAGAAGAGTCATTAACCTCAGACTAATCCATCAGTTATTTCGCCTGAAAGCGTCCGGCCTACATCCCACCCTACCTTTTTTTCGTTCCAGAGTCCTTATGCTCAAACCGGAGGAGCTAAAAGCGAATTTCGAGGAGGAAGCGCCCGCGAGCGCGCGAGAGCCGGCGCGATATGCGCGCAATTTCCTCGAGTACTGCTGCTTCCGCGCGCTGGCCGTGGCGACGCAGGTGACGGAGCACCTCAAGGACAAAGACTTCCGGCGGTGGACGTTCGACATGATGCTCGCGTGGGAGGCGCCGGGAGCCTCGAATCAGCCCACGGGACAGGTACGAAGTGGTATGCGGGCTGTCAGAACTAGCTGTTTTTTTCCTTTTTACTGGAAATTGCTGCCTCAGGTGCGCTTGTGATGCTCGCGTGGGAGGCGCCAACAACATTGAATGTGGTTTCAGGGGCGGAGGAACCAGCCGTATTCTTCTGAGGATTTGCTGCCGGTGGGTTCATCATGCTCGCGTGCTGGCGCCACGTACAGCCAATCAGCCGGCCGACAAGACTGACAGGATTCTGGCCTGCCCCCGTTGAGATGGATATGGAGAGCAGTGTGTGCATGAACATGGAGAGCGGTGTGTGCATGGACGCAGTTGCCCGCCTGGTCCCGCCATCCCACTGATGGCTCACATTCACCCCGTCTCAAAGTTCCATTCCTACTTTCCTCTCACTTTCCTCACTTTTTGCTCCTCTCCCCCTCCACCTCTCCTCAGATGGACGTGGAGAGCAGCGTGTGCATGGACGCGTTCGCCCGCCTCGCCCCAGCCATCCCGCTGGTGGCGGACAGTGTGACGGTGCACGCGCTCTTTGAGCTGCTCACCGACGAGTGCCAGGGCGGCCGCCTGCCCTTCGCCATCTACAACAACTACCTCAGCGAGCTTGAAAAGTGAGCAGGCTGCCTGGCCTTGGAAGAGTGAGAGCGGGCTCTTTGGTCCTGAAGAGAAGTGAGCTATCAGGCCGTGTAAGCAAGCTGGACTTCTTTATCGACAACAACTACCTCAGCGAGCTTGAAAAGTGAGCAGGCTGCCTGGCCTTGGAAGAGTGAGAGCGGGCTCTTTGGTCCTGAAGAGAAGTGAGCTATCAGGCCGTGTAAGCAAGCTGGACTTCTTTATCGACAACAACTACCTCAGCGAGCTTGAAAAGTGAGCAGGCTGCCTGATTCCTGAAGCGGCATTGAGAAGTGAGCTATCTTTTCTTCGCCCTCGACAACAAACTACCTCGGCAAGCGGCATTGAGAAGTGAACAAGGAGTTTGGCTGGGAGAGAGGCTGGGTATCAGGTCTCGAAAAGTGAGCTAGCCGTCAAATCTTGAAGGGAGGCAAGGTGCTAGGCCCCGAGAAGCACCTACCTACCGCAGCGAGCTCGAAAAGTGAACAAGCTGCCGAATGTTGAAAGAAGGGGCGAGGAGGCAGTGATGGAGACGGACGGGTATCAACAGAGAGTCAGCTCGTGTTCCCTCCCCTCCTTCCCCTCCCTTTCCCAACAGGACGGTGAAGACAATAAAGAACTCCACCACAGGGGCGTTGGCCTCAGGTCTAGGGATAGTGAGAGGCGAGCAGGCAGTGAAGTGATTGAGAGAGATGGGAATCGACAGGGAGTAAGCACATGTCCGCTTCTCTCCCCCCCACCCCCTCTTCTCGCCCTCCTCTTAACAGGACGGTGAAGACAATAAAGAACTCCACCACTGGAGCGTTGGCATCGGCTCTAGGGATAGTGAGGTGCGAGCAGGCAGTGAAGTGATTGAGAGAGATGGGAATCGACAGGGAGTAAGCGCATGTCCGCTTCTCTCCCCCCCACCCCCTCTTCTCGCCCTCCCCTTAACAGGACGGTGAAGACAATAAAGAACTCCACCACTGGAGCGTTGGCATCGGCTCTAGGGATAGTGAGGGGCGAGGAGGCGGTGATTGAGACGGACGGGCAGGCGACACAGCCGGTGCTGCAGCACATAGGCGTCAGTGCCTGGCCAGGTGCGAGCTTAATTTGCCATTAGGGTTTCACTGGTTCTTGGGAATAATGAGAGGCGGGGAGGCATTGATAGGGATGGATGGACTGGCAACACAGCCGGTGCTGCAGCACATAGGCGTCAGTGCCTGGCTAGGTGCGACCTTCGTTCGCCCTTAACTTTCACGAATTTCGCGCTTTCCCATGCAGGAAAGGTGTTTATTATAACCCCACCACCCCCTCCATTCCCCCATTCCTGCAATCTCCTTCCCCCTCACTCAGGTCGGTTGACCCTGACGGATTGCGGCCTATACTTTGAGCCCAGCGGTGTCGTCTCATACGACGCAGCAAAGAAGTTTGATCTGGCAGCGGACCTCCACCAGACAGTGAAGCCCGACCTCACAGGCCCGTGGGGGGCGAAGCTGTTCGACAAGGCCATCATGTACAAATCCCATGCCATGTGAGTCAACCCTAAACCCTTGCACTGGGAACCCAGAACCCTAGACAATGGCCATGACCTAGCTGCAAAGAAGTTTGATCTGGCAGCAGACCTCCACCAGACAGTGAAGCCGGACCTCACTGGTCCATGGGGGGCGAAGCTCTTCGACAAGGCCATCATGTACAAATCCCACGCCATGTGAGTCAACCTTCAAACCCTGAACCTCTGAACCTTGATTACTGAACTTCAAAAATAAGAAGCCAAGTTCTGCACAGTGGTCAGGAATGTGTGTGCAGAAAGGAAGTTTGATCTCATGGCAGGCCTCTACCAGATGGTTCTGGAGTCCTTGAAGCTACCATGTGATCTCATGACACATTTACTTCCACCTTCACTATCCACTCTCCTTTACCCTTCCACGTCCCACCTCCCCCACCCATCCCACCCATCCCACCTTTCTGTCTGCTGGTCTGTCACCATTTCAGATCCGAGCCTGTGGTTCTGGAGTTTCCCGAACTGACCGCACACATGCGGAGAGACTATTGGCTGTCCATCATCCGCGAAATCATAGCCGTCCATTCCTTTGTCCGGACCTACAAGCTAGAAGGCCCCGCTCGCAGGCAGGCTATAGCTAAAGCCGTGAGGGGTATAGCGCGACTTAAAGCCGTGTGGAGCTTACAAAAGGCTCTCCCTACAGCGCCAGAGAGCCTCCTAACTTTCATTGCTGCGGACGAGCTTCCGGGCGGGGATAAAATCTTGCGGGCCATGGCGGGCGTGCTTAAGGCGGACTCGGGCAGCCCGAAAAAAGAACGGGAGCAGCTGGAGAAGCTAGGGGAGTTGGCTGCTGCAGCTGTGAGAAATGCCGGGTTTGGGAGTGGAGGGGGAGGGGGAGGAGGTGGGGGTGGAGGGGGGGGAGGCGGAGGGAGAGGTGGAGGGGGCGGGGGAGAGGAGGAGGGTGGGGGAGCCGGAGGAGTAGGTGGTGGGGGGGGAGGGGGGGGAGGAGCAGGAACAGCAGGAGAAGTAGGAGGAGTAGCAGCAGCAGGAGGAGCAGCAGCAGGGGTAGTATCGAGCAGATGGCAGCAAGGGGGCAGTGCAGCAGCAGCAGCAGTAGCCGCATTTCTCCCCGGCACAGCAGGGCTAATGGGCGGAGGAGGAGCAGGCGCACTGGGAGTGGGTTCATGCCCGTCTATGCCTGTAGGGGATGTGCTTGTAGGGGAGATGACGGCTCTTGAACGGGCGGTTAAGAACTCGAGAGACAAGTCGAGTAAAGTGGCCAAGGCGAAGAGATCGGTGGAAGAAGTGAAGGTGGAGGGCATTGGGACGAACGTGGCTCTCATGAAGGTATAGTGTGTGAAAGGAAGCATTTGTTGGCGTTTGTACTCTGGCAGTACTCTGAATGAGAGTAGTACGCATGTATGGCGTTTGTGCCAGTGATGCTGCTAGGCCAATGGTCCCAGTCCCGAGCCCTGTGGGAGTGCTTAAAGCTCGCGTCTCAGATTTCCAACCTTTTAACACTTGGTTGGGTTTTCCCGTCTGTGATTGGGTAACGAATGACGAATTATTTGACGAGTGGGTGAAAAAAACACAGCGAACTCCCAAACAGTCGAGGCCAAAACAAACCAGGGTGGGTTGGTTTGGGTGGAAAACGAGCCAAGGGGGACAGGTTTGGTCCCGGGTTCTGTCAACGTTGAGTTCAGAGTCTCATATTTTCGAGAGTTGTTAACACTTGGTGTGCACGGGGAAGTGTGCGACAGCCAACTTTCCCAATCCACCCCTTGCTTTGGTGTGCTTTGCGACAAACTCTGCTGTTACCGGATTCCAACCGTTTAACACTTGGTTGGATGGCAGAAATATGAGACGCGAGCTTTAAACACCACTCTTTTTTCCGCGTTCCCCGTTATCTCTCCTTTCCGCTCTTCCCTCCCCACCACACGAGCTGCTGGTACCAGTAATGCTGCTAGGCCACTGGTTTCAGTCGTTAGCCTCATGGCTTAAAACGTTATGTTCCCCTTTCCCTCTCCTTCCCCCCGTCCCTCCCTACCACAGGAGCTACTAGTGCCAGCCATGCTGCTAGGGCAGTGGTTCCAGTCGTTAGCCTCATGGGAGGAGCCTATCAAGACCATGGTCTTTCTAGCCTTTGCACTCTACATCATCTACAAGTAAGATTTTGTGTATGGGCGTTCTGCTGTTTTCCACGTTGCAATCCTTGTACATCATTAAAGGCTCCAAGCCTTGCAAAAAAAACAAAAAACAAAAAACAAAAAACAGCAAACAACAAACAAACAAACAAAGCTGTTTTCCTATGAGTCATCTGGATTTGCCTTTGCTGACACGCACTCCCTTCCATCTGTCGCCATCCGAACCTCAGGGACTGGCTCGGGTACGTCATCCCGTTCCTCCTCCTGACCAACGCGGTCATCATGATGTGGCTCCGCTTCGTGCAACAGTCCGACAGACGCCGCCCGCCGAACCGGAGAAACGAGGTGGTGGTGATCACGCCGCCCAATCAGAGCGCCGTGGAGCAGCTGGTCGTGCTTCAGGCTGCTCTAGCTCAGGTGAGGCCTCTGTTGCTTCAGGTGAGGCCTCTGTTGTTTTCAGGTGAGGCTTTTCTGGTTCAGGTGAGCCTTTGTTGTTTTCAGGTGAGATATCTGCTGTGCTTCCAAACTTCTCGCACGGCTATGGACAAGTCCACTTCCATGCACGTCCTACCCATCCTCTTTGTAGTTATGATATCATCTCCTAATAACTCCCACCATTCCTTACTCTCCACTGGGCTCTCTCGACAGGTGGAAGCGGCCATCCAAGCCCTCAACATCGCACTCCTCAAAGCACGAGCGCTAGCCCTCTCGGAACTCCCAACAGCCACAGACGAGCTAATTGCCGTCCACATATTCCTTGCCATCCTTCTCACTCCTCCTCCTGTGATTTGTCCTCCCTGTTTGTTTTCTCGGTATCCCCTACAGGTGGAGGCGGCCATCCAAGCCCTCAACATCGCACTCCTCAAAGCACGAGCGCTAGCCCTCTCCGAGCTCCCAACAGCCACAGACGAGCTAATAGCCGTCCACATAGTCCTCGCCATCCTTCTCGCCATTCTCCCGGTGCGGGTCGTGGTGCTGCTGGTGCTAGGCGACGTGTTCACACGAGAAATGGAGTTCCGGAGAGACCAAACGCGACGGCTTGTAAGGAGGTTAAGGGAGTGGTGGCACCATATCCCGGTGGTTCCTGTCCGATTTATCGAGAGGGAGAACGATGCCGATTTCTACTAGTCGTCCTCCCTGTGCGAGTCGTGGTGCTGCTGGTTCTAGGCGATGTGTCAACACCAAGTTTCTTAGGCGCCTTGACGGAGGAGGCTGTGCGAGTGGTGGCACCCATATCCCCCTAGTTTCCGTGCGGTTTATCAAGGGGGGAAGCGACACCAACCTCTACCAGCTCCCCAAAATAAAAGGTCCAGTTTTTTAGGCGCCTTGAAGGAGTCTGCAGAAGTGGGCACAGTCTTCCGGTGTAACCCGTGTGGTCGATCAGGAGGGAGAATGATATCAGCTACTTCAAGTGGATGTAAAGCGTTCCATCAGATACGAGGGCATAGTGGTCGGTCCCTCAAACGATCGACCATCACCAGCCCATGTTTTTTTTTTTTTTTTTAAGGATGCCTCAGCTGTAGGAATGAATGGCTGCATGCTTGTAGCCTCCTGTACAAATTTTGATACTAGATTCTTGGAGTAGCAGTCTTTCATGTGGAAGAGTAGGTGATCCGATTTCTCTCTGGCGGGTTTGTTACAGCGAACCGCTCTTTATCGCGAAAGTGGCTTGAGGAGAAATTTCCATAGACCTGAAATAGCTGGCGAAACTAGTTACCATTGCGATCACGATTCTTTCAAAACCACAGAAGGCGTACGAGCTTCTCGAATGTCGCGAAGTTCGCCCAACGACACTCGAACATTCTGGACTGTACATTGAAACGAGAGTTCAGTGTGTAACGAGTATGTAGGTGTTGGGGTCTTGTATTTCAGTCAGTCAGCCAGTGAGTCTCAATTTATCTCTGCTTCAACTTGAGTCGAGTGTGCTCCAGCTCGCATTGATCACTCCGACAAAAGCAAATTCCTTAGGAGTGGAATCGACGAAGTGGAGCCGGGAGCCAAGTTTCTCTCGTAATTGAGAATCGTTCGTAAACTTCGCGGCAGAATGGTTGAGATCGAGGAAATAGAGGATACATGTGTCGAGAATAGTAAGCCTCAAAGTTCAGCCGCTCAGAATACAAGTAGTGCGTCAGCGGCGAGAATTGCTACTGGAGATGCAGGAACCGTCGGATCAAGTTCAGGAAGTGGATCTGACGAAGCCGAGGTTGGCGTAGAACCGTCGGATGTAGGAGGTGATGAACTGCGATCCTCGGCTGCGGATTTCGAGGCGAGTCAAAACGGCGCTGCTGGGAGTCGTTCGTCGGGAGGAGGCGCGAAGGCGGAAGGAGGAGAGTCTGCGCGGGGAAGGGAGTCAGAGCGGGGAGGCGCAAAGGCGGGGGAGGGAGAGCAGGCGGGGGAGAAGCACTTCGCGGGGGAAGGGGAGGCGGAACGGGGAGGGGAGAACGAGCCGGGGGAGCAGGGTGGATTTAAAGACGCGCTCAGCGACTTGGCGGCGGGGACTGGCGGAGAAGCGGCAGCGGGTGAAGAGGCGGAAGAGGTGTTCGAGGATGCGCTGACAGAAGAGGAGCTGCGCAAGGTGAGCGGACGTGAGGGGGGAAGGGGGAAAGGGAAAAAAGGGTAAGGGAAGGGGAAAAGGGCAAGGGGGAAGGGGAAAAGGGCAAGGGGGAAGGGGAATCAGGAGAGGGCGGAAGAGGTGTTTGAGGATGCGCTGACAGAATAGGAGCTGCGCAAGGTGAGCGGAAGAGGGAGAAGTAGAGGAAAGGGTCGAAGGGAAGGGGGAACGGCGAAACGGAGTAGGGGAAAGGGAAAAGGGGGAAAGGGGAAGAGGTGCTCGAGAATGCTTTGATATGACTTTTGAGAATTTTCAAAAGTCACATCAATATAGCTGGTGCTTGAGGATGCTTTGATAGGAGGGAGATCCACAAAGTGTTTTGAGACGTCTTAAATACTTCTTTTATCACGAGGATGCTTTGATAGGAAGGAGATCCACAAAGTAAGCTGCTTTTTTGGCTGATTTCAGTTATTCGCTGTGTTGATTCGTAAGTGACGGGGACGCTAGTGAGCTGGTCGTTTCTTTTATCTTCACATCTTGTGTCATTTGCCGCTGAATTCTGCCCTTTCCACCCAAAACCGGCACTTGTTTTCCGAATGGTTCCATCGCGTCACGGCCACCCAGAAAGCTCTGGCGGAAGCAGAGGCGATTAAAGCAAGGGGAAACTTCTGAATTCTCCCCTCCCCACTTCCCCCACCCCCGGGCCCCGCTCCCCTCCTGGGCTCTTGTTTCCGAATGGCTCCATCGCGCCTCGGCCACCCAGAAAGCTCTGGCAGAAGCAGAGGCGATTAAAGCGAGGGGGAACGAGGAGTACAAGCGCGGTGACTATAACGCAGCGCTGGAGAGCTACAGCAACGCACTGGCAGCAGCGCCTGGGGCGGAACATGCAGAGGCGAAGGAGGCCCGGGCCATCTACCATGCCAACAGAGCCATGTGCCACCTGCAGCTGGTGAGAGAGCTTTTATTTCAGCCACTTGAGAGGTTTTTGCGAAATCTCCAAAAGTCGCGTGCAGTTGGACAGCTGCACCAAAAGCTTGCCTTTCCCCCCCTCTCCCCACTCTCCTCTCCACCCTGTTGATTTCCACAGAATGAGTATGATGCATGTGTGACAGAGAGCACAGCAGCCATGGATTTGAAGCCGGATTATGTGAAGGCGATCATGCGACGGGCCCAGGCATGGGAGAAGCTGGACAAGCTTGAAGAGGCGCTGGGAGGTGAGTGTGTGGGACTCCAACTGAAGCCTCTGAGTTTCTACAAGGAAAGAAGTGCATGTGTGGATGAAGGGTGTGTGGATGCTGGGCTATGTGAAGGCGATCATGCGACGGGCCCAGGCATGGGAGAAGCTTGAGAAGCTGGACGAGGCGCTGGGAGGTAAGTGGGAAGTGCATGTGTGGATGGAGGAGTATGGAAGCTGGGCTATGTGAAGGCGATCATGCGACGGGCCCAGGCATGGGAGAAACTGGACAAGCTTGAAGAGGCGCTGGGAGGTGAGTGAGACTGAACCCTTTGGAGTTTTCGAAAGGAGGAAAGTGCATGTGTGGATGGAGGGAGTGTGGATGCTGGGCTATGTGAAAGCGATCATGTGACGGGCGTAGGCATGGGAGAAACTGGACAAGCTGGAAGAGGCGCTGGGAGGTGAGTGAATGGGACATTCATGTTTTGTGTTTCTGGAAGGAGAATAGTGCATGTGTGGATGGAAGGAGTATGGAAGCTGGACTGTGTGAAGGCGATCATGCGGCGTGTACAGGCATGGGAGAAGCTGGACAAGCTGGACGAGGCGCTGGGAGGTGAGTGAGTGCGGCTTGAAGCCAACCAACGAACGAACCTTGTGATATATGGTGGAAGGAGAGGGATGCATGTGTGGAGAGAGGGGGCGCGGCAGTTGGGTCTGTATGGCGGAGATAATGATGGGTTCTGGCTTGCCATGGTTCTGTTCCGGAGCTGTGTGAAAGCCATTATGCAATGGGTCCAGGCTTGGGAGATGCTGGGGAAGCTGGAAGTGACTCTGGGAGAGAGCGATGTGTGTGGAGGCAATGATGCGCGTGTATGTCATGTTTGTCCTTCTCCTTCGCACTTTTTACCACATCCACCACGCATTCCAGATTATAAGAAAGTGTTGGAAGTGGACAAAACCAACGCACAAGCCAGATCATCTGTCAGGCGACTGGAGCCCATTGTTGAAGAGAGGAGGGAAAAGCTCAAAGAGGAAATGTTGGGTAAGTGTTGTGGTTTGTTACTGTAGCTTTGTTGCTGATTTTTGCTCTTTCCCTCTAATATGGAGTATAAGGCATGGTTTTGTTTTGGTGTTTGCTGTGGTTTGTGTGTGATTCAGGCAAATTGAAGGACCTTGGGAACTCCGTTTTGGGGCACTTTGGAATGAGTGTCGACAATTTCAAGGCTGTGAAGGACCCCAATACTGGCTCCTACTCCATTTCGTACCAAAGTTAAAACGTGGTCCCTAGTTCAGCTGCTACCAGATTGAGTCTGTTGATGGAATGTTGTGGATAGCATTTGTGCATTAGAGTATGAAATACACAACTTCGAAGTCACCTCATTCCAATGCCCCATATCGCGGATATCTGATAACAAAATCTTTCTCCCCTGAACCACCTGGGTTTGCTTCGACCAGGCTAATCAAATCACATACATCCTGGTCAAATACCTATTTTCACCCTGATAAAAGAGCCATTCCATCGCTGTATCTGACCTGATACAGCGTCTCGGCCAGTAACCTGAAATTTCCGCCGTCCGGCCTGTCATTCAGCTAGCCGTTCGGTACCGCGCTCCAGCGCTTTGTTAGCTGGTCTACCATTCGTTGGCACGAATTCCGGCTGGCCGTCGCGAGGGTTTCGCGAGCATCATGGTGTCCCTGGAAGCCGCTCACGTGAAGCAGGACGCGCTCCTGAAACGATTCACTGTAAGCGCTACCATCGGCAATATCGAGAATTGAGACGCTTGAGAACAATGATCTCTATTAGCGACATTCTCATTATCAACATTGTCATCATTAAAGCGCTAGCGACACCGTTACTATCCTATAAAGGCGTATATACCATGATACGAGATTATAGACTGTTCCTTCGCGCTTTGACAGCTCTTCCATCGGTCGCATTGTCTGGGTTCCTGGTCCAACTTTTCGCTGACAATGCGACTATTGAGACGCCTCAAAAGCCAACTTTTCGCTGAAAAATGCGATCGATGGAAGAGCTGTTGAACCCTGGTCCAACTTTTCGCTGGGTTTGGTTTGATTCATAGGGATTTGTTCGTGGTTGGCAAGAACTAGGTTTAACCTAACAACTCTACTCACATCCGACGGTGCTTACAGCGGATTTCATTCGACTTGATTTGGTTTGATTCGATTGTTGCTTCCCACGTGGCTGGCAGGAACTGGGTATCACCTACCAACTCTACTCGCATCCGCCGGTTCTTACTGTAGAGGAACAGGTTCGTTCTGAGCGCAGGTGAGAGTACATGCGTACTGAGTGCAGGTGACTCAAGGCATGAGCTCTAACGCGCATGAGCTCTAACGCGCATGAGCTCTAACGCGCATGAGCTCTAACGCGCATGAGCTCTATGCAGCGCATGCAAGTAATCCCCTCCGCATCCATCAAATCCCTCCATCTTTGCAGAATTTATCCGTTGTTGCCAACTTCCGTAAAAGTATTCCTTTGCAGTCTTCTCTCATCTCCGTGTGTCTCTCCCCCCTCCCCTTTCCCCTGCTCTCTTTCCACCGTCCCCCGTCCCCACTCCCTTCTGTCCGCGTCCTCTGCCACGCGTCCCCTGATCCTCGTCCCCTGTCCCTCATTCCCATTCTCCTACAGGCTGCTCAAGTGACAGGAGCTACAGGAGAATTTACCAAGAACCTTCTTCTTAAGGTAAGAAAAGCTTGCTAATTCACCCCCCGATCCTCGTTTGTGCACCAAATTCGGCACCGTTTTGCAATTGCATCTGGGGAAGGCAATTTCTGAATGCATCATCAGTTCATGATTCTCTGGCAAAGTGTGTGTGTGTGTGTGTGTGTGTGTGTGTGTGTGTGTGTGTGCGTGTGTGTGTGTGTGTGTGTGTGTGTGTGTGTGTGTGCGTGGGTGTGTGCGTGTGCGTGTGCGTGTGCGTGTGCGTGTGCGTGTGCATGTGCCTGTGCGTGTGCGTGCATGCGTGCGTGTGTGCGTGCGTGAATGTGTGCGTGCGTGCGTGTGCTTGCGTGTTTGCAGGACAAGAAGGGTCGGCTCATTCTCATCTCAGCTCTCACAAAGACCAAAATCGACCTCAAGCGTAAGCAACGATTTCACTAGTGTTGCACCTGACTTGACCCCTGTTAAATGCCATCCGACCTTCATCTCACCTTCATCTTACATTCTTCCCACATTCTCACCTTCCTCTCACCTTCCTCTCACCTTCATCTCACAATCCTCTCACCTTCCTCTCGCCTTATCTCACGTTCATCTCACCTTCCTCCCACCTTCCTCTCACCTTCCTCCCGCCTTCCTCTCACCTTCCTCCCGCCTTCCTCTCACCTTCATCTCACCTCCCTCCATCCCGTCCAGTGCTGTCGCAGAGGCTGGGACTGGGCAAGGGAGGATTGCGCATGGCACCAGACGAGAACCTGACCGCAGTGCTGCAGGTGTTCTCACGGAGGCTGAGGCTGGGCCTTGATTCAGGGACTCCCCTGTGCTGTTTCTGTGTGTTCCTCTGGTGCTTCCTCCCTTGCAGTGCCGTCGCAGAGGCTGGGACTGGGCAAGGGCGGGCTGCACATGACACCAGACGAGAATTTGACTGCCGTGCTGCAGGTGCTCTCACAGAGGCTGGTGCTTCCTTCCCCCTCTCCCTCCTTCCCTCCCTTCCTTTTCCTACCAGTGCTGTCACAGAGGCTGGGACTGGGCAAGGGCGGATTGCGCATGGCACCAGATGATAACCTCACCACGGTGCTGCAGGTGCACAGTCTGGTGCTTCCTCCCTCCCTCTCCATCCCTCCCTCCCTCCCTTCCTCCATCCCTCGCAGTGCTGTCGCAGAGGCTGGGGCTGGGTAAGGGCGGGCTGCTCATGGCACCAGACGAGAACCTCACCACGGTGCTGCAGGTTTTCTCACAGAGACTGGTGTTGGGCCTTGATGCAGGGACTCCCCTGTGCTGTTTCTGTGTGCTCCTCTGGTGCTTCCGCCCTCCTCCTCCCCTCCAGTGCTGTCACAGAGACTGGGACTGGGCGAGGGCGGATTGCGCATGGCACCAGATGAGAATTTGACTGCGGTGCTGCAGATGCAGAGACTGGTGCTTCCGCCCTCCCTCTCCCTCCTTCCCTCCCTCTCCCTTCCTCCCAACCCCCCTTTCTTCCTCCCAGTGCTGTCGCAGAGGCTGGGACTGGGCAAGGGAGGATTGCGCATGGCACCAGACGAGAACCTCACCACCGTGCTGCAGGTGCCTGCTGGCTGCGTCACCCCTCTGGCCCTTTTCAACGACTCTGCCAAGTGAGCAATTGCGCTGAAGGCTAGGCACAAGCATTGTCTGCACTAGACCAGACCTGTTGGTGCAGCGCAGCGTTCTTGCCTCTTTGCTGCAGGTGCCTGCTGGCGTCGTCACCCCTCTGGCCCTTTTCAATGACTACACCAAGTGAGCAAACATTTTCAACCATTCTGTCAAGTGAATAAACTTGTAGTCTATTTGAAAAAGTCTCTAGTTCACTCACACAGTGCCTCACCTCTCCCCCCTCAAATCTCCACCCCCCCAGCTCAGTCCAAGGCATCTCCTTTCAAAAGCTATCAAAACCCTCCCCACCCCCTACCTTCTCAACCCAGCTCACATCCTAACCATCCCTTCGGTCCCCCGTTCCATTTCGTGCAATCCAAAGACGTTGTGTTTCTGGATCGGGGTTTCGCCTCTCAACAATTCCAACTCCCAGGCCTCTCCTCCCCTCTCAACCGCCCTCCCTTCACCAACCATCCCTGCTTCCTTGCCTACCTGTGTGGTATGATTCAGAGACGTTGTGTTGTTGCTGGATCAAGGTTTCACCTCCCAACTGCACCTGCTCTTCCACCCTCTCTCCAACGATGCCACTGTTGGTAAGACGGTCAGTCTGTGTACAGCAATTCCATCCCACACTTGATCACACTTTTATTTGACACACAATTGCCGATTTTGGTTCGCCTTACTGCTGCTTCAAGGGCTCCTTTCAGCCCTTAATCAGGATCATGCCCCGTCGACCCTCCCTCCCCATCCCTTTTGAGACGTCTCAAAATTTTGGTACGCCTTACTGCTGCTTCAAGGCCCCCTTTTCAGCCCTTAATCAGGATCGTGCCCCGTCGACCCTCCCTCCCCATCCCTTGCTTTCCTACGCACAGCATTGACCAGAGAGGCGTTTGAGTCTTTCCTTGGCTCTGTTGGTCGCTCTGAGCTGGCTTATGTGGATCAACGGCCCTCTCAAGTCCATCCCGCCCCCCCCCTCCCTCCCTCCCCATCCCGTGCCCTGCTATGCACAGCGCTGACTCGAGAGGCGTTTGAGTCGTTCCTTGGCTCTGTTGGTTGCTCTGAGCCAGCTTATGTGGATCAACGGCCCTCTCAAGTCCATCCCGCCCCCCCCCTCCCTCCCTCCCCATCCCGTGCCCTGCTATGCACAGCGCTGACTCGAGAGGCGTTTGAGTCGTTCCTTGGCTCTGTTGGTCGCTCTGAGCCAGCTTATGTGGATCAACAGCCCTCTCAAGTCCATCCCGCCCCCCCCCCTCCCTCCCTCCCCATCCCGTGCCCTGCTATGCACAGCGCTGACTCGAGAGGCGTTTGAGTCGTTCCTTGGCTCTGTTGGTCGCTCTGAGCCAGCTTATGTGGATCAACAGCCCTCTCAAGTCCATCCCGCCCCCCCCCCTCCCTCCCTCCCCATCCCGTGCCCTGCTATGCACAGCGCTGACTCGAGAGGCGTTTGAGTCGTTCCTTGGCTCTGTTGGTCGCTCTGAGCCAGCTTATGTGGATCAACGGCCCTCTCAAGTCCATCCCGCCCCCCCCCCTCCCTCCCTCCCCATCCCGTGCCCTGCTATGCACAGCGCTGACTCGAGAGGCGTTTGAGTCGTTCCTTGGCTCTGTTGGTCGCTCTGAGCCAGCTTATGTGGATCAACAGCCCTCTCAAGTCCATCCCGCCCCCCCCCCTCCCTCCCTCCCCATCCCGTGCCCTGCTATGCACAGCGCTGACTCGAGAGGCGTTTGAGTCGTTCCTTGGCTCTGTTGGTCGCTCTGAGCCAGCTTATGTGGATCAACAGCCCTCTCAAGTCCATCCCGCCCCCCCCCTCCCTCCCTCCCCATCCCGTGCCCTGCTATGCACAGCGCTGACTCGAGAGGCGTTTGAGTCGTTCCTTGGCTCTGTTGGTCGCTCTGAGCCAGCTTATGTGGATCAACAGCCCTCTCAAGTCCATCCCGCCCCCCCCCTCCCTCCCTCCCCATCCCGTGCCCTGCTATGCACAGCGCTGACTCGAGAGGCGTTTGAGTCGTTCCTTGGCTCTGTTGGTCGCTCTGAGCCGGCTTATGTGGATCAACAGCCTCTCAAGTCCATCCCGCCCCCCCCCTCCCTCCCTCCCTCCCCATCCCGTGCCCTGCTATGCACAGCGTTGACTCGAGAGGCGTTTGAGTCCTTCCTTGGCTCTGTTGGTCGCTCTGAGCCGGCTTATGTGGACCTTGAGGTACGCTTGTGTGCGGGGATGTTGATTTGATACGCCTTAGATTACGTCCAAGTGTTTCAGGCACCCCTGTTGGCCGCTCTGAGCCGGCTTATGTGGACCTTGAGGTACGCTTGTGTGGGGGGGTGGTATTTTGATACAGCTCAACAGGTAGGCTTATAGGTGTCCGTTCCGGGCCGCTCTTTATTTCGATTGTGGTCCCTTCTTTCCTCGCAGGTCAATGTGGTGGTGGGTAAGGATCAACTGCCCGACCTTGCTGCCCTTTCATGAATCCACTGAAAAGCCTCCACAAGTGATTCTATCCACTTGTGCTTCTCTCCCATTGTAACTGTATCCCCTCCTTACGTTGCAGCCCAACGTGGTGGTAGGCAAGGATCAACCGCCAGACCTTGCTGCCCTTTCATGAATCGACTGAAAACCCTCCACAAGTGATTCTATCCACTTGTCCTTCTCTCCCATTGTAACTGTATCCCCTCCTTACGTTGCAGGCCAATGTGGTGGTGGGCAAGGATCAACCGCCAGACCTCGCTGCCCTTTCATGAATCGACTGAAAACCCTCCACAAGTGATTCTCTCCACTTGTGCTTCTCTCCCATTGTAACTGTATCCCCTCCTTACGTTGCAGCCCAACGTGGTGGTGGGCAAGGATCAACCGCCAGACCTTGCTGCCCTTTCTTGAATCGACTGAAAACCCTCCACAAGTGATTATATCCACTTGTCCTTCTCTCCATAATTTCTGGCTCCGTGCCTTGCCTCGCAGGCCAACGTGGTGGTGGGCAAGGATCAACCGCCCGACCTTGCTGCCCTCCTCCCCGCTGCTACCACTGCTACTGCAGCAGACTTTTGAGGCAATCTCAAAAGCTGTAGTTCTCTCTCATTGTTGTCGTAACCCCCCTCCTTCCCTATCAGGCCAACGTGGTGGTGGGCAAGGATCAACCGCCTGACCTTGCTGCCCTCCTCCCCGCTGCTACCACTGCTGCTGCAGCAGACTTTTGAGACAATCTCAAAAGCTGTATTTCTCTCATTGTTGTCGTAAACCCCCTCCTTCCCTATCAGGCCAACGTGGTGGTGGGCAAGGATCAACCGCCCGACCTCGCTGCCCTTCTCCCCGCTGCCACCACTGCTGCTGCAGCTTCAGATTCCGCCTCTGCACTTACGAATGCTGGTACCAGCACTACCAGCGGTGCCAGTGCCAGCTCTAATGCTGCTGGCAGCAATGCGCCCAAGGCCGGTGCTGCTGCAGCAGGGAAGGGCAAGTCAGGTGGGTGTGTGGGCGTGCAGAAAAAACAAACACACACACACACACACACACACACACACACACACACACACACACACACACACACACACACAAAAGGTTTAAGTGTGGAAGGTGGCAAGAGTTTTTTCTGTGCCTTGTATAACCCTTGATGTGTAAATTGGTGGTACATCTATAGGCTGATCAGTAGGACCATGGCTGTCTTGACTCTTTGCTTTGTATTTTACTTGCATCGGTGTGGGGTGGCTTTGTACTGGAATTCTGCAGGTTCTCAGAAGAAGACAGCGGCTGCCGTACCAAAGGGGCCACCGGGCGATGACGTGGCAACTTGCACGACACGGATCTTGGACATGCTGACAGAGCACATGAAGGTGAGCTTACTCACTTCCAACCGACCCTTGTATCATCCTTCTCTCTTCCTCCGCTCTTTCTACTCTCTTCCTACTCCCACCATCCCTTTCCTCATTCTCATCACACGCATCTTAGACATGCTGGCAGTGCACATGAAGGTAGCTATATGGCTGTCTGTACTCTCCGTTCGGTTTCCCATCAACCTCTTCCCCCACTGGCCTACTCCGTCGGCTCCATGCGCATGCCCCCCTCGTCCCTTCGTGCCTCATGGTTGCTTCAATCATCCGCATTCTTCTGGCATTTGCGTTCCCCATCACCAACTGCAGAAATGTAGTGGTGATTCTGCGACTGCGGATCAATCTTCTAGTGCCAGCAAAGCCAATGAGGAGCTTGCTTTGAATCTTCAGCACACCCTGGTACGGATTATATTCGACGACACTTTCCATTTCATGCCTTTATGCTAGCATTGGCCAGGCGGGTATGGGTTGCATTTGTACTGCATCCCGTTTACCCTTTACGGTTGTTTTCATGTTGAATCCATGCGTATTATTGACCTTGCAGGTTATGTTCAAGAATGCTGCCTATACAAATGGTTTCTTTGCTGGCCGGGCAGCGGTCCTGGATAGGGTTCAAGGTTCGTGACAGTTGGCATGCGACCATGCCTGTTAAAAAGGGATATTATAATGCCACTCATCTCTCCCAACCGAAATTTTACGATGTTGGCCCATGTCCATCATTGACGACGACGGTATCTGAAACCAACTTGTCCTCAAAAGTTGTACGACAGCACTTCTTGTCAAGCCCTGTCTTGGTCCATCAACTGGCCTGTTCACAGTACTTCCAAATGGGGTAATTACAAGCAAACTGAGGTGAATGCATAGTTCAGTGAATTGAAGTGAAGTTCCAACTTTTCAGCTGGTGTGAACCAATTATGAAGCACTTATACCGTAAGTGGAAATACAATGTGTTGTACACTTACCGGTATTTCCGTCATACTGCTCTTGCAGTAAGCTTTCTGTCCTTGAATCTGGTCCAGTCTGACTGCCATCGGGGTTTACGAGGGCATTGGTCTGACGCACCGCTCTCCAACGGTGACTACTTGCGGCCAATCACTATGCGAAATCGAGTCGCTATCAGCCGCTCGATGCGCGAAATTTTCGAGTTCCGCGCCAAAAATGATGAGCAGTCTGCAATTCTGTGCACCTCCGTCAAGTCAATGCTTGTCGCGAGGGACAAGTCGCTGATCAACCATACTTCAATGTTCGACACAGTACTCCAGTGCCACCGTTCTGGATCAGAACCAACCGAGTTATTTACTCTGATACACGAACTGCAAGTCATAAGCACCGCTACTTCCCAAACTGGGTTAGCGCGCATGCCATTGCCAGCACCACCCACCACTAGCCTCACTGATAGACCGCATGTACAGTACCTCCTATATTCCGCATCGCGTGCCAGCGGCCCTCGAAACGAAACCTCGCCGAATCTTATGGCTCCACTTGTTTGAGCGCCGCATTCGGGCTGGGCTTAGACTCTTCTGCTGGGACTTGCGCGTCACACACGCCGCCACTGTTGCTCTCCTCTGCTCTACCTTCTCTGTCAGTTCCACACGTCAGCGGTCACCCCGACACGCCACTACTGCAAGCAAAGCATTATGTTTCTCACCACCCCGGCAGGTTGGCTCGCTTAGCTTGACCCTCCATTGCTGTATCGCCCGTACTCTGAATAGGAGCGCCGCTGGGTAGCGCTGTAGCTGCTCTGAGACGTGTTGGTGAAAGCGAATGTTCTTACACACCTAGTTATCTAGTAAATAAAGAAAACCGATTCGGAAGTCACAACTGAAGGCGCAGAAGGTAACCTGGCATTCCAAGTTCGGTTGCGGTGTGTTCGCACGCACCCTATTCACACGAAGAGGCGTCTCGATCTTGAAACAACGCCCGTTTTTCACGTGAGAGAAAGATATAGAGATTCTAGACTACGAAAGATAGTTTTCGAGAAATTTAGAATTGCAAGAGACACCTCGTCTTCAGTTCTCTACTCGGCCATGTCGTCGCTACCGCCACGTCGGCGAGATCTAGAATGTCTCGCACACTACTCTTGGTCAATACGCATTCTGAGATCTTAGGAAATTTCAGCAGCTGTCCGATACTAGTACACGCAGTCGATGCATATGATAAGTTTTAGCAAGTCTTTAGCAAGTATCGCACACTAGCACTCGTGGTGGATATTAACCAGCGCGTATCTCTCAACGCCGCCTTTGATACCACGCCATTAGCGCGCCCGTAGCGCGTCTGTAGCGCCGTGCTCCTCGAAGGCATTGGCAGCACCATCTGTAGCACCGAATAGCCCTCACAGAACTCCACCGATTCGGCTCTAATGGCCTCGCGAACTTCGCGTTCGAGCGGCGCTGGCGCCTTGAGAACCGCATCCCGAGCTCGCCCTCCCTTCCGTATCGTGTCACCTTATGGCCGATGTATTCCATTCCACGCCGCCGTTCTTATCACCGCGCTTACAATCGCCGCGAGTATGGGACTCGCGGATGGCCTGACGTCCGCGAAAGACGGTGAGTTACGCTCGCCCTACCTGCCGTATCGTACCCCACGCCCAACATGCTCCCCCCCCCAACTGCCTTTCTCATCGCTGCGCTTATTGCCGCCGCGAGTATGGGACTTGCGGCTGGCCTGACGTCCGCGAAAGACGGTGAGTTACGCTCACCCCCCCTGCCGTATCGTATCCCACGCCCAACATGTTTCCCCCCCCAACCGCCTTCTTAATCGCCGCGCTGATCGTTGCCGCGAGTATGGGACTTGCTGCTGGGCTGACGTCCGCGAAAGACGGTGAGTGCGCTCGCCCAGGTGCTGCTGTTGCTTGCGCGTGATGCTCGTGTTCGTACGATTAAGGAGACCTGGTGGTTACGCATGCGAAAGTTCGCGAGAATTCGCGCATGTCCGCTCCCGATGTTTCTCCCGTGCCCCTCTCTCCCCCTCTACCCCTTCGCGCCCTCTTCTCCTCTCCCCCTCTTCCCCTCTTCCCCTCATCCCCTCACCCACACCCTTCGCCACTCTCCCACTCCCCCCTCGACCCGCCAGTCGATGCACGGAAGGACATCTGCTGCGGCTTTAATCGCTCCTCGGCGCTGCAGTTATGGAGGTGGGGTGTTATTGCAATGACTATTGAGCATATCCTTCCCCCTCTCCCTCTCTCCCTCTCTCCTTTCCAACCTATTTCTCTCACCTTCCCGCCCTCCCGCCAGTCGATGCTTTGGGGGACATCTACAGCGGCTTTAATCGCTCCGCAACGCTGCAGACGTGGACGTGGGGCGATCCGTGCGGCAGCGACGGCAGCGAGAACGCGGGCAGTCCGTGGCACGGCATCACGTGCGACGTGTCGGCCGACCCGCAACGAGTGATCGAAATGTACGTTGCTCCGACTGCTGCTGCTGCCGCCGCCGTTGGGTGAACACGGTCAGGAGCTGGTAGCGGGCAAGAATGGCGGGTGGCGGGTAGCGGGCAAGAATGGCGGGTGGCGGGTAGCGGGCAAGAATGGCGGGTGGCGGGTAGCGGGCAAGAATGGCGGGTGGCCGGTAGCGGGCAAGAATGGCGGGTGGCGGGTAGCGGGCAAGAATGGCGGGTGGCGGGCAAGAATGGCGGGTAGCGGGCAAGAACGGAGAGACAGATCCATCGTATGGTTCTTCGTTCTCACCTTCTCACCGCCCCCATTCTCATCGCTCCCTGGCTTCCATTCGCCTCCCGTCCCTCCTTCACAGCAACCTATCTGACTCGGACATCAGCGGGTACATCTCCGGGTCCGTCAGCGCGCTTAGCAACCTGCGATCCTTGTAAGACGCCCTCCATGCCCTGAGGTGCCACGCCATGCCATGCCATGCCATGCCACCTCATGTCACACCATGTCGTGCATTGCCTTACAGCCCGGACTCCAGTCCCCTCGCCGACCTCCCCTCCCCCCTCCCCGATCCACTCTGCTACTGACCCCTACCTGCCCTCTCTCCTCCCTCCCTTCCCCCTCTCTCCCTTTCCTTGCCTTCTCCCGCCCCCCTCCAATCCCCCGTCCCTTCGTCCCTTCCTTCCCCCGCCCCGCTTGTGTCCCCTCCCGCGCATCCCCCCGCGCAGCGTGGTGCCGAACAACGCCATCAAGGGCGGCATCCCCGCCGACCTCTCCGCGCTCACAGGGCTGCGCACCCTGTAAGCCATTGCTATGCCCCCCCCCATCGCACCCTGTAAGCCATTGCTATGCCCCCCCCCCATCGCACCCTGTAAGCCATTGCTATGCCCCCCCCCCATCGCACCCTGTAAGCCATTGCTCTCTGTAAGCCATTGCTGTGCACCCCCCCGTTGCTCCCTATCGCTCCCACTGCTCCCCATTCCTCCCTCTTCACTGCACCCATTGCTCCCCGTTGCTCCCCATTGCTCGCTCCATCACCCTTTCTTGTTCCCCCTCCCCATTTCCCCTCCCCCATTTTCCCTCCCCCCTTGCCCTCCCCTGATCCGCAGCGACCTGAGCAACAACCCGCTGGAAAACACCATTCCGCCGGAAATTGCGCGTCTCCCCGCGCTTTCCTCTCTGTATGCGCGCACTCCGCCCACCTCTCTCCCCCTCCCTCCCTCCCTCTCTCCCCCTCCCTCCCGCCCGCCCGCCCGCCCGCCCGCCCGCCCGCCCGCCCGCCCGCCCGCCCGCCCGCCCGCCCGCCCGCCCGCCCGCCCGCCCGCCCGCCCGCCCGCCCGCCCTCTCCATGCCTCACTTCCTCATGCCTCCCTTTCCCATGCCTTTCCCCTCCGCCCCCATGCCCTCCCCCCTCCGCTTGCCCCACGTGACAGAGACCCATCGAGCTGCAAGTTGGAGGGCGACCGGCCGCGCCTGATCAAGACTGTCCCTCACCACTCCCTGCCCATCTTTCCCTCTTCCCCTGCCCCTTCCCATGCCCATCCCCATGCCCTCCCCCCTCCGCTTGCCCCACGTGACAGAGACCTATCGAGCTGCGAGTCGGAGTGCCATCTGCTGCGCCTGATCAAGCCTGTCCCTCATCACTCCCTGCCCATCTTTCCCTCTCCCCATGCCCCTCCCCATGCCCATCCCCATGCCCATCCCCATGCCCCTCCCCATGCCCGCCTTGCACCCACGTGACAGAGACCTATCGAGCTGCGAGCTGGAGGGCGACCTGCCGCGCCTGATCAAGACTGTCCCACACCACTCCCTGCCCATCTTTCCCTCTCCCCCTGCCCCTTCCCATGCCCATCCCCATGCCCTCCCCCCTCCGCTTGCACCCACGTGCCAGAGACCTGTCGAGCTGCGAGCTGGAGGGCGACCTGCCGCGCCTGCTGAACTTCCCTTCACCACCACACCGCCCCAATCTCCCCCGGCCCCCATGCCCTCCCCTTGCCTCCCCCCCTTCCTTACCCTTTCTCTCGTGTGACAGAGTCTTGCCGAGCTGCGAGCTGGAGGGCGACCTGCCGCGCCTGTTCAACGCGCTTCACCACACCCTCCCCTTTTTCCTCGCCCACCATCCCCTCCCCATGCCTCCCCCATCCCCGTGCTTCACGTGCCAGAGACCTGTCGAGCTGCGAGCTGGAGGGCGACCTGCCGCCCCTGCTGAACTTCCCTTCACCACCACACCGCCCCAATCTCCCCCGGCCCCCATGCCCTTCCCTTGCCTCCCCCCCTTCCCCACCCTTTCTCTCGTGTGCCAGAGACCTATCGAGCTGCGAGCTGGAGGGCGACCTGCCGCGCCTGATCAAGCTCTCCTCGCTCGTCGCACTGTGAGCTGCTCTGCTCTGCTGTGCTGTGCGGTGTGGCGCGGTGCTGTGCTGTGCGGTGTGGCGCGGTGCTGTGCTGTGTTGTGCTGGGCTGTGCCCTGGCTGTCATGCCATGCACTCAGTGTAACGTGCCATGCCGTGCCGCCCGGGGTACCGTGAGCTTCTGTGCATTTCCACGCGCCATGCCATGCCATGCCATGCCATGCCATGCCATACCATGCCACGCCATGCCACGTCATTCCTCTGAGTTGTTCCCCCACATGCTGTGCATGTATGGGTGATCCCAGGGACCTGAGCAACAACTCCCTCACAGGCTACATCAACCCTGCCATCACCCGCTTGCCCCACCTTTCCAACTAAAACTCACCCTTCCTCACCACCCTCCCCACCACCATGTGTGTGTGTGTGTGTGTGTGTGTGTGTGTGTGTGTGTGTGTGTGTGTGTGTGTGTGTGTGTGTGTGTGTGATCCCAGGGACCTGAGCAACAACTCCCTCACGGGCTACATCGACCCTGCCATTGCCCACCTGCCTCACCTCTCCGACCTGTACTCACCCCTCCGCACCACGCACCACCCACCACCATTACTGCCTCCTCCCCACCACGCACCACCCACCCACCGACCCACCCACCCCTATCACCGCTACCATCCACACACTCACCAGTTCCTGCTATTTCCAGAAGCGAACTGAGCTCATCAACGGCACTATGTGACAGTCCACGTCCTCCTCTCCCGCATTGTGCTACTGCTGTGGGCGTGCCCCATTGTGCCCCATGTGCTGGTGTTTCTCAGTACATTCACTCCTCTCCACGTGCCCCACCCATGCGCCAACCCCTGGACGCCACGTGTACAGGGACATGTCGTACAACAACCTCACAGGAGCGCTTCCAGATGCTCTAGGCTCCGCCACCGCCCTCACCTCCTTGTAAGCACACCGCCCTCACCTCCTTGTAAGCACACCGCCCTCACCTCCTTGTAAGCACAACGCCCTCACCTCCTTGTAAGCACACCGCCCTCACCTTCTTGTGAGCACACCGCCCTCACCTCCTTGTAAGCACACCGCCCTCACCTCCTTGTAAGCACACCGCCCTCACCTCCTTGTAAGCACACCGCCCTCACCTCCTTGTAAGCACATCGCCCTCACCTCCTTGTAAGCACACCGCTCCTCATCTCCTTGTAAGCACACCGCCCTCACCTCCTTGTAAGCACACCGCCCTCACTTCCTTGTAAGCACACCGCCCTCACCTCCTTGTAAGCACACCGCCCTCACCTCCTTGTAAGCACACCGCCGTCACCTCCTTGTAAGCACACCGCCCTCACCTTGTTGTAAGAACACCTCCCTTCCCTCCATTTAAGCACACTGCCATGCCTCCCTGTAAGCACACTGCCTCAGTTCCTTGTTTGAAAACTGTCCTCTTCCCCCTCCCTTCCTTGTGTCGTGTCCTTCCGTCCTTCCGCCCTTCCGTCCTTCCGTCCCTGGCCTCTTCATCCTCGTGCTCCTCTTACCCGTCTGGCCCTTTCGGCATCCAAGCTCTCGGCATCGACCCCATCTTTCCCAACTCTCTCACATTTCCCCCATTCCCACTCATCTCCCCCCATTCCCTCCCCCCCTTTTCCCCCCCTCTCTCCCCCCATTCGCCTCCATCTGTTCCCATGCCCCCCGTTCTCCCCCATCTTCCCCATGCCTCCCCCGCAAATCAGTGCGGTGGCATTCAACCAGCTGTCAGGCAACCTCCCCCCCGCCCTCGGCACTCTCCCTTCACTCTCCTTCCTTGACATCCGAGGCAACGCCTTCTCAGGCTACCTCCCCCTCTCCTACTCCAACATAGAGCAATTCCTCTACGACGGCACCCTCCCCCCCGCGCCCGCAGGCCCCTCCGCCTCCCCTCCGCCGCCCCCCATCCCGCCCCCGCCTCCCCCGTCCGTCCCCCCGCCGTCCCCTGAGCTGCCTGGGTTCCCTGGCGGGGGGGATGGAGGGGCGGATGCTCCTGCTTCTCTCCCCTCCCCTCCCGCCCCTCCTCTCACTTCTCCCTCTCCTCGACCTCCTCCAACTGCCCGGGGTTCGCTCGCTCCGCCTGCGCCCCCCTCTCTTCCGCCTGTCCCCCCTGTAACCTTCCCCAACGGGTCCCACACTGGAAACGAAACCGGGGGAAAACCGGGAGGGAGCGGGGGGAAGGGGGGGGAAGGGGGAGGAGCAGGGGGTGCGGGGGATGGGTATTTCTACCTGGATCCGTCAGTCCCGGAGAATGAGACGCAATCGCTGGTGCCTGTACCTGTGGGGTGCAAGCCGTGTGTGGGGGGGAGTGTGGCAAGGAAGCATAAGAAGCTGTGTGTGTGCTCGTACCCGCTGCTGCTGGAGCTGCACCTGGGCATGGAGTTCTCTAGGTTCAATGACGTCACCAGAGAGGTATGCTTGCTTGCCTCTTCCTCTCCTCTCGCTCTCCCACTCCCCTCTCCGCTCCCCACCCTCCTCTCCTCCTTCCCACTCCTGCGTTTTCCCCTCCCTCACCCCCCCGTTTTCCTCTCTCTTCCAATCCCCACAGAGCCTGGAGGAGCAGTTGGCGTTGAGCAGTCGGGTCACTTTTGAGTCGACTCAAAAGTCACTTTCCCACTCCCTCGTTTTCCCCTCCCTCACCCCCCCGTTTTCCTCTCCCCTCCAACCCCCACAGAGTCTGGAGGAGCAGTTGGTGTTGAGCAGTCGGGAGTGTGATTGCCTCCTGTGCAGTGCTGTCTCCCGGCCGCACAGAAGCACTGCCGGTGGGAGTGGCGGGGCATGCAGTGGACATGCTGGTGGGGAGGAGTAGAACCGTGTCGTGTCATGACCAGTGCTTCTCAGAATTTGATGCTCCTATTCCCGCGTAATCCCCTCCCTATCACCCCCTCCACAGAGCCTTGAGGAGCAGCTCGCACTGAGTCTGAACGTGAACCAGACCCAAGTGGCCGTATACGCCACACGCCCCGGCAGTGTCATAGCCTCCTGCGCAGTACTGCCGCCCGGCCGCACGGCTGCGCTGCCGGTGGGAGTGGCAGCCCATGCGGTGGATGTGCTGCTGCTGGGGAGGAAGAGGCACGTGTTTTGGCCAGAGCTTCTCAAAATATGAATCCCCTACTCCCGTTTTTTTCCCTCCCCATCACCCCCCACAGAGCCTTGAAGAGCAGCTGGCGTTGAGTCTGAACGTGAATCAGTCACAAGTAGCTGTGTACGCCACACGTCCCGGCAGTGTCATTGCCTCCTGTGCAGTGCTGCCCCCAGGCCGCACAGAAGCACTGCCGGTGGGAGTGGCGGGGCATGCAGTGGACGTGCTGCTGGGGAGGAGGAAGCAGCGCCTGGAGCTGTTTGGCATGGGCGCTGTGAAGGTGCTGGCGGTGCGGCTTCCCACGGTGGTGCTGGATAGGAACGGAGGTGCGTTGGGATTTATGTTTCATGGCTGCTGGTTGATGGGAGGTGGGTGTCCGTGAATGGTAATGGGGATGTGTGTTGTGTTGCACTGCCTCAACGGTCAGCTGTTTGGCATGGGCGCCATGAAGGTGCTGGCAGTGCGCCTGCCCATGGTGGTGCTGGATAGGAACGGAGGTGCGTGAAGATGGGTGATGCGGGGATGCTGGGATATGGATGGGTGAGGATGGAGGGTCTTGGGGATGGGCGCTGTGAAGGTGCTGGCGTGCGGCTGCCCATGGTGGTGCTGGATAGGAACGGAGGTGCGTGGCTTGAACTGATGGCTGATGATGTATGGACTGGGATGGAGGGTGTTTGAGGTGCCCGAACAAGCAGCTGTTTGGGATGGGCGCTGTGAAGGTGCTGGCGGTGCGGCTGCCCATGGTGGTGCTGGATAGGAATGGAGGTGCGGTGGGATTGAGGGTAGATGGCTCATGGCTGGTGGTTACTGACTGATGGAGCTGGGATTTCCCGACTGCAGCTCGCCCAGTCCACATGGCTGCTGGCAGTGCGGCTGCCCATGGTGGTGCTGGGTAGGAATGGAGGTGCGTGGGGATATGGGGATAGGTGAATGGTGAATGGTGGTTGGTGGCTGGAAAATAGGTGAATCGTAAAGGCACGTGCTAGTCCAGTGATTTCTCCCATCCATCTTTCCTTCGACTCTCCGAAATAGCACCTCTTTCTTTGCATTCCCCTGTCTGTATCTCTCCTTCTCCCTCCCCCATCCTCTGCCATCCCACAGTCCCCATCACAGCCAGCAACAGCAGCGGCAGCACGACCGGCAGCACCAACACCACCGGCACCGGCAACAGCACCACCGGCACTGCACCCCCTGCTCCTGGAACCACCAACAGCAGCAACCAGGGCAGTACGAGCAACAGCACCAGCACGCCACCACCTAGCAGCAATGGCACCAGCACCAGTAATAACGCAGATTTAAGCTCCAATAGTAGCAGCAGTGGTAGCAGCAGCGGCAGTGAAGGGAGCAGTAGCAGTGGGAGTACGAGCGTACTAGGCATGTCCACTGCTACAGTGGTGAGCATAGCGGCAGGTGTTGCTCTGCACCTCCTGATCGCCCTCCTCCTCACCCTCCTCTTCTGCTTCCGAAAACGATACATGAGCGTCAGCAACACTGACGACGACAATCCTGACTTCAAAAACTATACTGCCACCAGCAGCATTGGCACCAGCACCACCGCTGCTGTCACCCCCGCCGCCGCCGCCGCCGCTGCTGCTGCTGCGGCTGCTGATTCTGCTGCTGGTGCTAGCAGGAAGAAACCCAAGCGCGGCTGGTTCAACTTTGGGCGATCCTCTCCCCCGGCTGCTGCCTATTCGGTCTCCTCGTTTCACGCTGATAGAGCAGCAGCAGCACCAGATTACCGAGGTTCCTGGGCTGCTGGGGGTGGTTGGGGAGAGGGGGAGGGTGGGTGGGGTGTACCGGCGTCATTCCTGTCGTCTGGAATGGAGATTGGGGATATTAGTGTGGTGGAGGTGACTTCGGTTGAGGATGACGAGGAGGATGTGGAGAGCGGTGTGGTTGGGTTGTGCAGGGATGGGGAGACGACTCAGGGAGGTAGGGGCGGTGATGAGTTGATTGTGCGTGAGGGAGCTATGGTGGCAGTGGTGGGAGCTGGGGGACTGACACGTGTGAGTGCTGGAGCAGGAAGAGGAGGAGTGAAAGGGGCAGGACGGGCAGGAGGAGCAGGAGGGAAGGGGTATGATGGAGGGGTGGAGGTAGGCGGGGAGGAGGATGAGAGTGTGCGGAAGAGTAGGGAATGGACTGTGATGTCTTTCCTTAGCTTGGGGGGGAGAGGGGATGATGACGCTGCTCCTCCTCCTGCCGCTGCTGCTGTTCCTACTGCTGCTGTTGCTGTTGCTAGCGGTTCTTATGCGGTGGCTACAACAGGAGAGGGAAGAACAGGAGGAGTGGGGAGAGGGAGAGGGAACGGCGAGGAGGAGGAGGATGAGTCGGAACTGGAGGAGGAGGAGGAGGAGGAGGAGGGAGTGAGTGAGGGAGATGGGGAGGCGGAGCGTTTGGGGGTGAAGGAGGAGGAGGAGAGGAGAACGGCAGGGGGTGGGGAGGGGAGTGGGAGTGGGGGTAAGGGTGGGAGTGGGTGGGGGGTAGGGGGGATAGGATGGGGAGGAGGAGGGGCGGGGAAACGAGCAAACAGCAGCAAGGATACCAGCGGAGAGAGCGGGTGGAAGCTTCCTCGTTTGAGCATGAAGTTTTCCTGTAAGAAGCCATTTCTTCCCTCGTCCTGTAAGAAAGTGGACTGGGCAAGGGGAGACAAGACCTCCATCGCCTAAAACCGTCCCCCATCTCCCACAACCCCTGACTTTCCTCGTCTTCTCCCCGTTCAAGCCCCCACTCCCGCGTTTCCCAACTCCCCGCTTCAATCCTACCCTTCCAGCACCCAAGCTGCAACCGCGGCAGCCACAGCAGCAGCAGTCGCCAGGGGCGGGGAGGCGGGGGGTGGCAGTGCCAGGGGTGCGGAGATTCTCCCTGGCGGAGCTGCAGATGGCAACAGACGACTTCTCCCCATCCTTTCCCCAACTTCCATCTCTTACTCCCTCCCTCACTACTCCTGACTCCCCTCCTCTTCTCCCCAACCCCTCCTCTCCCCGCTTCGCCCCTCAATCCTTTCCCCAAACTCCCCCCAATCCCTCCCCCCAACCCCATCCCCACAACCAGCACCCAAGCTGCAACCGCGGCAGCCACAGCAGCAGCAGTCGCCAGGGGCGGGGAGGCGGGGGGTGGCAGTGCCAGGGGTGCGGAGATTCGCCCTGGCGGAGCTGCAGATGGCAACAGACGACTTCTCCCCGCACACCAAGCTGCGGGACCACCCCCTAGGACCTGTGTACTGCGGTGACCTGCCTGACGGCACGGTGAGTGGAGGGGTTTGTGGTGTGTTCCAGTGCGGTGGAGTGTGGTGTGGAGGCTTTTGGGTCAGCTGGAACATGCCTGTGAGGTGCAGATGGCAACAGACGACTTCTCCCCGCACACCAAGCTGCGGGACCACCCCTTAGGGCCTGTGTACTGCGGCGACTTGCCCGATGGCACGGTGAGTGGGATGAATCGGGGTGTGGTGTGCGGTGCAGTGTGGTGTGGGAGCTTTTTTGTGGGCTGAAAGCAAGCCCATGAGCTGCAGATGGCTACAGATGGCTTCTCCCCGCATACCAAGCTGAGGGATCACCCGCTGGGACCCGTTTACTGTGGCGACCTGCCTGATGGCACGGTGAGTGGGGTGACTTGGGTTGTGGGGAGATTTGAGTGCCGTGCAGTGCGGTGTGGAGCTTTTGATTCAGTTGGTGAGCTTGAAATGGCAACAGACGACTTCTCCCCGCACACCAAGCTGAGGGACCACCCCCTCCTGGGACCCGTGTACTGTGGTGACCTGCCGTCGCCTCCCCCTCCCTCCCTCCCTTTCTCCTCCCTCTCCCCCACCACCAGCAGGAGGTGGCAGTGAGGAGGATAGAAGAAGCAGCAGTAGAGGGGCAGTCAGACTCGGATTTCGAGGTGGTGGTGGCAAACATACCCTCTTCTCCCCTTCCTGTTCCCTTCCATCCCTCATCTTGCCTCCCCCACCACCACCAGGAGGTGGCAGTGAGGAGGATAGAAGAAGCAGCAGTAGAGGGACAGTCAGACTCGGATTTCGAGGCAGTAGCAGCAAACATGGCACGGCTGCAGCACAACCACGTGGTGCCGCTGCAGGGGTACTTTGTGGATGGGGGCGAGCGGATGCTGGTGTTCGAGGCACTGGCAGCAAACATACCCTCTTTGTTTCCTTCTCCCTGCCCTCCTGCCTCCTGCCTCCCCTCCTCCTGCCTCCCCTCCTCCTGCCTCCCCTCCTCCTGCCTCCCCTCCTCCTGCCTCCCCTCCTCCTGCCTCCCCTCCCTGTGCCTCCCCACCCGTCGCTCCCCCAACCAGGAAGTGGCAGTGAGGCGGATAGAGGCAGCAGTAGTGGAGGGGCAGTCCGATTCGGACTTTGAAGCAGTAGCAGCCAACATGGCGCGGCTGCAGCACGCCCACGTGGTGCCTCCACTCCCCCCTTCCCTGCCTGCCCCAACCCCCCCCCCCACCAACACCAGGAGGTAGCGGTGAGGAGGATAGAGGCAGCAATAGTGGAGGGGCAGTCCGATTCGGACTTTGAAGCAGTAGCAGCCAACATGGCGCGGCTGCAGCACGCCCACGTGGTGCCTCCACTCCCCCCTTCCCTGCCTGCCCCAACCCCCCCCCCCACCAACACCAGGAGGTAGCGGTGAGGAGGATAGAGGCAGCAGTAGTGGAGGGGCAGTCCGATTCGGACTTTGAAGCAGTAGCAGCCAACATGGCGCGGCTGCAGCACGCCCACGTGGTTCCGCTGCAGGGGTACTGCGTGGACGGGGGCGAGAGGATGCTGGTGTTTGAGCATTTTCACCTGGGCAGTCTGTACGAGCATCTGCACGATGGCAGCCGGAGCATGCTCATGACTTGGGACACTCGCGTGCAGATCGCTGTCGGCTGCGCTCAAGCTCTAGAGTAAGTGCTGGGGATGGTGTGGGGGTGGGAACTGGGGAGCGAGGATGGGGGAGTGAGGTGGGGTACTGCGTGGACGGTGGCGAGCGGATGCTGGTGTTTGAGCATTTTCACCTGGGCAGCCTGTACGAGCATCTGCGTGACGTGGGACACGCGCGTGCAAATTGCTGTCGGCTGCGCTCGAGCCTTGGAGTAAGTGCTGGTGATGGTGTGGGGGTGGGAAGTGGGGAGGGGCGGATGGGGGAGTGAGTGGGGTACTACGTGGATGGGGGCGAGAGGATGCTGGAGTTTGAGCATTTTCACCTGGGCAGTCTGTACGAGCATCTGCACGATGGCAGCCGGAGCATGCTCATGACTTGGGATACGCGCGTTGGCATTGCTGTCGGTTGCGCGCAAGCCCTAGAGTGAGTGCTGGGGATGGTGTGGGGGTGGGAACTGGGGAGCGAGGATGGGGGAGTGAGGTCGGTACTGCGTGGATGGGGGCGAGAGGATGCTGGTGTTTGAGCATTTTCACCTGGGCAGTCTGTACGAGCATCTGCATGATGGCAGCAGGACAGGAAAGTGGTGGTTGTGAGGTGGGGTACTGCGTGGATGGGGGCGAGCGCATGCTGGAGTACGAGCAATTCCATCTGGGCAGCCTGTATGAGCAATTCCATCTGGGCAGCCTGTATGAGCAATTCCATCTGGGCAGCCTGTACGAGCAATTCCATCTGGGCAGCCTGTACGAGCAATTCCATCTGGGCAGCCTGTACGAGCAATTCCATCTGGGCAGCCTGTACGAGCAATTCCATCTGGGCAGCCTGTACGAGCAATTCCATCTGGGCAGCCTGTAAGCATTCATCTGGGCAGCCTACGAGCAATTCCATCTGGGCAGCCTGTACGAGCAATTCCATCTGGGCAGCCTGTACGAGCAATTCCATCTGGGCAGCCTGTACGAGCAATTCCATCTGGGCAGCCTGTACGAGCAATTCCATCTGGGCAGCCTGTACGAGCAATTCCATCTGGGCAGCCTGTACGAGCAATTCCATCTGGGCAGCCTGTACGAGCAATTCCATCTGGGCAGCCTGTACGAGCAATTCCATCTGGGCAGCCTGTACGAGCAATTCCATCTGGGCAGCCTGTACGAGCAATTCCATCTGGGCAGCCTGTACGAGCAATTCCATCTGGGCAGCCTGTACGAGCAATTCCATCTGGGCAGCCTGTACGAGCAATTCCATCTGGGCAGCCTGTACGAGCAATTCCATCTGGGCAGCCTGTACGAGCAATTCCATCTGGGCAGCCTGTACGAGCAATTCCATCTGGGCAGCCTGTACGAGCAATTCCATCTGGGCAGCCTGTACGAGCAATTCCATCTGGGCAGCCTGTACGAGCAATTCCATCTGGGCAGCCTGTACGAGCAATTCCATCTGGGCAGCCTGTACGAGCAATTCCATCTGGGCAGCCTGTACGAGCAATTCCATCTGGGCAGCCTGTACGAGCAATTCCATCTGGGCAGCCTGTACGAGCAATTCCATCTGGGCAGCCTGTACGAGCAATTCCATCTGGGCAGCCTGTACGAGCAATTCCATCTGGGCAGCCTGTACGAGCAATTCCATCTGGGCAGCCTGTACGAGCAATTCCATCTGGGCAGCCTGTACGAGCAATTCCATCTGGGCAGCCTGTACGAGCAATTCCATCTGGGCAGCCTGTACGAGCAATTCCATCTGGGCAGCCTGTACGAGCAATTCCATCTGGGCAGCCTGTACGAGCAATTCCATCTGGGCAGCCTGTACGAGCAATTCCATCTGGGCAGCCTGTACGAGCAATTCCATCTGGGCAGCCTGTACGAGCAATTCCATCTGGGCAGCCTGTACGAGCAATTCCATCTGGGCAGCCTGTACGAGCAATTCCATCTGGGCAGCCTGTACGAGCAATTCCATCTGGGCAGCCTGTACGAGCAATTCCATCTGGGCAGCCTGTACGAGCAATTCCATCTGGGCAGCCTGTACGAGCAATTCCATCTGGGCAGCCTGTACGAGCAATTCCATCTGGGCAGCCTGTACGAGCAATTCCATCTGGGCAGCCTGTACGAGCAATTCCATCTGGGCAGCCTGTACGAGCAATTCCATCTGGGCAGCCTGTACGAGCAATTCCATCTGGGCAGCCTGTACGAGCAATTCCATCTGGGCAGCCTGTACGAGCAATTCCATCTGGGCAGCCTGTACGAGCAATTCCATCTGGGCAGCCTGTACGAGCAATTCCATCTGGGCAGCCTGTACGAGCAATTCCATCTGGGCAGCCTGTACGAGCAATTCCATCTGGGCAGCCTGTACGAGCAATTCCATCTGGGCAGCCTGTACGAGCAATTCCATCTGGGCAGCCTGTATGAGCAATTCCATCTGGGCAGCCTGTACGAGCAATTCCATCTGGGCAGCCTGTACGAGCAATTCCATCTGGGCAGCCTGTACGAGCAATTCCATCTGGGCAGCCTGTACGAGCAATTCCATCTGGGCAGCCTGTACGAGCAATTCCATCTGGGCAGCCTGTACGAGCAATTCCATCTGGGCAGCCTGTACGAGCAATTCCATCTGGGCAGCCTGTACGAGCAATTCCATCTGGGCAGCCTGTACGAGCAATTCCATCTGGGCAACTGTACGAGCAATTCCATCTGCAGCTGTACGAGCAATTCCATCTGGGCAGCCTGTACGAGCAATTCCATCTGGGCAGCCTGTACGAGCAATTCCATCTGGGCAGCCTGTACGAGCAATTCCATCTGGGCAGCCTGTACGAGCAATTCCATCTGGGCAGCCTGTACGAGCAATTCCATCTGGGCAGCCTGTACGAGCAATTCCATCTGGGCAGCCTGTACGAGCAATTCCATCTGGGCAGCCTGTACGAGCAATTCCATCTGGGCAGCCTGTACGAGCAATTCCATCTGGGCAGCCTGTACGAGCAATTCCATCTGGGCAGCCTGTACGAGCAATTCCATCTGGGCAGCCTGTACGAGCAAGTGTCTCCATCTGGGCAGCCTGTACGAGCAATTCCATCTGGGCAGCCTGTACGAGCAATTCCATCTGGGCAGCCTGTACGAGCAATTCCATCTGGGCAGCCTGTACGAGCAATTCCATCTGGGCAGCCTGTACGAGCAATTCCATCTGGGCAGCCTGTACGAGCAATTCCATCTGGGCAGCCTGTACGAGCAATTCCATCTGGGCAGCCTGTACGAGCAATTCCATCTGGGCAGCCTGTACGAGCAATTCCATCTGGGCAGCCTGTACGAGCAATTCCATCTGGGCAGCCTGTACGAGCAATTCCATCTGGGCAGCCTGTACGAGCAATTCCATCTGGGCAGCCTGTACGAGCAATTCCATCTGGGCAGCCTGTACGAGCAATTCCATCTGGGCAGCCTGTACGAGAATGTGCATGATGGCAGAAGGAGCATGCTCATGACTTGGGACACTCACCTTTCACAATCCCCCCACAAACAGGTACCTGCATGAGGAGTGTGTGCCGGCAATAGTACATCGGGGCATCTCAGATTGGGTTATCTTAACACCTCCCCTCCCTTTCCACCCTCTCCCATCTTTGCCCTCTTCTCTCTCTCCACCACCTCCCAGGTACCTGCACGAGGGGTGTGTGCCAGCCATAGTGCATCGGGGCATCTCATCACGAGCCATCTTGCTGGACGACCTTATGAGCCACCTCTTTTCCCTTCCTTCCCCATATCCCTTTCCTCTTCCACTCCTCCCCCCTCACAGGTACCTGCATGAGGAATGTGTACCAGCCATAGTGCATCGTGGCATCTCATCAAGAGCCATCCTGCTGGACGACCACATGAGCCCCCGTATTGCTGATGCTGGGCTGGCTGTGCTCAACCCCACTGACGCTGAGGCTCAGGTATGGTCACCGAGGCTCGGGTATGGTCGCCGAGGCTCGGGTACAGTCACCGAGGCTCGGGTATGGTCGCCGAGGCTAATGTATGTGTGCTGCTCAGTGCGTTGAGGTCAAGGGTACGCGTGCTACCATCATCCTGCTGGACGGCCACATGAGCCCGCGCATTGCTGATGCTGGTCTGGCTGTGCTCGACCCCACTGGTGCTGAGGCTCAGGTATGTGTGCTGCTCGGTGCTGCTCGGTTCTGCTCAGTGCTGCTCGGTTCTGCTCAGTGCTGCTCGGTTCTGTGAGCCATGGTTTCCATGCTGAGGCCAAGGGTATTGGTGCTACCATCATCCTGCTGGACGGCCACATGAGCCCGCGCATTGCTGAGGCCGGCCTGGCTGTGCTCGACCTCTCTGGTGCTGAGGCTCAGTTAGGTGTGCTGCTCTGTGCTGCTCGGTGCTGTGAGACTGAAGTATTTTAGGCAAAGGTATCATGCTGCTTATTTGCTGTCCCTCCCCTCTCACCCCTCTCAACCCATCTGCAGCCAAGAGCAGCTAGTTGGTGGGTACGGATACAACGCACCCGAGTATGCCATGTGAGGGGTGTACACAGCCAAGAGCGAGTGTACAGCTTACATCCATCGCCCTCCCTTTCCCCCCTTCCCTCACAACCCCAACCCATCTCAACCCCTCCCAATCCCTCCAAATGCAGACGCTATCAGAGCAGCTGGTGGGGGGCTACGCATACAACGCACCCGAGTATGCCATGTGAGGGGTGTACACAGCCAAGAGCGAGTGTACAGCTTACATCCAATGCCCTCCCTTTCCCCCCTTCCCTCACAACCCCAACCCATCTCAACCCCTCCCAATCCCTCCAAATGCAGACGCTATCAGAGCAGCTGGTGGGGGGCTACGCATACAACGCACCCGAGTATGCCATGTCAGGGGTGTACACAGCCAAGAGCGATGTGTACAGCTTACATCCATCGCCCTCCCTTTCCCCCTTCCCTCACAACCCCAACCCATCTCAACCCCTCCCAATCCCTCCAAATGCAGACGCTATCAGAGCAGCTGGTGGGGGGCTACGCATACAACGCACCCGAGTATGCCATGTCAGGGGTGTACACAGCCAAGAGCGATGTGTACAGCTTTGGAGTGGTGCTGCTGGAACTGCTAACAGGACGAAAGCCCGTCGACCCGTAAGTATAATTTCTGCTCACCCCGCAACGCACTGTTACCGCTGCACACCCTCTGATGCATTGACTGTTGAGGCATGTCAAAAGGCGATGTGTACAGCTTTGGAGTGGTGCTGCTGGAACTGCTAACAGGACGAAAGCCTGTCGACCCGTAAGTATAACCTCTGCACAACCCCCAACGCACTGTTACCGCTGCACACCCCCTGATGCATTGACTGTTGAGTGTCAGAAGGCGACGTGTACGGCTTCGGAGTGGTGCTGCTGTAACTACTCACAGGCAGAAAGCCTGTCGACCCGTAAGTTGCCCGTGATGCCCGTAACTACTCAGAGGCAAGGGCCTCTCCTCTTTCTGTTTAATGCATCGAGTTTTGAGTTGCGTTGCACCAATCTTGCTGCCATCCATCCCAACCCATCCTGTTCCAACGCTACCACCTGTGCCCCCTCCTCCTCCCCCGTCTCCCCCTCCCCCCTCCTTCCCCATTTTTTCCAACCATCTTCACTTTTCCCCTAATCTTCCCTCCCCCAGGTCCAAGCCCAAGTGGGAGTCATCGCTAGTCCGCTGGGTGGCCCCCCTGCTGCATGACGTGGTGGAGTTGGAGCGCATGGTGGATCCCTCCTCACCCTACCCCACCCCTTCCCTCATCTTCTCCCACCATCTTACTTCCCGCCTCAGCACCAAGCCAAAATGGGACTCCTCGTTGGTGCGCTGGGCGGCCCCTCTGCTGCATGACGTGGTGGATCTAGAGAGCGCATGGTGGATCCAACCCTTGCTGGGCCCATGTCCCCATCTCTCCACACTTCCCTCGCCATCATCCTTTCCCCCCACACTGCTTACAGATCCAAGCCCAAGTGGGAGTCTTCACTGGTGCGGTGGGCGGCCCCTCTACTGCATGACGTGGTGGATCTAGAGAGCGCATGGTGGACCCTCCTCACCCTACCGCACCCTTCCCTCATCTTCTCCCACCAATTACTTTCCCCTTCAGCGCCAAGCCCAAGTGGGAGTCCTCACTCGTGCGCTGGGCGGCTCCCCTACTCCATGATGTTGTGGAGCTAGAGCGCATGGTGGATCCAACCCTGGCTGGACCCGTGCCTGACCCCCTCACTCTCACGCGCTACGCTGAAGTGATCGCACGATGCATCCAGGTGCGTGGGTGTGTGCATGGGTTTGTGAATCGGTGGGCGTAAGTGTGCGTGAATGGGTATCTGATCTCCTCACTGTTAGCTGTGATGTCAAAGCGTTTGTCAGATGCATCAATGTGTGTGCGTGCATAAAGGTGTGAGAGTGTGCACATGGGTGTGAGAGTGTGCACATGGGTGCGTGCATGTGCACATGGGTGCGTGCATGTGCACATGGGTGCGTGCATGTGCACATGGGTGCGTGCATGTGCACATGGGTGCGTGCATGTGCACATGGGTGCGTGCATGTGCACATGGGTGCGTGCATGTGCACATGGGTGCATGCATGTGCACATGGGTGCGTGCATGTGCACATGGGTGCGTGCATGTGCACATGGGTGCGTGCATGTGCACATGGGTGCGTGCATGTGCACATGGGTGCAAGCACGCGGGGGTTGAAGGGTGCATGGATGGATGGTTACATTAATGCCTTTGATCCTTTCCCACTTGACCCTGCTGCTTCCTCCCTCCTGGCCCCTCTCAATGGGTGCAGCCTGAACCGGAATTTCGCCCGTGCATGTCCAAGGTCGTCAGGGACCTTTGCCGCAGAGTGCGCAATGCCCCTGTAGCCACAGTCCCTTGCCTCTATCCCTTCCCACGTGACCCTGATTCCTCCTTTCCGGCCCCTGATTTCCCTATGTGCGTCTCTGCCTGTCACTGAGTGCAGCCTGAGCCGGAGTTCCGCCCATGCATGTCCAAGGTCGTAAGGGACCTTTGCCGCAGAGTGAGAAAGACCACTGCCGCTGCCGCCAGCAGCAGCAGCACCAGCACCCACCTCGGCCCGGATGCATTTTGACGGCACTAATTAGGCTGACTTTTGAGGCGGCTCAGAAATGGGACCTTTGCTGGAGAATGTGTGCAGAGTCAAGGTCCTGCCACCGCCACCGCCACCATCCGTAACCTCCTCTCCCCTGATGGCTTTTAAGGTGGCTCGGCCCGAATCAGTGCTGCGGCCCGAATCAGTGCTGCGGCCCGAATCAGTGCTGCAGTGCGTCCCGGCCGACCCTGGAAGCACCAGCGCCGCCAGCAGCATCAGCAGAAGGCAGCTTGCCTTGGATGATTCCATTTTGACCCCCTCGTTCTCCCACCCCCTCGGTGCTCTCTCGTGCTTAGCCTGTGCACGGCTCTCAGCCCCATTATAAACATGTTATATGATGCCTAGAGACCACTATCCAACAACCCACGTTTATAGTGGGGTAAGGATGGGAAAAGGGCATCAGGGTTTGAACCTGAGTTACGGATTGGGTAGGGTGTGGAATGTATGCAAGGAAGGGCTTAGGTATGTGTGCATCGTGCATGCACATGCCTGCTTGTGGTTGTTCATCTGTATGTATTTGATGTAAGCTTGCAGCTTACTAACATGGTTTGCCTATTACGGATTGTGGCATACTCGATGTGTGATTTTTAAGAAGAGTGAATCGAAGATGCTTCTTGGCAAGGATTTATTCGTGCGGCAGTGCCTGCGGCGGAATGAGTCAGCACTGACGAGGCAGTGCGCCAAGAGCCTGACACCAACCATCCGCATCCTACGGCGGACAATTGTGGAACATCATGCATCGTCATTGTGAGTCATCGTGCTTTCGCCAAAGCCCCGCCAATCAGCTTCGCCTTTTCAGCTCGAATCCGTCTGCGATCGAATTTTCGAATTTCGCCACCATCTACAAGATTCCTCGCCGCTTCCCGTCAGGCCAAGTCCTGAACATCACTTTCCGTCAAGGCTAGCCGTTATCAACGGACTTATTGGAGCAGAATGACCATGTTCAGAAGGCAAGGCACATTTGTGTTAATTTCGGCACAAAGTGGTGTGCTTCGGTATATGATGCTTCGACGTAGGTCCATATCTTCTTCTTGGCTACAGTTGACCCCACCCCACCCCACACCACACTCCCGCTCCGCCGTCGGTCCGAAAGTACCAGGGCGTGAAACATCCGCCCCAAGTTGGACTCCAAATTTGAGGTTGTACACGGTATGCTAGCGCAATTTTTGGTTGCATTGAGTTTTAGTACGGTGCTGAGCGTTGACCGCGGCTTCTAGGTGGTTCCACGAATCATGAAAGCGTTTGGATCACTCTACTGCATTCAAGTGGCTTATGCCACGCCTAGCTATCGTCAGCTTCGTTATCGTCAGCCTATTCTTATTTTAGGACGCCGTTTCACTTCTGCAGCTGGATAAGCTGATCGTCGTATCGTCATGAATTCCGTTTAGCGGATCATCCGCAAGTATTTGCGGTCCGCCTTGGTGTAGCTGCTCTCTTTGAACAAACTCTTAGACTTGCTTCAATAGATTTTAAGAACATAGCTACGTTGTTTGCTGAGACACGTCGCCTCCACCTCCTCATCGTAGTATTTGCATCGCGTTTTGTCCCGGTTCACCCCAACAACATTCCTTTGGTACCCTAGAGACGGACGAATCCATGATGGACAGCTGGATGGATAAAGCATGGCTGGTGGATGCTTGGAGCAGGCAAGGGATTACCCCTTTTATCCTCGCCAGAAATGAAACAGACAGCGCTGTCAGCGCTATCGGCCTTGGGGGTGTCGGGGACTTTGAGAAGGACGCGTATGAAGGCCTGGCAGCATCGTACGCGTTTGTGGGAATCGTTGCCTTGGTGCGTGCTGGCTTTGATGTCATGTACGCGTGTGATCATTCCTATTGCATGATACATTTATGCAATGATGGGGGTAGATTTATCGCCTGTCCCATGGGGGTAGATTTATCACCTGTCCCATGGGGGTAGATCTATCGCCTGTCCCATGTGCAACTGGCGCAGCTGTCGCGGATTCTGTTGAGAATCCCTGAGTACGGCTTAGTTTGGAACTTCGTGGAGACTCCTCCATTGCAATGCTTCATATGTGTCAACGCTGCAGGTGCAACTGGCGCGGATTCAACTGAGTGTGCCTGAGTACGGCTGTTTCAAAGGTGCTAAAAAACTCATCCACTCCAATGCTTCGTATGTATCACGTGCCAACACTGCAGGTGCAACTGGCGCGGATTCAACTGTGAGTGCCTGAGTACGGCTGTCTTTGAAATGCTTAAAAACTCCTCCATTGCAATACTCCATATGTGTCAACTCTGCAGGTGCAACTGGCGCGGATTCAACTTAGGGTGCCTGAGTACGGCTGGACGACACAGAAGGTGTTTCATCTCCTCAACTTCGTTCTCTGCGCGGGTGAGTGTCTAGTTACCTCGGCACACTGCCACATGAGTGTCTAGTATCCAGGCTTGCTACGTTTGTTTGAAACCTCTGCACACGATAGGCCGTGGTCATTCGTTTCTCCTGCTTTTGTTAAACCTTCCACCTAAACACCTCCCATCCCATCCCGTTCCTCTCTCCCTTCCGCTGCCCGTTCACTTTCCACGTGCCTACAGCCAGGTGTGCAGTTTTCCTCTTCTGGGAGCAAGTGCAAGGCATCAATGATTACGTGAGCTCCAATATTTAGCTCGCCTTTAGCGTCTGCTTTGGGACATCTCAACAGTCGACTGATATTACCTGACCTGACTATGGGCTCACTTTTCTTTTGAGTCGACTCAAAAGTCAGCTTGATATTACCTGACTATGGGCTCACTTTTCTGCCACCTCTGGCGGATATTGGCATCAGTTTGCATGTCATTTCATGCCATTTAGCTAGTCTTGCTTCACAACCTCGCCTAACTTGCGTGTTTCAGGTGTTAAAAGTGGCCATATTGGACGTACCCAGTCTCTTCTTCTTCACCACCTACACTCTTCTGATCCTATTCTGGGCGGAGATTTACCACCAGGTGTGTAAGTCTGCTTCGCACCAGGACCGACGCATAAGTCGCCTTAGTTGCGAAGAGCAGCAAACCTGGACTCTTCTGATCCTATTCTGGGCAGAGATTTACCACCAGGTGTGTAAGTCCGCTTCACCACAACATAATATTTCAGGTGCTAAGAGTGGTCATGTTGGACGTACCGAGTCTATTCTTCTTCACCACGTACACGCTGCTCATTTTCTTCTGCGCGGAGATATTCCATCAGATATGTACGATCAGCTACCGCCATCAGCTAATTACCAGCTATGCACCATCAGCATTGAACTCTTCGCTGAAGCCTTTTGGGCAGACTCGCATTTTGGCCTTCCATGTGACCCGTTCCTTTTTTCCATGATGATTTTTTAGGCCCTCGAAAAGCATTTCGGCCTTCCATACAACCTTTTTTTTTTTTTTCCCTGTCGCTGTTCCCCTTGTTCCCCCCAGGCCCGGGGCGTACAATCACAGGATCTTCGCCGTACATTCTGCATTTTGAACGCTGCAATCTATATCCTACAGGTGTGTACCATAGCAGTACGTGGATTGTTGTGTGCATTCATGCATATTGTCAGGTTTACGGTGCTTGCTTCTTGCAGTCTGCTCGTGGTTGTGGATAGTTTTCGTGTGCCCCAGTCAGTCAGCCCAGCCATTTATTGTCTGTCGTTTCGTGGGTGTGGTGGTTGGGGAACTGTTTTTCCACTCACATGCTTGCAAGACCAATCCAATATCTGCCTGCTGTGAGTGCTTGCTAGACCAAGCAGTGGTTCTATGGTAAGCACTAAACCCTACCATAGATTCATGTGCCCTAAACCCTAAACGATCTTCAACTTAATGCTTGTTTACACTACATGCGTGCATGCGCACCATCCCATCCCACACATCGGGTGGTGCATGGATCTCCATGGGCCTCGTGCCACAGCACAGCACGCAGGCACACTCGTTCTCCTTACCCCCACCAAGCTGTGCGGGAATTCTCGAAATTGATTGTGTGTGTACGTTTATGCGTGCCCATTATTGCACACACCAGGGTGCTGCGTGGATCTACATGGAATTCGTGCCACAGCATGCAGACCCACTCGTTCTCCTCACCAAGCTCTTCCGAGCAGGTAGCAGCCAGAGCAGGTGGCAGGGAAGCTCAGGTAACAGGCATATTTTGTGGGAGATAAGACGTTTAAGACTGGTTGACTCATAAGTTCCCAACTTCTGCCCTGATTCCGCGTTCCCTCCAAATTGGAGGCCTCTGTGGCTGAATCCTTGAAATTTCCTCCCATTCTTCCCCGCATTTTCTCTATCCCCGTGATTCGTTACCTTACCTTATCTCTCTCTGTGTCCCTCCAGGCGTGGCATTCACTGCGGCATTTGGCTTCATGCTTTATGGTGGACGGTGAGCCTATACGCAGTCGGATTATCAGAGGCTTAGATATTTGTTAGTTTTTTATATACATATATATCTATATATTATATATATAATATGTCTGTGTTTGTGTGTTTATTTTCTTGCCGCGTTTCAGAAACACACCTTTTTAATTCGCTGTATCTACCCCATGGTTCTATGGTTGCACGCAGGCTGTTTGTCATGCTCAACACGTTCCCGGTGGAGTCGAGAGGAAGGAGAAACAAGCTGATGGAGGTGGGTTATGGATGTAGTGATGGGTGGCCTGAATGCTCGTGTGCTCCTAGCAGACCTGGAGCTGACATAACAGTGAGTCACAGGCTGATGGAGGTGGGCTGTGAGTGTATTGAGGGGATGAGGAAAAGAATACACTGTTTGCAACCGAGCTTGCTGCCACGTATTCACAACAGCATGGTCACGAAATGTTGATCCGTGGGAGTGCTCCTCGGATGCTGCACATCTACATGCACATCTACATGCACATCTACATGCACATCTACATGCACATCTACGTGCACATCTACATGCACATCTACATGCACATCTACATGCTCTTGTTGCCCTGTCCATCCTTCCCGCCTCGCTCCGCCTGTTGTCCCATCCCAGGTGGGCCAGGTCACGGCCATCGGTTTCACGAGCTTTTGAGGCGCCTAAAGAATTAGATGCGCTTTATTAATTAGATGTGTCTCAATACCTTCCCCTCTCACTCCTCCCCTTGTCCCAGGTGGGCCTTGTCACGGCCATTGGTTTCATGAGCTTTTGAGGCGCCTAAAGAATCAGATGCGTCTCAATACCTTGCCCTCTCGCTCCTCCCCTTGTCCCAGGTGGGCCTTGTCACGGCCATTGGTTTCATGAGCTTTTGAGGCGCCTAAAGAATCAGATGCGTCTCAATACCTTGCCCTCTCCCTCCTCCCCTTGTCCCAGGTGGGCCTTGTCACGGCCATCGGTTTCATGAGCTTTTGAGGCGCCTCAAGAATTAGAGGCGGCTCAAGAATTGTATGCGCCTAAGAATCTTCCCCTCTCACTTCGCCCATTGTCCCATCCCAGGTGGGTCTTGTCACGGCCATTGGTTTCACGAGCTTCACGATTCGAGCATTCATCGTGAGTGGGGTTTCATGCCTTGTTGGGATTCTGGCGAGTCGGATTTTCATGACGTGTTGGGTTTCGTGGCGAGTTAGGTAGGGTTCATGGAGACTTGGGGTTCATCTGCTGCCCCGTTGGCAAGGAGTGTTGATAGGCAACTGTTGCAAAAGCACCTTTATTGCACTATTCAATTTAGGCCGCCAAGTTGCATTTGCGTTCAGGGGGGAGAAAGGTAGGTAATCAACAAAAGCTCTGGAGCCCTTTTTAATATTTCTGAGTTTTAAGCTTTGGACTGGTAAGCTACACCTGCTACTTCACGCATCTTTCTCTGAGTGTTTCCTGCATTCTTGTGTACTTAGTTATAATACCGTAATACTTGTCAACTTCCTTGCACCCTTTTGTTTTTGTGTGCTGGCCCTTTCAGGTCGCATTCTCGGGCATCAGTGAGCGAGTTCCGCTGGATAAAGTCAAAGCTCCCGTCTTCAATGTCATATACTACATGGTATGTGAATGGGATAATCAATGTGCAGTTGCATGGGTATGGTCTGCAACGTTTCCTTCATCCATATTTGGTCTTGGTACATCTGGTCCTGGTACATTTTTTTTTTGAGACTGTTCTCGCATCAACGGACTTGCAAAAACATTTCTTCACTTGGATCCGAGTCTATTGTTGAGCTTGTTTGTGCATATTTTACCTAACATTGCGATTGTATGGGTACCTTTGGTTACAGGCTGTGGAGGTAATTCCAACCATCCTGGTGTTGTACATCCTGAGGAAGCTTCCTCCTCGTCGACAGTTCAACACACAGCCCTTGCACTAGATGCGATTGAATGGGTGCTTCATCTGTACAGTGAGTAATGCATTTGCTTGACGAAGAATGTAAATATGTAGAGGTGACCTGCAAATGCATTGTCATTTAGTGGATGAAGTGGAGGGTATGCAATTACAGCACTTATATGGAACTCACAGATTCTAAGATGAAACAAATCATAATAACATGAATAGAAGAGATGGAACTGCAAAAACATGAATGGAAGTCCTGCGACAACGCACTGCACTACAGCTCCTTCTGTCCCTACAAGCATAACACCCACACAAGGCGTCCTTTAACGCCCTAACAGGGGACAGCTCCCTACCTTGTATGGTAGATATGAGCATCTCCTGAGGTCAGTCACGCTTCTTCCTCCTATGCAGCAAGCCCTTGCTGCTAGTGCAAGAAAGGCCAGCTTACGCGCTTCTTGGCGGACCTTACATTGCCTAAACCCCACCCCTTGAAGCCACTCAGCGAGGACAACAGCTTTCAATGAATTAATGACCACCAGCTCCAAACTTCCATCTCTCCATCCTTCCCCAAGTCCGTAGTCACCAGCTGCTTCCAAGAGTAGATTCCTTTCTTCCAATCTCATAACTGGCCTCAGATTATAAAGGCGCATCAGACCCGCCTCCTCCATCCACCCTCGACCCTTCCACCTCCACATGCTATCTGCTTCAGCACTACAGCAACAAAAAAGCACAGCACATTCTAGTGTATGCACCCCTCACGTCTCCCATCGTCCTTCAATCCCTCCACCTCCACATTCATCTGTTCCTCCTCCGTCCCTGCTTTCCCGCTCCTGTGCGCTATCCTGTCGCACATCCTCTTAGCGAATTTCGTCTTAGCGAGGATAGGAATGAGCGTGAGCACCGCCAGTAGGCAGAAGATGGCGATTGTGGCGGGGTCATAGAGGTCTGTAACGGAGTTGATTGTACGCACCCAGCCTTCACTTGTACCACGTTGTACGGGAAGAAACCCAGAAACGTGCCTATAACGAAGGTTGGGAAAGGGATTCCGACCACTGGAGCACAGAGGTTGATCACCCAGGAGGGAAGCACGGGTGTGATTCTAAGGAAGATGATATAATAAACGAGGCAGCTCTGGTGGCGCTGCACTTCGCGTCGCAGCCAATCGCAGCGCTCCGTGAAGTACGAGTACACCACATCGCGAAGAATAAAAAGCGATACGGCGTAGGAGAGGCACGCGCCGATAGTTATAAAGAGCGAGATTGTAAAGAGACCGAGGGGGAAGCCAAAAAGGGACCCTGCTAAGATGTTGCAGAGGAGGGTTCCAGGAGTTAGGAAGGTTTGAATAAAGAGATAAAAGTTTACGAAAGTGAAATACACTCTGGTGGGGTATGCAGCCATGTAGAGGTTGAGTGTAGATCGCATGGATTGGAGGTCTGAGATGCTGTGGGGGAAGTGGAGGGTCGCATAAGCGACAGCTGTCGTGCTGCTGTCGGAATCAGGCGGATATGGATTTGATTCTGTCGCAGATGCGTTGAAGAGGGAATTATCTGGTGCGAATAACGACACGCTGCTGCCTATGCTGCTGGTGGTGCTGCTGCCGTTGGCGGGGTATTCTTGGCCTGACGGATCCACAACTAGGGTTTCATTGCTCGGGCTGCTCCCGTTGCTGCTGCTGCTGCTAAAGCTGCCCGGAAAATTTCCGCTGCTCATGAACCCGTTCCCGTTAATGCCGCTGAGATCGCTCCCATTGGTTGCGACTCCATCAAACGGCGTCGCAGGCGACTCCGGCGACTGCAATGCGACCTGAACGGTGGCGATAGACGGCAGCGTTACGAAGCTGACGACGACAATGAGCGACCACCCAAGAAAAAGCAGCAGGAGGCAGGAAAGGCGGCGACATAGTTCCGGACAGACGCCCACGGAAGCAGGAGAAACGTCAGGATAACCGGAGATTGCGACTATGGCGGGATCTTCGACGGATTTCGGTCGCAGGACGACAGTGCTGCAGTCGCTGCGACAACCACCCTTGCTGCCGCAACAGTCGGAGGTGACGGAGTCGGGAGTGATAGAAACGGGGTCCAACGTGATAGTAACGGTGTCGTCCCTGATCGGTTTTAACCTAACGTGGGCAGAGTCTATACTGAGACAATGTATCCTGTCGCTGATACCGGCGCCGCTGTTTCTTCTGCTGCTGCAACCGTTTCTGCTACCGCCGCCACCGCCGCCGCCGCCGACGCTGTCGTTGTCGTCGAAGCAGTGACTGGATTCGAGGCCGAACGGGCAGTTGACGAAATCGGCGTTGTCGTCGGCGTCGCTTGCTACTCCGCCGGGATTCAGCCGCGCGGTGCTCGGCGAATCCGGATCGCGAACGTGCGACATTGCGCTCGGCGACGTGCGACGTGCGACGCAGGAAGTTGGTGAGAAGGGCGACGATGGTTCGCCCTGCGACGACGTCGGCCTGACGTGCAGAATTGGTGCACGTGCGGGATTATATCCCAAACTCCTACGTTGAACTCGACGAGAAATAAACTAGATGTGACGGCATACTACAGGGAAAAGACTCTGCCAGCATAGGGCTCGAATCCGTGACTTATAAAAAAGGAGGTGATGAAAGCGGCGAGAATCCGTGCTTGCTGTGTCGAAACTAAGCGCCGAAAATGCAACAACCCCCTGGCACTAACAAGCGAGTTAGTCAGCAGAATCGGAGTCCTTCACTGCTGATGCCTAGAAGCTAAGGGAACGTGAAAGCAAACTACATATGACTGAAATAAATAAAGACGGGCGACGAAGTATTAGTACACCAAGAAAACTCCAAGTTTGGGTGAGTTGGGTTCGTGCTTGGGTATGCTGAGGCAGGCGCACTGTCACTGCTATGTTCACCGAACCTTGATTGCCTCGGCAGGGCTTCGAGACATTCGAGAAAACCGGCAGGGCAGCTACGGTATGGGTGGATGTGATTTCCTTAATCGTAGAACGCAGTGTAGAGCAGAACTGATACCTCACCAACACTTCCCTACCTACACATGCACCTTGGAAGTCGGGCTTGGAGGTTGGGAGTTTCGGAACCTGGTTCGGGAGCTAGGGCATCCCGGAACTGGTTCGGGAACTTCGGCGGTCCGGGTGACGGGGCAAGTGAGGTATGGGTGCGCATCTGGTTAGCGCAACGAGGCACGAGCCCTGGTTGGGTGAAAGCGGGGCCGAACGCGGACCAAACCTGAACCGAAGCCAGCACATAGTTTCAGAGACAGAGGTGGAAACGTTGACGCGGACTCACGAACCGCGACAAGAGTCAAAACGAGAGGTGCGCGAGTGTGACCTTGGGGGGAACGAGGTCGGGGAAGACGGGACAGCAGAGAAGAACTGGGCAGACATCAAACCGAGAGAGCTCTGGCTGGGATGAGGTTGGGTAGGTGGAATAATGGTAGTACTGTAGGAGAATAGCCGCGAAGCCTTGGAATAGAGTTGACCCGTTTACCTGAAAACGAAGTTTATGATGCTCGAGAACCCGAAGGACATCAAAACGTTTATGATACTGGAGACCCAGAAGACAGGGGAGCATCAGTTTGTATCTAAATTTGCTTACAATTCTCCAGAACCGAACACCGAAACAAACTCCCAAGGGAAAGTACATCCCAGCTCCTTAGTTTCGAAAATATCTCAAATTTAGTTCCAGGTTCACCCAAAAAGTCTACCTTTAGGGTTGATCCCTCCCGAAAATGTGTCCTGTTTCCCCAGGGGTATTTTGTTTTTTTGACCCGTCAAAACTTTCTTGGTGCGAAGTGGACACGTGTCGAAATGTTTGCCCCGCAGGACCAGTTTTGAACATACTTTGGGCCTCGCGTGAGAGAAATTCTAGAAAGTGGGGCTTTTTGAGTAAACCTAGGGCTAAATATGAGAGAATCCTGAAAGTCAGGAGCTGGGATATACTTTCCCAACTCCCAAGGGTACTTCTCACGATAACCTCTGTCCGAACCCAAACCTGCTTGACGAGGAAGGCAAGAACAGGTTTGGCTTCGGCCCCCTGTCTTTCGGCTCGAGGGGAATGTGATGGTCTGGGTCTAGGAACCCCTCAAGAACTGTCAGTCACAGTTCGTCCTCTCCGTGTCAGAGAATGGGCTGGGCAGGGTGCGGGAGAAGGCCTCACCAAACGTGTTTTGACGAAGCCAACGAACATCTCACCAACTGTACGACTCGGTCGTGGCAGAGAGATTCATCCCCATAACGAGAAAACGCGTTTTGACGAAGCCAACGACCATCTCAAGGGCTACATGGCAGCGATAGAGACAAAAGGAACTGCATAACGAGGAAACATGGAGATGCGGGGTGTCGATCCCCGTGCCTCTCGCATGCTAAGCGAGCGCTCTACCATCTGAGCTACATCCCCGTTTGTGACAAAATTTAGAGTAGATACTATTAATTTCGAGCTCCAACCATTTGACATACATCCCCATCATCGTACATTTACATCTAGAGACAGTAGAACAAAGCATATAGCACATAGAACTGGAGCCATCGCAAGACCCAGTAAGCTAGTGAGAGAAGAATGAGGCACATAAATGACTACCTGGTTAAATCTGGAACATTGAATTCCCCCTCCAGCTACAATCTCAAAATATTTCGGCCTATCCATAACGCACAATTGCGGACGCCCATGTAAGGCCAGCACCGAAACCAGCCGTTGCAATAACATCTCCGGACTTCACTTTACCGCTGCGCACAGCTTCGTCAAGAGCAATGGGGATGGAGGCTGCACTTGTGTTGCCGTAACTGGCCACATTTGAGATCACCTTCTCGTGAGGAATGCCCATTTTAGTTGCAACGGCGTCCATTATCCGTTGATTGGCCTGGATGGTGAAACAGGAGGAATAGAGAAGTTAGTTGCGAAATGGAAACTGAGGAGCAGAACCGAGTGGCATGGCAAAGAGTGTTTGACAACCGGATTGGAGGGAAGAGGTGCAACAGCGATGCACAGCTGCACTGCATCTACCGGTACTATATATAATCTGTTTAGGTTGGTGATTTGTGCAGTGAAGATCTGAATGGTAGGAGGTCTGGAACGGAAGAAAGTTGGTACTTACCCCATTGCTCCGGGCGCCTCCAGTATGTAACAAAGGAGCAATTTACCCGGAGTTTCCATGTGTTACTTGAGTGCGTGCGAAACAAGACAGCTACCTGATGCAGCAGAAGCCAGTCAATGTCGTCCGTTGACAATTCCGCCTCCTGAAGCGCTGCTTGTAGGACCTGCAAGGGGGGCAGGCAGGGTGTGGTTGTTCGTGGAAAGGGAGACAATGTTACTATAAAGACTGGAAGCCTATAGCGGGTTGGGAAGCTGCTTGTAAAGCATGATGGGACGAGGGTGAGGAGGAGAGGACAGGGGTAAGGCAACGGTGGTTTCAACAGCAAAAACGGAACATTTGTTCTAAATAGGGGAGGCATGCAAACGTTGACAAGAGGCACATTAGCTGCACACATGATTATAAATATGAATATTCACAGAACTGTTTTTGACACGAATCAGAATGTGGCAATGGCGCCTGCCTTAGACTTACACAGGTTGCAGTGCATACCTCGGGCACGCAGATGACAGCTGAGAGGCGCATACCTGGGGCACGGAGGTGACAGCAAACTTGTAGACCTCCTTCCCGTTCATCACTATGGGGGTCGCCACCGCCCTCCCTGCAATGGACCCGCTCTCTGCTGGCGCCGGCGTCACACTGGGAAGCACGCATGCAGGTGCCTGGCGAGGGAGCATGGGGGAGGATATGGGAGAGGAGAAGAAAATGAGGGAAGTAAAGAAGCGAAGGAAAGACGTGAGAGGCAAAGTGAATTGCCACCCGCTCTCTACTGGCGCCGGAGTCACACTGAAGCACGCATGCAGGTGCCTGGCGAGGGAGCATGGGGGAGGATATGGGAGAGGAAAAGAAAATGAGGGAAGTAAAGAAGTGAAGGAAAGACGTGAGAGGCAAAGTGAATTGCCACCCGCCCTCTACTGGCACCGGCGTCACACTGAAGCACGCATGCAGGTGCCTGGCGAGGGAGCATCAGGGAAAGGACAGGGGGGAGGTTTGGGGGAATGTATGGTTTAGGGTCGAGCAAAGCAGCTTGCCGCCTCCCTTCTCGAGTCAGCGCAGAGCTGCAACAGGCTGGTGCACTTGGGGATGAATACAAGAGGAGTCAGCCAATAGGATTGAAGTCGGGTGTTAGCAACAAATCCTTTTGCAATGCCTGCTCGTTGCTGGGCTATCACAATGTCGAAACACGGTGCGGACCATCACTGCTAGGCACTTGCAGGTAGGCTTCAAATCACCTTAGCAGCACACCTTGAACCAAGGAGGCCCCTGAATTACCATGAACCACGCCTGTCATCATGAAGATGGATCCCCAGCAAGCCAGCACCACTCTTGCTCTGGCCTCGTTTTTGAGTCGCCTAAAAAACAGGACCATGAACCACGCCTGTCATCATGAAGATGGATCCCCAGCAAGCCATCACCACTCTTGCTCTGGCCTTGTTTCAAAACGAGCAGTGTAATTTGATTGAATCAACCTATTCACTCAACACTTCACCTTGATTCTTAAACACTGCTGAGTGCTGCTCTACCTGGAGCCGTAGCCGTCGCTGTGCATGTCGAACCCCAGCATGCCGTCGCTCTCCCCCTCAGCTGCAACCTGCAGACCCCCCTAAGAGAGACTATCCATCGAGCTTACCTAAATCTCTCAAAAAACTGCCAAGTGCTACCCTAGTGACCCTACCTGGAGCCGTAGCCGTCGCTGTGCATGTCAAAGCCCAGCATGCCGTCGCTCTCCCCCTCAGCTGCAGCCTGCACCAGCACGGCCCCACAGCCATCGCCAAACAGGATGCACGTGCCCCTGTCCGACCAGTCCACGTATCGCGACAGCCCATCCGCCCCCACCACCAGCACCCGCTCATACCCGCCTCCTGCAGGGTTGGTTGGTTCAGTGCATAAGATTGGAAACACGAGGAGTATAAGAAGAGAGCAAGAGGAGCAATCAAGAGGACCAGTGCACGTGCCCCTGTCCGACCAGTCCACGTATCGCGACAGCCCATCCGCTCCCACCACAAGCACTCGCTCATACCCGCCTCCTGCAGGGTTAATAGGTTCAGAGCATAGCGTTGGACGAGTGGGGAGCATAAGCAGAGAGCAAGTGGAGCAAGACTTAAGAGGAGTAGTCCACGTGCTGAGACAAACTGGCTGAACAATTCACGTATCGGGACAGCCCATCCGCCCCCACCACCAGCACTCGCTCGTACCCGCCTCCTGCAGGGTTGGTTCGTTCAGTGCATAAAAAGGGAATACGAGGAGCAAGCAGAGAGCAAGAGGAGCAATTAAGAGGAGAAGTCCACGTGCTGAGGTAAACTGTACGCCCAGTCCACGTATCGGGACAGCCCATCCGCCCCTACCACAAGCACTCGCTCAAACCCGCCTCCTGCAGGGTTGGTTCAGTGGCATAAGATGGTGGACAAGTGAGGAGCATGGATACGAAGCAAGAGGAGCAGTCACATACTCCATGTAGGGGGTGGGGGATTGTTCGTGTTAACAACAAACGCTCACTACGAGCTGCCTCCTGCGGGGTTGGATTGATGTTTTAAAATCCCCCAAGCTGCTTATGCGGGGTACGTGGGGAAGATTTAGGGCAGCAGCTATGTAGCCAGCAGTGGGAAATTCTGTAGACCTGACTGTGATGAACACGAGGCAATATCTTTCTGAGCCGAGGTACAAGCATCCAAGGACTCGGATGGTACCTTGGATGAACCGGGAGGCGGTGACAAGGCCGAGGACAAAGCCACTGCAGGCTGCAGTGAGGTCGAACGCCACAGCTCGTTTGCAGCCCAGGTCCCGTTGAACCTGGCAGCACGGGAGCAGGGAATTGCGGGGAAAAGGTAAGGTAATCAGCATTCAGGGCTCGGGAGCAGGGTGACAGAGGGGAGGATGAGACCAGAACGAGGAAGGGGTGATCTCCGAAGGGGACGCGATACGGAATAGCGGAATGTATGCACGAACGATGATCACCAGGCACATTCGACCGTTCATGTTTGTAAGGTTAATGTGCAGACGATGGCAAGTTATCGCCTTCACTGGATAATTTTGGTAACCAGCGGGTCCATCAGCAAGCAACCCATCATGCATCTGTGACCGCGTCCATGAATTGAGTCCGTGACATGCGTTCGAGTATGATCGCCGCAGTCACGAGGCAACCAGATCGCCGGTAAGATCGCCAGAGGATGACGTGCAGATGTTCAAGGGTTGACACCCAGGTCACCGGATTTCCTTTTTCACGGTAGATCATGCAGATTCGTGGCATCCTTGTCACACATGTCTACGAGCTCCTATACTCACCAGGTAGCCACCGCCCAAAGTTTCGTCGTCGAGAGTTGATGTGCAAATGAAGATCATGGTAACCAGTGATCGCAGCCACAATGCACGAATTCCGCATGAGACTCACCAGGCAACCACCGAAGAATGTCGCCGTCGCCTTTAACGTTGACGTGCAAATGAAGATCATGGTAACCACTGATCGTAATCAGATTTCACGTTCTGAAACTTACCAGGCAACCACCGCCGAAAATGTCGTCGGGGGTTGACGTGCAGAAGATGATCAGGTCCACGTCAGCAGGGTCCACGCCAGCCATCTCCAGAGCCTTCCGCGAAGCCTCTGTAGCCAGGCCGGTCATCGACTCGTTCTCTGTGCCACCGTAATCATGGAGGGGTAAATGAAGAAGACGGGAAGAGACAAGGGGCGGGAGTGGTGGACAGGAGATTGATTAGGGTGGTTTTCGAAGTTCGTGGTGAGAAAGCGCGACGGAGAATGGATTCAGGGGGCTAAAATCCCCAGGTAATTTCCTTCGCACTGTTTCTTTGGATCGTTGTTTCCCTTCAAACTGCCATAAGACACTGCTGTAGAGCATGTTACGGATGCTGGTTACGCTGGAATGCAACAGCTTACCAGAGAGGACATGGCGATTCCGAATGCCGGTGCGGGTGGCGATCCATTCATCAGACGTTTCCATCAGGGATGCGAGGAAATCATTGGTGACGATTTTCTCTGGCACCGCGGAACCACTTCCGATAATTCGAGAACCACGGCCGGGCTTCCTGCGTAGTGGACATGAATGAATTCAGATTGTACGTTGTACATGAGTACAAATGACGAAGGGAAGCGCAAGTTTCGCGAGCGAGGAACCGAAATGTCGTTCTCAGGGTGACGAAACTAAGCAGAAAGACACGACGTAATCTACCGTTCTCTCAATGATACGCTCCGATCTGACGTAGTTAACACCTCACCCTAACATTCACCTCTTCCGAGTTTTTTTCTCGCCGGAGTCAGCAGCCGGAGGCTCTGTGGTGGCTGAATTCACCACATTCAATGCTCCTTTGGACGAAGCTTTGACAGCCTGGCGTTGCCATGTCCTGGAGCTCGATCCAGACAGAATCAATTTGCCGTTTCCGCGAACAGCAGCACAAGACGAGAATCTGCTACCCTGGCTAATGAAATCGCTGCCTCTCTCAACAGACGCACAACCTATGGAGACAGAGGAAGCGGCACTAACGGCCTGGGCCATGTCTGCTCGGCTAACCAGCAACACCTGTCAGTGGACACTAGAACGGCACCTGCTAGAGTGCACTCAGCACAGCATAGGACGGCTGAAGGGTTCGTCAGAACCGTTAAGACGGAAGAACGAAAGAATCAATCTAGGAGGCCCTATCTGAATAGTTGAAGAAACGGCTAGGCTAGAGGGTATTGTGCCTGCTGTGGCTGTCTGGGCCTGCTATGGCTGTCCAGACCAGTCTAGGAGGCACAGCAGATCTGTGCTAACAGTAGGATTTGTTTGTCTGGCAGAAGAAGAACCGTACACTAGCAGAAGACCCACACACATTTGCCTCCTGGCTAACCAGCCAGATCAGGAGGATCAGAGTGGTTACCAAGTCCGGATCAGGGTCGGAGGGCTCGTCTGAATTTCATCCATCGGACGGTGATTAACATCTAGCCGAGACTACCGAGGAGCATCCGGCCGTCGACTGACATCCTCGAGCTTTGCTGTTTCCACGGTCAGGAGGTTGGAGTGACGTTGGAGGCGACATCCGTGACATGGCGACAATCGCGAGATTCGTCATCAGCGGCTCGTGTGTCGTTAGGGATGATCACGCTTGCGAAAGCCGTGATTGCGTGGCAAAGTTTCGATCAGATCCACGTCGGCACTCACCGCTATTGGAAATATCGAGTCTGCATTCGAAGTCCACTAAGAAACAAGAGATACAACACGGAAAGGTATACGCAAAGTTACAATCCATGTACATTCTAGTAGCCAACCAAGAGATACGTTGACCTAAGTACCAACTTAAACGAATGTACTACAGATCACTTGCTCTATTGACAGTTGTGAAACTGGAGAAGGAGAATCCCAGCCTTCTCTTTGGAAGTGTAGATTTGGACGAGCTTTGCCCTTTCACTTTTGCACTGGTCTCAACTGATGCCTGCAAATCACCTCCCTGAGAATTTGCTGCAGGAGGAATGCCTATCATCCCACCACGATCCCCACTGTGTTGTTGGTCGTCACTGCTCACTTCACCAGTCCCAGAAGCACCAGCAGAATCAACCATGCTTTTACTCACCGCACCGCCAGCAACACCAGCACCCTCAACACCAGCAGCACCAGCAGCGCCACCATGCAAACCCCCAAAGCTGAGCGCGTTAAAAGCAGCAAGCGCGCGGGTAGCAGCGGCAGCGGCAGCAACATTCCTAGTCGGGGTAAGTGAGAGACTTGTAGCGGTAGACGTTCGGCTGAAGCTGAAGGCGCTGGTGGGAGTGTAGGAGGCCAGTGAGGAAGCGAGTGATGGAGGCGTGGAGAGAGCGGAGGGGGCTACTGGGCCGTCAGGAGTGGCAGAGGCAGTGGTGGTGGCGGTGCTGGTGGTGCTGGCGATGCGAGTGGATGGTGCATGGGTTGGGCTGATGGCTGTTGTGCTGACTGTGTGCCGGAGAGGGGGAGGCCTGGAGAGACGCAAGGAGAGAGGAGAGGAGAGGAGAGGCGAGGGGAGGAGAGGCGAGGGGAGGAGCAGTGAGGAGGAGAGGAGGGAAATGATCCACAAAAATAGAGAAGAAGTCAATGATAGTGCAGTGATTCTCGCACATTGCACATTGCACACACATAGACACATCACACAAAGCACATCGCTCGCACATTGCACACCACACGCACAGAGCACACGTACCTCTCACTGCTTGATCCTGTAGCCTCTGTCACCGACACACTCCTCCCACTCATCCCCAAATGATGCCCACCACTCCCCAACTGGCGCCCAACATCCTCCACCTCCTTCCTTTCCTCCCCATTCTCCCGTTCATCCTCCTCCTCCTCTCCCTCTCCCTCCGCCTCCCCCTCCTCTCCCTCCTCTTCCTCCTCCTCTTCCTCCTCCTCTTCCTCCTCTCGCACACTCCCATCAAGCATACTCTCACTGAAGCTGTTACCACCAGGAAACCTACTCTCCACAGAACTGCTACAAAAAAACCTGCCCTCACAAGCACTGCCACCAGCGCTGCCACCAGCAAACATGCTGTCATTGAAGCTACTCATTCCATGCCCCCTTAGCGTCTGCCTTGACAGCTGTCCCCTCCTGGACGCTCCAGGGGATGGGGTCCCTCTATAAGCCCCGCCCCCTCCCTCGTTATAAGCAACCTCGTTATAAAAACCAGTCTCTGCCTCGTTATAAGCACCACCAGCCGATTCTTGCGAATCTGCCCGAGAGATTGCTGGCTGTGGATCCTGCCCGAGAACCGCTGCTTGTGAGTTTTGTCCAGAGGAGGATGCTTGCGGATCTGCCCCACCTGCAAAGTTTTGAGTATCTGCCCCAGCCACAGCTCTCTGTGCTTCTGCCCCAGTTGCAACCCTCAGGGTTTCTGCCGCACATGCAGGCAAGTTGGACCTTTGCGTTTGGACCCCCTCGTCCAAAGCTAGGCCTTTGCCTTTGTCTGTGGAGCGTAGACCTGCTGCTGTAAGTGCATCTCCCCATCTTGCATCCCTCATAACTGCATCTCCCGATCTTGCATCCCTCATAACCGCATCTCCCGACCTTGCATCCCTCATAACCGCATCTCCCGACCTTGCATCCCTCATAACCGCATCTCCCGACCTTGCATCCCTCATAACCGCGTCTCCCAACCTTGAATCCCTGATAAGCGCTTCCCCTGCACCTGCACCGGTCCTAGGATTCATCGACAGGTGCCGAGACAGACCCCTTCCAGGTGGAACCTGGTGGAGGGTTCGACTGGGCAGGTCTGTCCCTTGCTGCAGAGGCAGACCAGGAAGGTTCCCGCTAGACAGGTGCTTTCTGGGAGGAGGTTTGGACGGGGTTCGACTGGAGGGGCTGGTGAGGCTAAAAGAGGGGTTGCTGTTGCTGTTGCTGCTGCTGTTGCTATATTTGAAGGTTTTGCTCTTAGAGAACGGGCGCGTTCCTGAGGATTGCAGTGAGGGGTTGTATCGAGGGCTGTAACGGGGGTTTGTTGCAATGAGGGCTGGCAGACGGTGGGGCTGCTGTGATGCATGAAGACTGGATGGGCTTGTCCCAGATAGGTCGAAAGCAGCAGGATTGCGCTTGAAAGTCCTGCTCTTGCTGAAGGGGTGTGGAGAGCGGGGGGAGAAAGCTTCTGGGAAGAGAGAGTGGGTGTGGAGGGTGAGAGGTCTCTCGAACTGATGTCTGATTTCATGTGATGGTGGTACGTTGGGAGAAGAAACACCAGCTCCAGGAGAACCCGCAGCAGCAACAGCAGCAGCAGCAGGAGCAGCAGCATCGGCAGCAGCAACAGCAGCTGCTGCAACATCAGCAACACTGGTAGGAGTTGAGCCAGCAGTCCCAACGGCAATGCCACGAGCACTGGAAGAAGCACCAGACGATGATGCTGCCACTGCAGCCGCAGCTGCTGACGTGCTCATCACCGATTGGCTATATCTCAAAACCCTTCCGTTGTGGCTCTGACGTTGTTGGAATCTCACAGCGTCAGCTGGGTTATTTGCGAGTATAGCCTGGATATTGGGGGTGTCAGGGATACTTGCCGCACTCCTGGTGTGTCGAAGGTTCCGGGAGGATTCCAACCGGTGAAGGTTCCGAGAAGATTCGAACCGCCGGAGGTTCTTCCTGGAGGAATCCGGGCGCTGAAGGTTCCGGGAAGATGTGAGGCGCTGCAGGTTCCGGGAAGGCTCCGGGCGCGGAATGTTCCTGGGAGATTCCATGCTCTGCAGATTCCCGAACGAGCCACGCCGGTGGTGGTGGTGGTGGTGGTGGTGGTGAATGCTGCTGGTGGGAGATTCTAAATGCGTCAGGTTCGGAACAGATTGGTTGGAATCGGATCGACGGAGCAGCCTATCCGAACCTGGGGATGGTGACGCCATCCTAGGGGATGGTGACATCACTCGGGGGGATGGTAGTGCCAGTCTGGGGGATGGTGGTGTGAGTCTGGAGGAGGATGGTGTGGTTACGGTAAGATCTTCGTAGGATGCAAGGTTGCGAACCCGGCTCCATTCCTCTCCCTGCCGACGCAGATACGGGTGAGTAAGAGTGAGTGTGAGTAAGAGTGAGTGTGAGTATTCAGGTGTGAGTATGTGCATGTGAGTGCGTGTGAGGATGCGTAAGTGAAATGTTGAGTGTGGGTGTAAGCATGTTTAATTGTGAGTGTGGGGAGCAAGAATGGTTGGAAAGGGAGGGGGGGAGGGGAATAGGGGAGGAAAGAGGTGGGAAGACAAGGGGTCTGCCTGCACAGTACAGTAGGAGGCGAGGCAGTTCGGAACATTTGAGAGTTGGACCTTTCTGCTCGGGTTGCCCCAAAACGGGAATCCACTCTCTCCTGAGGAGTGTAACAATAAGAGCAGTCATTACACCAGACCCACACACAAGCCCCCACTCACCAGCTGGAACTTCTCCTTCCAGTTTGCCATTTTTGCTCGAATTGCCTCTAGCAAGGCATCCCCCCTCTTCCTGCGGCATGTGGCAGGCAACCCCTAACAACAGTCCCTACCATAGCCAAGCCCCCACTCACCAACTGGAACTTCTCCTTCCAGTTTGCCATTTTCGCTCGAATTGCCTCTAGCAAGGCATCCCCCCTCTTCCTGCGGCACGTGGCAGGCAACCCCTAACAACAGTCCCTACCATAGCCAAGCCCCCACTCACCAGCTGGAACTTCTCCTTCCAGTTCGCCACTTTTGCTCGAATTGCCTCTAGCAAGGCATCCCCCCTCTTCCTGAGGCATGTGGCAGGCAACCCCTCACAACAGTCCCTACCATAGCCAAGCCCCCACTCACCAGCTAGAACTTCTCCTTCCAGTTTGCCATTTTCGCTCGAATTGCCTCTAGCAAGGCATCCCCTCTTCCCGAGGCAAGTGGCAAGCAACCTCTAGCCACAGTCCCTCCCACAACAAAGCAAGCCCCCCCTCCACTCACCAACTGGAACTTCTCCTTCCAGTTTGCCATTTTTGCTCGAATTGCCTCTAGCAAGGAATCCCCCCTCTTCCTGAGGCATGTGGCAGGCAAACCCTAACAACAGTCCCTACCATAGCCAAGCCCCCACTCACCAGCTGGAACTTCTCCTTCCAGTTTGCCATTTTCGCTCGAATTGACTCGAGCAGTGGAACAGGGGATGCAGCAGAACCAGCCACCCCTCCTGCTGCTGCTCGTCCTCCTCCTCTTTCTGTCGCTGCTCCTGCTCCTGCTGCCGCTTCTGCTTCCCCTGCTGCCGCTCCTCCTCTGTTTGTTGCTTCTCCTGCTTCTGCTGCTCCCCTGCCTCCTGCTCCTCCTCCTCCTGCTGCTCCAGCTACTGCTCCTTCTGCTAACCTACCTTCCCTGATTAAACCTTCCCCAGATAAGCTCTCTCCTGCAAGCCGCTGCTCGTGGTTCCGAGGTGAGTTGCTGGTCGGCAGATCAGCTGGAAACGGCACTGTGTATAACCCTGTTGGTGCTGCAGTAGCCACTGCAGAGGAGGAGGTGACTGAGGAGGAGTACGAGGGGGAGGAAGAGGAGAAGGTGGAGTGTTGGGACGTCCCAAATAGCCCTTCTGCAGCAGCGGCAGCTGCAGCAGTGGCAGCTGCAGAAGAGGAGGTGGAGGAACAGGAGGTGGAGGTGAGTGGGGAGGGGGTAAAGGCAGGTAGAGATGGGAGTGAGATGGGGAGCTTGGAGCTCAGGTTGTGGTGTAGAAGAGAAGGAGATGGCTTCTTGGAAGCACTTGAGAAGCTCTTTAACGAGGATAAATACTTGTGGGGGAACTGGTGGAGAGGAAGGGATGGTGTTGGTGATGCTGCTGCTGCTGAGCCTGAAACATCCGATGCTGCTGACGCTGCTGAGCGAGGAACCGCCGATGCTGCTGAAGGTGGTGATGGTGATGATGATGATGCTGCTGCTGCTGCTATTGAAAATGATGGCAGTGCTGTTAAAGCTGCCGCACTTGCTGCTGGGGTTGCTTCTGTGGTTTGTGCTGCTGCTGCTGCGAATGGTGTTGGTGCTAAGTGTGGTTCCAATGTCACTGCTGCTGCCAGTGCTGTCGTAGCTGCCAGTAGTGCCGATGCCTCCTTGCTTTTCTCCTCCTCCTCCCCTTCTTCCTCCTCCTCCTCTTCTCCATCTCCGTCTCCTTCACATGCTTCATCTCTTTCACTTGCTTCCTCTTCAGTACGTTCCCTTCCTGCCACGTCAAACCCTTCCTCTCTAATACCTGCTCTATCCTCCTCCAGCTTATCTGATTCATCTTTCTTCCTCTCTTGTTCGCCCATCTGCTTACCTACTCCATCCTTCTGCGTATCTGCTTCAACACTGTTACCGCCACAACCATCCACTTCAGCATCAACATGCGACTCACCATCAGCATCAGAATCGCCACCAGCATCAGCACCACCATCACCATCATCAGCCGCAGCACGTGCATCCTGAAACACACTCTCCGTTTCCTCAACATCTGCTTCCCGTGCATCACCACCCATCACCCTCCGACTCAACTCCACTAGCCTTTCTAGATCCTCAAAAGTTGACCTTCCAGTCACCTCCTCCCCACCATCCAATGCCATTCGATCGAACCTCACTGCCCCCTCGGGATTGTCCCGCCACGGGCCCTCACCCCCCACATCACATCCACCAGGCTCAGTTGGGGGAGTGAACTCGCCCGTCGCCCCCATCTCCCTGTAAGCAGCATCAGGCTTCAGCTCTCTGCCACCCAAACAGGACCCCAAACGACACAGCAAGACAAACAAGAAGGCAGAGGGGAGTTTTGAGTCGACTCAAGATGCAGAGGCACCTGGGAGACCTACCTCCCAGAAAACATCAGGCTCCAGCTCGCTGTGACTAAAACAGGATTCCCAGCAACCCACCCACCCACCTGTGTGCGCGGTGCCCTCGGTGTAAGATGATGGCGATATAAGCAGCGCAGCACAGCAGGGAGAATGCTCCATAGACGATCATCAGCCCTGCCTACCCACCTCCCCCACCCACCCACCCACCCACCCAACCCACCTGTGCGCGCGGTGTCCTCGGTGCAAGATGATGGCGACATAAGCAGCGCAGCACAGCAGGGAGAAGGCGCCGTAGACAATCATTAGCCCTGCCATGGTGGTGGCTGAGATCTGCACTTTCTCCACCATCACTGACGCTGCGTTGTCACAGTTGGATGTGTTCTGATGGGGGGGTGGATGGGCGAGGGGGAGGGGGATTGGGTTTGGGAGGGGTGGGGGGTTGCGAAAGGGGTTTCGAGATTTTTTGGGGATACTTAGGGGATGGAGGGGATATGATTGAATAGAAGGCCCCGTAGACAGTCATGAGGCCTGCCATGGTGGTTATAGAGATCTGCACCTTCTCCACCATCACTGACGCTGCATTGTCACAGTTGGACGTGTTCTGATGGGATTATGGAAAGGGATTTGCAAGAGGGTAGGACGGGTGCGGGGTGAGAGAGTAGGGGAAAAATAGAAGGGGGGAATGCGCTGCTGTACGCAGTCTGCCTGCACCTTCTCCACCAACCAAAAGCAACACATCATCAGCATGATCAAACCACACATCAGCAGCAGCAGCAGCACGACAGTGACATGTCAGCAGCAGCAGCAGCAGCGCGACAGTGCCACGTCAGCAGCCGCAGCAGCACGACAGTGCCACGTCAGCAGCAGCAGCATGACAGTGCCACGTCAGCAGCAGCAGCAGCACGACAGTGCCACGTCAGCAGCAGCAGCAGCACGACAGTGCCACGTCAGCAGCAGCAGCACGACAGTGCCACGTCAGCAGCAGCAGCAGCAGCGCGAGAGTGCCACGTCAGCAGCAGCAGCAGCACGACAGTGCCACGTCAGCAGCAGCAGCACGACAGTGCCACGTCAGCAGCAGCAGCAGCGCGACAGTGCCACGTCAGCAGCAGCAGCAGCGCGACAGTGCCACGTCAGCAGCAGCAGCAGCACGACAGTGTCACGTCAGCAGCAGCAGCACGAACGACAGTGCCACGTCAGCAGCAGCAGCAGCGCGACAGTGACATGTCAGTAGGAGCAGCAGCGCACCTTAATGTACATGCTACGTATGCGCTGCATATGAGGCACCGAAAAACACACGTCAGCAGCAGCAACAGTGACACGTCAGCATTAGCACCTTGATGTACATGCTACGAATGCGCTGCAGCTCGCCATTCTGTGCCAGCTCCAGCAGCGCCTGAGAGATGTCCGCGCCAAAGAGAGAGCCCTTCTGGAAGGCCTGATACGGGCAGAGGTGAAGACAAAAGCGGGCAGAAGAGGGGAAGGAATGCAAAGGTCAGCTCCAGCAGCGCCTGAGAGATGCCCGCCCCAAAGAGAGATCCCTTTTGGAATGCCTGACGGGGGTGTGAAGGGGGAGAGGGCAGAGAGTAAGGTGGAAGAACAAGGAGGGGAGGGGCGACTTTGTTAAGGTGAATGTGGGGGTGCAGGAAAGGTCAGCTTCAGCAGCACATGGGAAATGTCAGCCCAGGAGAGAGAACCCCTCCGGAGAGCCTGATGGGGGCAGAGAGGGTGAAAAAAAGGTGGAAAGGTCAGCTCTAGTGCATGAGCCACATCAGCGTTTGCCCATGCGCCGCTACTCACTTGGCAGTTCTGCGAGGCAAAGACGCTGAGGTAGGGGTCCCCGTCCACTAGTATGGCCACACGCTGCCATCACAGTGGCCTTTGTTGTTCACTACTATCATGCACTTCTGTAAGAATACGGCGTCCGTTCTTACCTGAACTTGGTTATTCTGATTTTCTATTATAATTTTTGAGTTTTTTTCGTAGTTTCGTTGCTTTACTATAGTTATAATAGTTTTAGCACCAGAAGATTTATGTCATAGTTTTGTTGCTTAACTATAGTTATTATTGTTTTACCACCGAAATAGGTTGCGTGCACCAAATTCCTGTTTTCTAGAGTTATCTCGTGTGATCTCGCGTGCGCGTAAATATCACCGATTTTACTCTACCGAATTGGGGAAAGTTCCGTTCGCGACGGTTCCCGATGCACGGAACATTCGCATAACATTTGGTTACCTGCCTTGTGTCGTGCCTATATATAGTTACGTATTTGTACCCAATATTCATAATTTACATTCTGAACTCGAGATTCGATCCTCACACCTTCCCCTCATTGCTTGCTCTACCGCCCTTCGTTCCTCGCTCTAGTATCTAACAAAGACGCTGAGGTAGAGGTCCTCGTCCACTGTTATGGCCACCTGCTGCGATGAGAGCGTCTCCTGATGGGCACATGCAAGTTCCCCAGTGCCCCAAGGTGCGCCTAGTCTCGGTGCCCCCCTTGGTGCAGCTCATGAATATGGAGTTGAGGATGTTGAAGGCATGTGACGAGCTTTGCCATACACGCAAGAGCCCATAGATGCCCCTAGATGCCCCTAGGTGCCCCCAGCGGCTCACAAAGGCGGAGTTGAGGACGTTGAAGGCTTGGGAGGCGCGGAGCACTTGGCAGTACTGCGAGGCAAAGACGTTGAGGTAGGGGTCCTCGTCCACTATGATGGCCACCTTCTGCGACGAGAGCGCCCCTTGCTTGCTGCTTGCTCTAGTGCCCCTCCGCCTCTCCCTGCCTGCTCTAGTACCCAAGGCCCCCTAGCTGTCTCTAGGTGCTCCTAGGTGCTCCTAGATCCCCCTAGGGTCTCACAAAGGCGGAGTTGAGGACGTTGAAGGCTTGGGAGGCGCGGAGCACTTGGCAGTACTGCGAGGCAAAGACGTTCAGGTAGGGGTCCTCGTCCACTATGATGGCCACCTTCTGCGACGAGAGCGCCTCATAGTAGTCCTGCTCGCTGTTCAGCGGCACCAGATGAGACTGTGGGGGAGATATGGGAGCGACAGGAGAGAGGAGAGGGACGAGTGGGAGACAAGATATGAGGGCAGGATCAAGAAAAATGCAGGGAGCGACGACATGTGAGCGCCTCATAATAGTCCTGTTTGTTTGTTGTTCAACGGCACTAGCAGGGATAGTGGGAGAGGGATGGGAAAGGTGGGGGCGAGAGCAGGGGGACGCCTTGAAGTCACATTTTAGTTGAGCTAATGCTGTGCGTGGGCCATACCGGAGAGACACCGAGTTGCAAGGGGTAGCTGTAGACAAAAGAGCTGTATCGATAGATAGACCACCTTAGAGAATTCTCTAGAATGATACAAGCTGTTTGTGGGACGTACCGGAGATACCCCGAGCTGCAGTAGGTAGGCGTAGACAAAGGAGCCGTACTGATAGCCCACCATCACGTTTGAGCCCGCCGCCTCGTATATGCTCTGCGCGTATGAGTGGGGGAGAGGGACAGAGAGAAATAGGAGGAAAGAAAGAGAGGGCATACTGGCATGAGCGAAGGAGCGTACTGATTGATAGCCCACCATCACCTTTGATCCTGCCGCCTCGTATATGCTCTGCGAGGGTGGGTGGGGGAGCGGGGATGCGATGGGTAGAGTGAGGGAGTGAGAGGGAGAGAAAAGAGAAAGAAAGAGGTGTCAAATTTCAAAATCACACATGGAATGGAACGCACATATATCGGGAGCGGCAGGTTGGTATGTGTAGAAAGTGAATTTTTGAGACGTCTTAAAATTTCACTTTCTACATGTCGCACAGATATCGGGAGCGGCAGGTTGGTTCAACTCATCTCGCAGCTCAGAAATTCCAAGGAGGAACAAGCAAACAAATAACAAACAAACAAAACAAACATTCAAACAAACAAACAAACATCCAAACAAACAATTAAACAAACAAACAAAAAAAACAAAAAAACAAGTCAAAAATAAGACATACGGATAATGGGAGCTGCAGCTTTTGGAGGACGAGGGCTGCAGTGAGGGCAGCAACATAGGAGCTGGGGAGGACAATCACGAGCGCGGACTTTTGAGACGTATAATAAAGAAGACGTACGGATGGTGGGAGCTGCAGCTTTTGGAGCACGAGAGCAGCAGTGAGGGCAGCGACGTAGGAGCTAGGGAGGACAATCAAGAGCGCGGACTTTTGAGACGTATAATAAAGAAGACGTACGGATAGTGGGAGCTGCAGCTTTTGGAGCACGAGAGCAGCAGTGAGGGCAGCGACGTAGGAGCTAGGGAGGACAATCAAGAGCGCGGACTTTTGAGACGTATAATAAAGAAGACGTACAGATAGTGGAAGCTGTAGCTTTTGGAGCACGAGAGCAGCAGTGAGGGCAGCGACGTAGGAGCAGGAGACGACAATCATGAGCGCGAACCACGTGACTGTGAGGATCCGACCGAGAGACGTCTTCACTATGCCCCTCACTGATGTCAAGTGGGAGGGGTGGGTGGGGGATGAGAGAGAGGGGAATGAGCGAACCATGTGACTGTGAGGAGCCGACCAGGAGATGTCTTAACTATGCCCCTCACTCATGACAGCAGGGGTGGTGGGGGGTTGGGCGGGAAGGAGAGAAGGGAGAGGGTGAAGAATGAGGGCGGCAATGTAGGAACTAGAGACGACAGTCGCAAGGGCGAATGAAAATAACCGCGAAAGTTTTATAGCTTTCTCCAAAAAGGTGCTGTCAAAAGTGTGAATGCCACATGACGCAGCATTATTCGTTTCGATTGCTCTGAACAGCTGGCTACAGCTGGTTACAGCTGGTTACAGCTGGTTACAGCTGGTTACATCTGGCAGGCTTATTCATACCTTTTGCGAATCCAACTGGCGCAAAGGACATCCTGCACTCACACACCGAAAGAGAGAGAACGAGGGAGGAAAGCTATATGTAAGAAGGTGACTTTTGAGTCGACTCAAAAGTCAACTGGCGCAAAGGACATCCTGCACTCACACACCGAAAGAGAGAGAACGAGGGAGGAAAGCTATATGTAAGAAGGTGACTTTTGAGTCGACTCAAAAGTCAACTGGCGCAAAGGACATCCTGCACTCACACACCGAAAGAGAGAGAACGAGGGAGGAAAGCTATATGTAAGAAGGTGACTTTTGAGTCGACTCAGGTACATTGATAAGTACATTGATTCAGGTCAGGCCTTGTAGGAGCTTACTCCAATTTCCATATGTACAGCTGACTAAAGAGCCCTCGTTCCAATTTCGGTTAGTCTCTAATCGAAACGAAACCCTCTCCCTCCTCATACACACCATATGTCCAACCCATCCCATCCCACACACACCCACCATATGTCCTCCCACAAATCACCCATCACACCCAGTTTTCCTCCCATATTTCCCCCACCCACCATATGCATGCACCCACCATATGGTTGCACCCACCATATGCATGCACCCACCATATGCATGAACCCACCATATGCATGAACCCACCATATGTACGACATGAGTTCTTGGTGTGGTCGGTCATACTCCCGCCGCAGCAGGTGCGCGGGGTGGGAGCTTTCCAGGAACCAGAGCACAAGGCCAGTGAAAACGATGAGGCAGGCAACGAGCAGCCACATTTGCCAGGAGAAGGGGCGATAGGAGATCCAGGGGTTGTCGTTTGGTGCCACGTAGGATACTAGGCTCAGCCCTGATTGCTGCTCGGGTGGGGGAGAAGAAGAAGAAGAAGAAGAAGAAGGGATGGGAAAGAGGGGAAAGGGAGAAGAGAAAGGGGAAGAGCGAAAGGCGAGGGGGGGAAGGGGATGGGGGAGTAGGGGAAGGGGAAGGGGGAACAGGGGAGAGGGAGGAGGGGGCTGGTGAAATGTGGTGGGGCAGGCGAGCAGCAGCCACATTTGCCAGGCGAAGGGGCGGTAGGAGATCCAGGGGTTGTCGTTTGGTGCCACGTAGGACACCAGGCTCAGCCCTGATTGCTGCTCGGGTGGTGGAGGAGGGGAGGCGGGGGTTGGGGTGGGTGGAGGGGAAGAGGGGAAGTGGGGAAGAGGAATAGGGGAAGGGGAGGGGATTGGGAAGAGGGGAAGGGGAGGAGGAAGCAGGAGATGGGGAGGAGGAAGCAGGAGAAGGGGAGGAGGAGGGAGCAAGGGAGGGGGGAGGAGGCGGGGTGAATGCGATGAGGCAAGCGAGAAGCAGCCACATTTGCCAGGAGAGGGGGCAGTAGAGGGGGCAGTAGTGGGGGCAGTAGGGGGCAGTAGAGGGGGAAGTAGTGGGGGCAGTAGTGGGGGAAGTAGGGGGCAGCAGGGGGCAGTAGAGGGGGCAGTAGTGGGGGAAGTAGGGGGCAGTAGAGGGGGCAGTAGTGGGGGAAGTAGGGGGCAGTAGAGGGGGCAGTAGTGGGGGCAGTAGGAGATCCAAGGGTTGTGAGAGTGATTCTATGAGAGAGTGACAATGTGGGTGCATGATGCCGTGCGGATGTGAGAATGTGGCAGTAAGAAGAGTCACGAAAGTATGAGGCAGCATGGGATGAGATAACGTACTTGGATGGGGGCGGTGAAATCGACGGCTTTGCTGCGGAAATTGAGCACAGCAATGTCGCCAATGGCTCCATCGTATGTCTGCAGTGCATGCACACATACACACACACGCAGGAACACAAACAGGCACACACACAAACAGCACACACACAGGGTAGGAACGGTGAAATCGACGGCTTCGCTGCGGAAATTGAGCACAGCAATGCCGCCAATGGCTCCGTCGTACGTCTGCAGTGCATGCACACATGCATGCAGGCGCACAGCATACAGTACGCAGGTACACAGGCACACAGGCACACAGGCACACAGTACGCAGGTACACAGGCACACAGGCACATAGCACACAGCACACAGTACGCAGGTACGCAGGTACACAGGCGCATACACATGCAAATAACACACAAGGATGGGGAAATTGAGCACAGCAATGTCGCCAATGGCCCCATCGTATGTCTGCAGTGCACATGCATGTGCATGGCATGCATGCTACATGACGCATGCATGCTGCATGACGCATGCGCATCCCACTCACATGGTTAGCCACAGCATACACCATTTCAGTGTAGCTGGGAGTGGCGTCGCCCTCCCCAAACTGCATAAACTCGTACGACAGCTCGTAAGGCAGCCGCGCCACTGCCGCCCGGAACAGATCCAGACAAAACCCCGTGAAGCGGTCATTTCCCTGGGCGGCGGTGGGCGGCAGGATCTCGACAAACTGGTTGTAGCCTTTCTTGTTCGGCACGGCTATCCGCAACGGGTCCTGTTGGCGTGCCAGCCACCCTGAGGGAGCCTGGAGGGAAGGAGGGAGGAGGGAGGAGGAAGAGAAGAGAAGATTTTGGTTGTAGCTTTTCTTGTTTGGCAGGCACGGCTATGCGCAGTGGGTCTTGTGGTCAGGCCAGGCCAGCCACCCTGAGGGGGCCTGGAGGGACGGAAGGAGGAGGGGATGGAAGAGGAGAGGAGGAAGGGGGGGTGAGGAAGCAACGAGATTTCAATCTGACGACCCTTTTGTTTGGCGTGGCTTTGCATGCCAAACAAGCCCCCCCTCAATCTGTCCTAACACTGAAAATTCTCATGCTCACCTTTTCAAGATTTCCTGGAAACAGCAGGTTGAGTGTGAAAGAGCTGTTGGCTTGCACTGCTGGAGCTAGTGGGTCCTGCAGCAGGGAGGAAGAGAAGAACCATGAAACGATGAGATGAGATGGATGGCAGCGGAAACAGTACTTCTTGTTCCTTCTGATCCAGCAGGTTGGGTGAGATGGAGACACGGCAAACAGCAGGTTGAGTGTGACAGAGCTACGGCGCTCACTCTCATCTGAGGTGGTGAAGCCCTTCCCCAGGCGCCAGTAGGGTTTTCAGCGCTCTAACAGGCCAGCGATGCTGACTCTCATCTGAGGTGGTGAAGCCCTTCCCCAGACGCCAGTACCCCGCAGTGACGAGCTCGCTGCCCCTCACATCCTGCACCGATGATTCTTGAGTCAACTAAAGACAGCCTCTCTCTTACAATCCAACCAGCTGCGCTGACTCACATCTGAGGTGGTAAAGCCCTTCCCCAGGCGCCAGTACCCTGCAGTGACAAACTCGCTGCCCCGCACATTCAGCAGCTGAACCGACCCGTCCTTCACATCCCCCTCCGGGGTGAGTCGAACCCTGCAGTGCACATGGTGAATGGGTGGGTGGGTGGGTGGGTGTGGGAAACGGAGCAATTTTGCAACGATGAACTCGCTCCCCCGCACATTCAACAGCTGCACCGACCTGTCTTCACATCCCCCTCCGGGGTGAGTCGCACCCTGCAGTAGTGCACATGATGAGTGGGTGGGAGGGTGGGGGGAAAAAAACAAGTCTTGAGACATACCATCCCATGCCATGCCATCCCATGCCATGCCATGCCAAGGACGTTGTGGGTGGGTGAGGAAAAGGGAGCAGCAAGTCTTGCGACGCCTCAAACCCAGTAACTGATGGCCATGAGCCTGCTGCCCCTCAGGGGTCAGCTGCTGCTGCACTACTCCCTGCCTCACCCTGCCTCACCCTGCCTCACCCTGCCTCACCCTGCCTCACCCTGCCTCACCCTGCCTCACCCTGCCTCACCCTGCCTCACCCTGCCTCACCCTGCCTCACCCTGCCTCACCCTGCCTCACCCTGCCTCACCCTGCCTCACCCGCTCACCTGCCTGTGGCGCCCATCACAGACGCCTGGAGCAGCGCATCCCGCAGCAGCGGCCCAACTGAGGGAAACAGGGCTGCTTGCTTCTGACTCAATAAGTCAAACAGTTACCTTGCGTGCGCTAACCCTTAGGCCCCTCCCTCACCTGCCTGTGGCGCCCATCACAGACGCCTGGAGCAGCGCATCCCGCAGCAGCGGCCCAACTGAGGGAAACAGGGCTGCTTGCTTCTGACTCAATAAGTCAAACAGTTACCTTGCGTGCGCTAACCCTTAGGCCCCTCCCTCACCTGCCTGTGGCGCCCATCACAGACGCCTGGAGCAGCGCATCCCGCAGCAGCGGCCCAACTGAGGGAAACAGGGCTGCTTGCTTCTGACTCAATAAGTCAAACAGTTACCTTGCGTGCGCTAACCCTTAGGCCCCTCCCTCACCTGCCTGTGCCGCCCATCACAGACGCCTGGAGCAGCGCATCCCGCAGCAGCGGCCCAACTGAGGGAAACAGGGCTGCTTGCTTCTGACTCAATAAGTCAAACAGTTACCTTGCGTGCGCTAACCCTTAGGCCCCTCCCTCACCTGCCTGTGCCGCCCATCACAGACGCCTGGAGCAGCGCATCCCGCAGCAGCGGCCCAACTGAGGGAAACAGGGCTGCTTGCTTCTGACTCAATAAGTCAAACAGTTACCTTGCGTGCGCTAACCCTTAGGCCCCTCCCTCACCTGCCTGTGGCGCCCATCACAGACGCCTGGAGCAGCGCATCCCGCAGCAGCGGCCCAACTGAGGGAAACAGGGCTGCTTGCTTCTGACTCAATAAGTCAAACAGTTACCTTGCGTGCGCTAACCCTTAGGCCCCTCCCTCACCTGCCTGTGGCGCCCATCACAGACGCCTGGAGCAGCGCATCCCGCAGCAGCAACCCAACTGAGGAGGGAGGGGAGGTGGTGGGTGGGTGGGTGGGTGGGCGGTGTGAGAATGTGGGTGGATGGGTGGGTGGGTGGGTGGGTGGGATGATGGTTGGGATGAGGTATGCATGAGAGGTGAAGGAACAGGGCCAGTGTGTGTGACTAGGAGGTTATACGTGCGTGTGGTGGGTGAGAGAAGGGGTGAGTGGGAAGGGAGTACAATAGGGGCTTGGTCAAAATAGGGGGAGAAGGAAAAGAAGGAGAACGAGGTAGGACGAAGCCCCATTCAAGCCGATCACATCGCACTCAAGCCACTCACAATTGCTCTTTTGAGACGTCTAAAAAACTCACTAATTTCACGTGGACACTCACAATTGCTCTGAGCTGCTGCGCCAGAAAGAATGGGGATAAGCGAGCTGGCAGGATCGACAGGCGCCACCACAGGCATGGGCATATGAGCCCCACTCACACGGTACTCAACCCACTCACACCGCATTGAACCCACTCACAATTGCTCTGAGCTGCGCCAGAAAGAATGGGGATAAGCGAGCTGGCAGGATCGACAGGCGCCACCACAGGCATGGGCATATGAGCCCCACTCACACGGTACTCAACCCACTCACACCGCATTGAACCCACTCACAATTGCTCTGAGCTGCGCCAGAAAGAATGGGGATAAGCGAGCTGGCAGGATCGACAGGCGCCACCACAGGCATGGGCATATGAGCCCCACTCACACGGTACTCAACCCACTCACACCGCATTGAACCCACTCACAATTGCTCTGAGCTGCGCCAGAAAGAATGGGGATAAGCGAGCTGGCAGAATCACCAGGCGCCATCACAGGCATGGGCACATGGGCCCATGTTCCCGGCTCCTGGCCTGAAACGGAGCTGTTACTAACGAGGACAGAACTTGCTGCAGCGGCACTGCTGCTCCCGTCGCTACTGCTACTGTTCCCCTCAGCACCAGCAGCACGAGCAACACCACCACTCCCTTCCCCAGGAAAACTCCCACTGCCAGCCCCATCCTCGTTATAAGCCCCTGGGCCTTGTGAGGGAGGCACGGGTTCGACCAGCGAGTTCTGAGAGTCAGCACCATCGGTGGCATCGCCTGAGAGCACGTTGTGCACTGCCTGAGCCATATGCTGCCAGTGAATACACGTCCGCCTGGGGGAGGCAGGGGGGAGGAGGGGTTGGTGGGGAAGAGGGGATACATAGGAGGGCAATGGGTTGAGAGCCTAACAGCATGTTGTGCACCGCTTGAGCCACCAGCAGCAATGCATCCATCGTATGCTGCCAGGGAATACACGTCCGCCTCTAGTGCAAGGAGGGGCGAAAGGAAAAGAGAGAGTTGGCGCCGTCGATGGCGTCGCCTGAGAGAGCACGTTGTGCACCGCTTGCGCCACCAGCAGCAGCGCATCGTATGCTGCTAGCGAATTCACGTCTGCCTGAAGTGAAAGGAGGGGAGGAGGGGAATGGGTTGAACCAGACAGCACGTTGTGCACTGCCTGAGCCACCAGCAGCAGCGCATCGTGCGCAGTGGTGAATACACGTCCGCCTGGAGTGAAGGGAAGAAGGAAGGGAGGGTACAGAGGGGAAAGCAATCGGTTGAGCCACCAGGAGCAGCGCATCATACGCTGCAGCTGAATACACGTCCGCCTGGAGAGAGGGGGGAGGGGTTGGTGCGGAAAAGGGGATACATAGGAGGGCAGGGCATTGGGTTGAGCCAGATGGCATGTTGTGCACTACTTGAGCCACCATCAGCAGCGCGTGCGTCATACGCTGCCAGTGCATACACGTCTGCCTGGGGAAGCGCGGGGAAGGGGGGAGAAGGGGAAAGGGAGAGGCCGTGGGGTTGGGGCTAAGGGCAGTGGTGCAAGCGCCCAGACATGTGCTCCTTCCATCCACTGCCCTGAGACCGGTTTTCTTAATCCTCCATTCACTCACTCACTCACCTTGGCAGAGGACGGCCCCTCCTGCCCCGACATATGCTCCTTCCACTCTGCTCGAAAGACTGTGAGAGCAGGCGAGGGCGGGACAAACCCCACATGAGAATACCTTTGCTGTGAGACGTCTCAGCAATCACCTTGGCAGAGGACGGCCCCTCCTGCCCCGACATATGCTCCTTCCACTCTGCTCGAAAGACTGTGAGAGCAGGCGAGGGCGGGACAAACCCCACATGAGAATCCCTTTGCTGTGAGACGTCTCAGCAATCACCTTGGCAGAGGACGGCGCCTCCTGCCCCGACATATGCTCCTTCCACTCTGCTCGAAAGACTGTGAGAGCAGGCGAGGGCGGGACAAACCCCACATGAGAATACCTTTGCTGTGAGACGTCTCAGCAATCACCTTGGCAGAGGACGGCCCCTCCTGCCCCGACATATGCTCCTTCCACTCTGCTCGAAAGACTGTGAGAGCAGGCGAGGGCGGGACAAACCCCACATGAGAATCCCTTTGCTGTGAGACGTCTCAGCAATCACCTTGGCAGAGGACGGCGCCTCCTGCCCCGACATATGCTCCTTCCACTCTGCTCGAAAGACTGTGAGAGCAGGCGAGGGCGGGACAAACCCCACATGAGAATACCTTTGCTGTGAGACGTCTCAGCAATCACCTTGGCAGAGGACGGCCCCTCCTGCCCCGACATATGCTCCTTCCACTCTGCTCGAAAGACTGTGAGAGCAGGCGAGGGCGGGACAAACCCCACATGAGAATCCCTTTGCTGTGAGACGTCTCAGCAATCACCTTGGCAGAGGACGGCGCCTCCTGCCCCGACATATGCTCCTTCCACTCTGCTCGAAAGACTGTGAGAGCAGGCGAGGGCGGGACAAACCCCACATGAGAATACCTTTGCTGTGAGACGTCTCAGCAATCACCTTGGCAGAGGACGGCCCCTCCTGCCCCGACATATGCTCCTTCCACTCTGCTCGAAAGACTGTGAGAGCAGGCGAGGGCGGGACAAACCCCACATGAGAATCCCTTTGCTGTGAGACGTCTCAGCAATCACCTTGGCAGAGGACGGCGCCTCCTGCCCCGACATATGCTCCTTCCACTCTGCTCGAAAGACTGTGAGAGCAGGCGAGGGCGGGACAAACCCCACATGAGAATACCTTTGCTGTGAGACGTCTCAGCAATCACCTTGGCAGAGGACGGCCCCTCCTGCCCCGACATATGCTCCTTCCACTCTGCTCGAAAGACTGTGAGAGCAGGCGAGGGCGGGACAAACCCCACATGAGAATCCCTTTGCTGTGAGACGTCTCAGCAATCACCTTGGCAGAGGACGGCGCCTCCTGCCCCGACATATGCTCCTTCCACTCTGCTCGAAAGACTGTGAGAGCAGGCGAGGGCGGGACAAACCCCACATGAGAATACCTTTGCTGTGAGACGTCTCAGCAATCACCTTGGCAGAGGACGGCCCCTCCTGCCCCGACATATGCTCCTTCCACTCTGCTCGAAAGACTGTGAGAGCAGGCGAGGGCGGGACAAACCCCACATGAGAATCCCTTTGCTGTGAGACGTCTCAGCAATCACCTTGGCAGAGGACGGCGCCTCCTGCCCCGACATATGCTCCTTCCACTCTGCTCGAAAGACTGTGAGAGCAGGCGAGGGCGGGACAAACCCCACATGAGAATACCTTTGCTGTGAGACGTCTCAGCAATCACCTTGGCAGAGGACGGCCCCTCCTGCCCCGACATATGCTCCTTCCACTCTGCTCGAAAGACTGTGAGAGCAGGCGAGGGCGGGACAAACCCCACATGAGAATCCCTTTGCTGTGAGACGTCTCAGCAATCACCTTGGCAGAGGACGGCGCCTCCTGCCCCGACATATGCTCCTTCCACTCTGCTCGAAAGACTGTGAGAGCAGGCGAGGGCGGGACAAACCCCACATGAGAATACCTTTGCTGTGAGACGTCTCAGCAATCACCTTGGCAGAGGACGGCGCCTCCTGCCCCGACATATGCTCCTTCCACTCTGCTCGAAAGACTGTGAGAGCAGGCGAGGGCGGGACAAACCCCACATGAGAATACCTTTGCTGTGAGACGTCTCAGCAATCACCTTGGCAGAGGACGGCGCCTCCTGCCCCGACATATGCTCCTTCCACTCTGCTCGAAAGACTGTGAGAGCAGGCGAGGGCGGGACAAACCCCACATGAGAATCCCTTTGCTGTGAGACGTCTCAGCAATCACCTTGGCAGAGGACGGCGCCTCCTGCCCCGACATATGCTCCTTCCACTCTGCTCGAAAGACTGTGAGAGCAGGCGAGGGCGGGACAAACCCCACATGAGAATCCCTTTGCTGTGAGACGTCTCAGCAATCACCTTGGCAGAGGACGGCGCCTCCTGCCCCGACATATGCTCCTTCCACTCTGCTCGAAAGACTGTGAGAGCAGGCGAGGGCGGGACAAACCCCACATGAGAATCCCTTTGCTGTGAGACGTCTCAGCAATCACCTTGGCAGAGGACGGCGCCTCCTGCCCCGACATATGCTCCTTCCACTCTGCTCGAAAGACTGTGAGAGCAGGCGAGGGCGGGACAAACCCCACATGAGAATCCCTTTGCTGTGAGACGTCTCAGCAATCACCTTGGCAGAGGACGGCGCCTCCTGCCCCGACATATGCTCCTTCCACTCTGCTCGAAAGACTGTGAGAGCAGGCGAGGGCGGGACAAACCCCACATGAGAATACCTTTGCTGTGAGACGTCTCAGCAATCACCTTGGCAGAGGACGGCCCCTCCTGCCCCGACATATGCTCCTTCCACTCTGCTCGAAAGACTGTGAGAGCAGGCGAGGGCGGGACAAACCCCACATGAGAATCCCTTTGCTGTGAGACGTCTCAGCAATCACCTTGGCAGAGGACGGCGCCTCCTGCCCCGACATATGCTCCTTCCACTCTGCTCGAAAGACTGTGAGAGCAGGCGAGGGCGGGACAAACCCCACATGAGAATACCTTTGCTGTGAGACGTCTCAGCAATCACCTTGGCAGAGGACGGCCCCTCCTGCCCCGACATATGCTCCTTCCACTCTGCTCGAAAGACTGTGAGAGCAGGCGAGGGCGGGACAAACCCCACATGAGAATCCCTTTGCTGTGAGACGTCTCAGCAATCACCTTGGCAGAGGACGGCGCCTCCTGCCCCGACATATGCTCCTTCCACTCTGCTCGAAAGACTGTGAGAGCAGGCGAGGGCGGGACAAACCCCACATGAGAATACCTTTGCTGTGAGACGTCTCAGCAATCACCTTGGCAGAGGACGGCGCCTCCTGCCCCGACATATGCTCCTTCCACTCTGCTCGAAAGACTGTGAGAGCAGGCGAGGGCGGGACAAACCCCACATGAGAATACCTTTGCTGTGAGACGTCTCAGCAATCACCTTGGCAGAGGACGGCCCCTCCTGCCCCGACATATGCTCCTTCCACTCTGCTCGAAAGACTGTGAGAGCAGGCGAGGGCGGGACAAACCCCACATGAGAATCCCTTTGCTGTGAGACGTCTCAGCAATCACCTTGGCAGAGGACGGCGCCTCCTGCCCCGACATATGCTCCTTCCACTCTGCTCGAAAGACTGTGAGAGCAGGCGAGGGCGGGACAAACCCCACATGAGAATCCCTTTGCTGTGAGACGTCTCAGCAATCACCTTGGCAGAGGACGGCGCCTCCTGCCCCGACATATGCTCCTTCCACTCTGCTCGAAAGACTGTGAGAGCAGGCGAGGGCGGGACAAACCCCACATGAGAATACCTTTGCTGTGAGACGTCTCAGCAATCACCTTGGCAGAGGACGGCCCCTCCTGCCCCGACATATGCTCCTTCCACTCTGCTCGAAAGACTGTGAGAGCAGGCGAGGGCGGGACAAACCCCACATGAGAATCCCTTTGCTGTGAGACGTCTCAGCAATCACCTTGGCAGAGGACGGCGCCTCCTGCCCCGACATATGCTCCTTCCACTCTGCTCGAAAGACTGTGAGAGCAGGCGAGGGCGGGACAAACCCCACATGAGAATACCTTTGCTGTGAGACGTCTCAGCAATCACCTTGGCAGAGGACGGCCCCTCCTGCCCCGACATATGCTCCTTCCACTCTGCTCGAAAGACTGTGAGAGCAGGCGAGGGCGGGACAAACCCCACATGAGAATCCCTTTGCTGTGAGACGTCTCAGCAATCACCTTGGCAGAGGACGGCGCCTCCTGCCCCGACATATGCTCCTTCCACTCTGCTCGAAAGACTGTGAGAGCAGGCGAGGGCGGGACAAACCCCACATGAGAATACCTTTGCTGTGAGACGTCTCAGCAATCACCTTGGCAGAGGACGGCGCCTCCTGCCCCGACATATGCTCCTTCCACTCTGCTCGAAAGACTGTGAGAGCAGGCGAGGGCGGGACAAACCCCACATGAGAATACCTTTGCTGTGAGACGTCTCAGCAATCACCTTGGCAGAGGACGGCCCCTCCTGCCCCGACATATGCTCCTTCCACTCTGCTCGAAAGACTGTGAGAGCAGGCGAGGGCGGGACAAACCCCACATGAGAATCCCTTTGCTGTGAGACGTCTCAGCAATCACCTTGGCAGAGGACGGCGCCTCCTGCCCCGACATATGCTCCTTCCACTCTGCTCGAAAGACTGTGAGAGCAGGCGAGGGCGGGACAAACCCCACATGAGAATACCTTTGCTGTGAGACGTCTCAGCAATCACCTTGGCAGAGGACGGCCCCTCCTGCCCCGACATATGCTCCTTCCACTCTGCTCGAAAGACTGTGAGAGCAGGCGAGGGCGGGACAAACCCCACATGAGAATCCCTTTGCTGTGAGACGTCTCAGCAATCACCTTGGCAGAGGACGGCGCCTCCTGCCCCGACATATGCTCCTTCCACTCTGCTCGAAAGACTGTGAGAGCAGGCGAGGGCGGGACAAACCCCACATGAGAATCCCTTTGCTGTGAGACGTCTCAGCAATCACCTTGGCAGAGGACGGCGCCTCCTGCCCCGACATATGCTCCTTCCACTCTGCTCGAAAGACTGTGAGAGCAGGCGAGGGCGGGACAAACCCCACATGAGAATACCTTTGCTGTGAGACGTCTCAGCAATCACCTTGGCAGAGGACGGCCCCTCCTGCCCCGACATATGCTCCTTCCACTCTGCTCGAAAGACTGTGAGAGCAGGCGAGGGCGGGACAAACCCCACATGAGAATCCCTTTGCTGTGAGACGTCTCAGCAATCACCTTGGCAGAGGACGGCGCCTCCTGCCCCGACATATGCTCCTTCCACTCTGCTCGAAAGACTGTGAGAGCAGGCGAGGGCGGGACAAACCCCACATGAGAATCCCTTTGCTGTGAGACGTCTCAGCAATCACCTTGGCAGAGGACGGCGCCTCCTGCCCCGACATATGCTCCTTCCACTCTGCTCGAAAGACTGTGAGAGCAGGCGAGGGCGGGACAAACCCCACATGAGAATACCTTTGCTGTGAGACGTCTCAGCAATCACCTTGGCAGAGGACGGCCCCTCCTGCCCCGACATATGCTCCTTCCACTCTGCTCGAAAGACTGTGAGAGCAGGCGAGGGCGGGACAAACCCCACATGAGAATCCCTTTGCTGTGAGACGTCTCAGCAATCACCTTGGCAGAGGACGGCGCCTCCTGCCCCGACATATGCTCCTTCCACTCTGCTCGAAAGACTGTGAGAGCAGGCGAGGGCGGGACAAACCCCACATGAGAATACCTTTGCTGTGAGACGTCTCAGCAATCACCTTGGCAGAGGACGGCCCTTTCTGCCCCGACATATGCTCCTTCCACTCTGCTCGAAAGACTGTGAGAGCAGGCGAGGGCGGGACAAACCCCACATGAGAATCCCTTTGCTGTGAGACGTCTCAGCAATCACCTTGGCAGAGGACGGCCCTTTCTGCCCCGACATATGCTCCTTCCACTCTGCTCGAAAGACTGTGAGAGCAGGCGAGGGCGGGACAAACCCCACATGAGAATCCCTTTGCTGTGAGACGTCTCAGCAATCACCTTGGCAGAGGACGGCCCTTTCTGCCCCGACATATGCTCCTTCCACTCTGCTCGAAAGACTGTGAGAGCAGGCGAGGGCGGGACAAACCCCACATGAGAATCCCTTTGCTGTGAGACGTCTCAGCAATCACCTTGGCAGAGGACGGCCCTTTCTGCCCCGACATATGCTCCTTCCACTCTGCTCGAAAGACTGTGAGAGCAGGCGAGGGCGGGACAAACCCCACATGAGAATCCCTTTGCTGTGAGACGTCTCAGCAATCACCTTGGCAGAGGACGGCCCTTTCTGCCCCGACATATGCTCCTTCCACTCTGCTCGAAAGACTGTGAGAGCAGGCGAGGGCGGGACAAACCCCACATGAGAATCCCTTTGCTGTGAGACGTCTCAGCAATCACCTTGGCAGAGGACGGCCCTTTCTGCCCCGACATATGCTCCTTCCACTCTGCTCGAAAGACTGTGAGAGCAGGCGAGGGCGGGACAAACCCCACATGAGAATCCCTTTGCTGTGAGACGTCTCAGCAATCACCTTGGCAGAGGACGGCCCTTTCTGCCCCGACATATGCTCCTTCCACTCTGCTCGAAAGACTGTGAGAGCAGGCGAGGGCGGGACAAACCCCACATGAGAATCCCTTTGCTGTGAGACGTCTCAGCAATCACCTTGGCAGAGGACGGCCCTTTCTGCCCCGACATATGCTCCTTCCACTCTGCTCGAAAGACTGTGAGAGCAGGCGAGGGCGGGACAAACCCCACATGAGAATCCCTTTGCTGTGAGACGTCTCAGCAATCACCTTGGCAGAGGACGGCCCTTTCTGCCCCGACATATGCTCCTTCCACTCTGCTCGAAAGACTGTGAGAGCAGGCGAGGGCGGGACAAACCCCACATGAGAATCCCTTTGCTGTGAGACGTCTCAGCAATCACCTTGGCAGAGGACGGCCCTTTCTGCCCCGACATATGCTCCTTCCACTCTGCTCGAAAGACTGTGAGAGCAGGCGAGGGCGGGACAAACCCCACATGAGAATCCCTTTGCTGTGAGACGTCTCAGCAATCACCTTGGCAGAGGACGGCCCTTTCTGCCCCGACATATGCTCCTTCCACTCTGCTCGAAAGACTGTGAGAGCAGGCGAGGGCGGGACAAACCCCACATGAGAATCCCTTTGCTGTGAGACGTCTCAGCAATCACCTTGGCAGAGGACGGCCCTTTCTGCCCCGACATATGCTCCTTCCACTCTGCTCGAAAGACTGTGAGAGCAGGCGAGGGCGGGACAAACCCCACATGAGAATCCCTTTGCTGTGAGACGTCTCAGCAATCACCTTGGCAGAGGACGGCCCTTTCTGCCCCGACATATGCTCCTTCCACTCTGCTCGAAAGACTGTGAGAGCAGGCGAGGGCGGGACAAACCCCACATGAGAATCCCTTTGCTGTGAGACGTCTCAGCAATCACCTTGGCAGAGGACGGCCCTTTCTGCCCCGACATATGCTCCTTCCACTCTGCTCGAAAGACTGTGAGAGCGGGCGAGGGCGGGACAAACCCCACATGAGAATCCCTTTGCTGTGAGACGTCTCAGCAATCACCTTGGCAGAGGACGGCCCTTTCTGCCCCGACATATGCTCCTTCCACTCTGCTCGAAAGACTGTGAGAGCAGGCGAGGGCGGGACAAACCCCACATGAGAATCCCTTTGCTGTGAGACGTCTCAGCAATCACCTTGGCAGAGGACGGCCCTTTCTGCCCCGACATATGCTCCTTCCACTCTGCTCGAAAGACTGTGAGAGCAGGCGAGGGCGGGACAAACCCCACATGAGAATACCTTTGCTGTGAGACGTCTCAGCAATCACCTTGGCAGAGGACGGCCCTTTCTGCCCCGACATATGCTCCTTCCACTCTGCTCGAAAGACTGTGAGAGCAGGCGAGGGCGGGACAAACCCCACATGAGAATACCTTTGCTGTGAGACGTCTCAGCAATCACCTTGGCAGAGGACGGCCCTTTCTGCCCCGACATATGCTCCTTCCACTCTGCTCGAAAGACTGTGAGAGCAGGCGAGGGCGGGACAAACCCCACATGAGAATACCTTTGCTGTGAGACGTCTCAGCAATCACCTTGGCAGAGGACGGCGCCTCCTGCCCCGACATATGCTCCTTCCACTCTGCTCGAAAGACTGTGAGAGCAGGCGAGGGCGGGACAAACCCCACATGAGAATACCTTTGCTGTGAGACGTCTCAGCAATCACCTTGGCAGAGGACGGCCCCTCCTGCCCCGACATATGCTCCTTCCACTCTGCTCGAAAGACTGTGAGAGCAGGCGAGGGCGGGACAAACCCCACATGAGAATCCCTTTGCTGTGAGACGTCTCAGCAATCACCTTGGCAGAGGACGGCGCCTCCTGCCCCGACATATGCTCCTTCCACTCTGCTCGAAAGACTGTGAGAGCAGGCGAGGGCGGGACAAACCCCACATGAGAATCCCTTTGCTGTGAGACGTCTCAGCAATCACCTTGGCAGAGGACGGCCCTTTCTGCCCCGACATATGCTCCTTCCACTCTGCTCGAAAGACTGTGAGAGCAGGCGAGGGCGGGACAAACCCCACATGAGAATCCCTTTGCTGTGAGACGTCTCAGCAATCACCTTGGCAGAGGACGGCCCTTTCTGCCCCGACATATGCTCCTTCCACTCTGCTCGAAAGACTGTGAGAGCAGGCGAGGGCGGGACAAACCCCACATGAGAATCCCTTTGCTGTGAGACGTCTCAGCAATCACCTTGGCAGAGGACGGCCCTTTCTGCCCCGACATATGCTCCTTCCACTCTGCTCGAAAGACTGTGAGAGCAGGCGAGGGCGGGACAAACCCCACATGAGAATCCCTTTGCTGTGAGACGTCTCAGCAATCACCTTGGCAGAGGACGGCCCTTTCTGCCCCGACATATGCTCCTTCCACTCTGCTCGAAAGACTGTGAGAGCAGGCGAGGGCGGGACAAACCCCACATGAGAATCCCTTTGCTGTGAGACGTCTCAGCAATCACCTTGGCAGAGGACGGCCCTTTCTGCCCCGACATATGCTCCTTCCACTCTGCTCGAAAGACTGTGAGAGCAGGCGAGGGCGGGACAAACCCCACATGAGAATCCCTTTGCTGTGAGACGTCTCAGCAATCACCTTGGCAGAGGACGGCCCTTTCTGCCCCGACATATGCTCCTTCCACTCTGCTCGAAAGACTGTGAGAGCAGGCGAGGGCGGGACAAACCCCACATGAGAATCCCTTTGCTGTGAGACGTCTCAGCAATCACCTTGGCAGAGGACGGCCCTTTCTGCCCCGACATATGCTCCTTCCACTCTGCTCGAAAGACTGTGAGAGCAGGCGAGGGCGGGACAAACCCCACATGAGAATCCCTTTGCTGTGAGACGTCTCAGCAATCACCTTGGCAGAGGACGGCCCTTTCTGCCCCGACATATGCTCCTTCCACTCTGCTCGAAAGACTGTGAGAGCAGGCGAGGGCGGGACAAACCCCACATGAGAATCCCTTTGCTGTGAGACGTCTCAGCAATCACCTTGGCAGAGGACGGCCCTTTCTGCCCCGACATATGCTCCTTCCACTCTGCTCGAAAGACTGTGAGAGCAGGCGAGGGCGGGACAAACCCCACATGAGAATCCCTTTGCTGTGAGACGTCTCAGCAATCACCTTGGCAGAGGACGGCCCTTTCTGCCCCGACATATGCTCCTTCCACTCTGCTCGAAAGACTGTGAGAGCAGGCGAGGGCGGGACAAACCCCACATGAGAATCCCTTTGCTGTGAGACGTCTCAGCAATCACCTTGGCAGAGGACGGCCCTTTCTGCCCCGACATATGCTCCTTCCACTCTGCTCGAAAGACTGTGAGAGCAGGCGAGGGCGGGACAAACCCCACATGAGAATCCCTTTGCTGTGAGACGTCTCAGCAATCACCTTGGCAGAGGACGGCCCTTTCTGCCCCGACATATGCTCCTTCCACTCTGCTCGAAAGACTGTGAGAGCGGGCGAGGGCGGGACAAACCCCACATGAGAATCCCTTTGCTGTGAGACGTCTCAGCAATCACCTTGGCAGAGGACGGCCCTTTCTGCCCCGACATATGCTCCTTCCACTCTGCTCGAAAGACTGTGAGAGCAGGCGAGGGCGGGACAAACCCCACATGAGAATCCCTTTGCTGTGAGACGTCTCAGCAATCACCTTGGCAGAGGACGGCCCTTTCTGCCCCGACATATGCTCCTTCCACTCTGCTCGAAAGACTGTGAGAGCAGGCGAGGGCGGGACAAACCCCACATGAGAATACCTTTGCTGTGAGACGTCTCAGCAATCACCTTGGCAGAGGACGGCCCTTTCTGCCCCGACATATGCTCCTTCCACTCTGCTCGAAAGACTGTGAGAGCAGGCGAGGGCGGGACAAACCCCACATGAGAATACCTTTGCTGTGAGACGTCTCAGCAATCACCTTGGCAGAGGACGGCCCTTTCTGCCCCGACATATGCTCCTCCTTCCACTCTGCTCGAAAGACTGTGAGAGCAGGCGAGGGCGGGACAAACCCCACATGAGAATACCTTTGCTGTGAGACGTCTCAGCAATCACCTTGGCAGAGGACGGCCCTTTCTGCCCCGACATATGCTCCTTCCACTCTGCTCGAAAGACTGTGAGAGCAGGCGAGGGCGGGACAAACCCCACATGAGAATACCTTTGCTGTGAGACGTCTCAGCAATCACCTTGGCAGAGGACGGCCCTTTCTGCCCCGACATATGCTCCTTCCACTCTGCTCGAAAGACTGTGAGAGCAGGCGAGGGCGGGACAAACCCCACATGAGAATACCTTTGCTGTGAGACGTCTCAGCAATCACCTTGGCAGAGGACGGCCCTTTCTGCCCCGACATATGCTCCTTCCACTCTGCTCGAAAGACTGTGAGAGCAGGCGAGGGCGGGACAAACCCCACATGAGAATCCCTTTGCTGTGAGACGTCTCATCAATCACCTTGGCAGAGGACGGCCCTTTCTGCCCCGACATATGCTCCTTCCACTCTGCTCGAAAGACTGTGAGAGCAGGCGAGGGCGGGACAAACCCACATGAGAATACCTTTGCTGTGAGACGTCTCAGCAATCACCTTGGCAGAGGACGGCCCTTTCTGCCCCGACATATGCTCCTTCCACTCTGCTCGAAAGACTGTGAGAGCAGGCGAGGGCGGGACAAACCCCACATGAGAATACCTTTGCTGTGAGACGTCTCAGCAATCACCTTGGCAGAGGACGGCGCCTCCTGCCCCGACATATGCTCCTTCCACTCTGCTCGAAAGACTGTGAGAGCAGGCGAGGGCGGGACAAACCCCACATGAGAATACCTTTGCTGTGAGACGTCTCAGCAATCACCTTGGCAGAGGACGGCCCTTTCTGCCCCGACATATGCTCCTTCCACTCTGCTCGAAAGACTGTGAGAGCAGGCGAGGGCGGGACAAACCCCACATGAGAATCCCTTTGCTGTGAGACGTCTCAGCAATCACCTTGGCAGAGGACGGCGCCTCCTGCCCCGACATATGCTCCTTCCACTCTGCTCGAAAGACTGTGAGAGCAGGCGAGGGCGGGACAAACCCCACATGAGAATACCTTTGCTGTGAGACGTCTCAGCAATCACCTTGGCAGAGGACGGCCCTTTCTGCCCCGACATATGCTCCTTCCACTCTGCTCGAAAGACTGTGAGAGCAGGCGAGGGCGGGACAAACCCCACATGAGAATCCCTTTGCTGTGAGACGTCTCAGCAATCACCTTGGCAGAGGACGGCGCCTCCTGCCCCGACATATGCTCCTTCCACTCTGCTCGAAAGACTGTGAGAGCAGGCGAGGGCGGGACAAACCCCACATGAGAATACCTTTGCTGTGAGACGTCTCAGCAATCACCTTGGCAGAGGACGGCCCTTTCTGCCCCGACATATGCTCCTTCCACTCTGCTCGAAAGACTGTGAGAGCAGGCGAGGGCGGGACAAACCCACATGAGAATACCTTTGCTGTGAGACGTCTCAGGAATCACCTTGGCAGAGGACGGCCCTTTCTGCCCCGACATATGCTCCTTCCACTCTGCTCGAAAGACTGTGAGAGCAGGCGAGGGCGGGACAAACCCCACATGAGAATACCTTTGCTGTGAGACGTCTCAGCAATCACCTTGGCAGAGGACGGCGCCTCCTGCCCCGACATATGCTCCTTCCACTCTGCTCGAAAGACTGTGAGAGCAGGCGAGGGCGGGACAAACCCCACATGAGAATCCCTTTGCTGTGAGACGTCTCAGCAATCACCTTGGCAGAGGACGGCGCCTCCTGCCCCGACATATGCTCCTTCCACTCTGCTCGAAAGACTGTGAGAGCAGGCGAGGGCGGGACAAACCCCACATGAGAATACCTTTGCTGTGAGACGTCTCAGCAATCACCTTGGCAGAGGACGGCCCTTTCTGCCCCGACATATGCTCCTTCCACTCTGCTCGAAAGACTGTGAGAGCAGGCGAGGGCGGGACAAACCCCACATGAGAATCCCTTTGCTGTGAGACGTCTCAGCAATCACCTTGGCAGAGGACGGCGCCTCCTGCCCCGACATATGCTCCTTCCACTCTGCTCGAAAGACTGTGAGAGCAGGCGAGGGCGGGACAAACCCCACATGAGAATACCTTTGCTGTGAGACGTCTCAGCAATCACCTTGGCAGAGGACGGCCCTTTCTGCCCCGACATATGCTCCTTCCACTCTGCTCGAAAGACTGTGAGAGCAGGCGAGGGCGGGACAAACCCCACATGAGAATCCCTTTGCTGTGAGACGTCTCAGCAATCACCTTGGCAGAGGACGGCGCCTCCTGCCCCGACATATGCTCCTTCCACTCTGCTCGAAAGACGGTGAGAGCAGGCGAGGGCGGGACAAACCCCACATGAGAATACCTTTGCTGTGAGACGTCTCAGCAATCACCTTGGCAGAGGACGGCCCTTTCTGCCCCGACATATGCTCCTTCCACTCTGCTCGAAAGACTGTGAGAGCAGGCGAGGGCGGGACAAACCCACATGAGAATACCTTTGCTGTGAGACGTCTCAGCAATCACCTTGGCAGAGGACGGCCCTTTCTGTCCCGACATATGCTCCTTCCACTCTGCTCGAAAGACTGTGAGAGCAGGCGAGGGCGGGACAAACCCCACATGAGAATACCTTTGCTGTGAGACGTCTCAGCAATCACCTTGGCAGAGGACGGCGCCTCCTGTCCCCGACATATGCTCCTTCCACTCTGCTCGAAAGACTGTGAGAGCAGGCGAGGGCGGGACAAACCCCACATGAGAATCCCTTTGCTGTGAGACGTCTCAGCAATCACCTTGGCAGAGGACGGCGCCTCCTGCCCCGACATATGCTCCTTCCACTCTGCTCGAAAGACTGTGAGAGCAGGCGAGGGCGGGACAAACCCCACATGAGAATACCTTTGCTGTGAGACGTCTCAGCAATCACCTTGGCAGAGGACGGCCCTTTCTGCCCCGACATATGCTCCTTCCACTCTGCTCGAAAGACTGTGAGAGCAGGCGAGGGCGGGACAAACCCCACATGAGAATACCTTTGCTGTGAGACGTCTCAGCAATCACCTTGGCAGAGGACGGCCCTTTCTGCCCCGACATATGCTCCTTCCACTCTGCTCGAAAGACTGTGAGAGCAGGCGAGGGCGGGACAAACCCCACATGAGAATCCCTTTGCTGTGAGACGTCTCAGCAATCACCTTGGCAGAGGACGGCGCCTTCCTGCCCCGACATATGCTCCTTCCACTCTGCTCGAAAGACTGTGAGAGCAGGCGAGGGCGGGACAAACCCCACATGAGAATACCTTTGCTGTGAGACGTCTCAGCAATCACCTTGGCAGAGGACGGCCCTTTCTGCCCCGACATATGCTCCTTCCACTCTGCTCGAAAGACTGTGAGAGCAGGCGAGGGCGGGACAAACCCCACATGAGAATACCTTTGCTGTGAGACGTCTCAGCAATCACCTTGGCAGAGGACGGCCCTTTCTGCCCCGACATATGCTCCTTCCACTCTGCTCGAAAGACTGTGAGAGCAGGCGAGGGCGGGACAAACCCCACATGAGAATCCCTTTGCTGTGAGACGTCTCAGCAATCACCTTGGCAGAGGACGGCGCCTCCTGCCCCGACATATGCTCCTTCCACTCTGCTCGAAAGACTGTGAGAGCAGGCGAGGGCGGGACAAACCCCACATGAGAATCCCTTTGCTGTGAGACGTCTCAGCAATCACCTTGGCAGAGGACGGCGCCTCCTGCCCCGACATATGCTCCTTCCACTCTGCTCGAAAGACTGTGAGAGCAGGCGAGGGCGGGACAAACCCCACATGAGAATACCTTTGCTGTGAGACGTCTCAGCAATCACCTTGGCAGAGGACGGCGCCTCCTGCCCCGACATATGCTCCTTCCACTCTGCTCGAAAGACTGTGAGAGCAGGCGAGGGCGGGACAAACCCCACATGAGAATACCTTTGCTGTGAGACGTCTCAGCAATCACCTTGGCAGAGGACGGCGCCTTCCTGCCCCGACATATGCTCCTTCCACTCTGCTCGAAAGACTGTGAGAGCAGGCGAGGGCGGGACAAACCCCACATGAGAATACCTTTGCTGTGAGACGTCTCAGCAATCACCTTGGCAGAGGACGGCCCTTTCTGCCCCGACATATGCTCCTTCCACTCTGCTCGAAAGACTGTGAGAGCAGGCGAGGGCGGGACAAACCCCACATGAGAATACCTTTGCTGTGAGACGTCTCAGCAATCACCTTGGCAGAGGACGGCCCTTTCTGCCCCGACATATGCTCCTTCCACTCTGCTCGAAAGACTGTGAGAGCAGGCGAGGGCGGGACAAACCCCACATGAGAATCCCTTTGCTGTGAGACGTCTCAGCAATCACCTTGGCAGAGGACGGCGCCTCCTGCCCCGACATATGCTCCTTCCACTCTGCTCGAAAGACTGTGAGAGCAGGCGAGGGCGGGACAAACCCCACATGAGAATACCTTTGCTGTGAGACGTCTCAGCAATCACCTTGGCAGAGGACGGCCCTTTCTGCCCCGACATATGCTCCTTCCACTCTGCTCGAAAGACTGTGAGAGCAGGCGAGGGCGGGACAAACCCACATGAGAATACCTTTGCTGTGAGACGTCTCAGCAATCACCTTGGCAGAGGACGGCCCTTTCTGCCCCGACATATGCTCCTTCCACTCTGCTCGAAAGACTGTGAGAGCAGGCGAGGGCGGGACAAACCCCACATGAGAATCCCTTTGCTGTGAGACGTCTCAGCAATCACCTTGGCAGAGGACGGCGCCTCCTGCCCCGACATATGCTCCTTCCACTCTGCTCGAAAGACTGTGAGAGCAGGCGAGGGCGGGACAAACCCCACATGAGAATCCCTTTGCTGTGAGACGTCTCAGCAATCACCTTGGCAGAGGACAGCGCCTCCTGCCCCGACATATGCTCCTTCCACTCTGCTCGAAAAGACTGTGAGAGCAGGCGAGGGCGGGACAAACCCCACATGAGAATCCCTTTGCTGTGAGACGTCTCAGCAATCACCTTGGCAGAGGACGGCGCCTCCTGCCCCGACATATGCTCCTTCCACTCTGCTCGAAAGACTGTGAGAGCAGGCGAGGGCGGGACAAACCCCACATGAGAATACCTTTGCTGTGAGACGTCTCAGCAATCACCTTGGCAGAGGACGGCCCTTTCTGCCCCGACATATGCTCCTTCCACTCTGCTCGAAAGACTGTGAGAGCAGGCGAGGGCGGGACAAACCCACATGAGAATACCTTTGCTGTGAGACGTCTCAGCAATCACCTTGGCAGAGGACGGCCCTTTCTGCCCCGACATATGCTCCTTCCACTCTGCTCGAAAGACTGTGAGAGCAGGCGAGGGCGGGACAAACCCCACATGAGAATACCTTTGCTGTGAGACGTCTCAGCAATCACCTTGGCAGAGGACGGCGCCTCCTGCCCCGACATATGCTCCTTCCACTCTGCTCGAAAGACTGTGAGAGCAGGCGAGGGCGGGACAAACCCCACATGAGAATACCTTTGCTGTGAGACGTCTCAGCAATCACCTTGGCAGAGGACGGCCCCTCCTGCCCCGACATATGCTCCTTCCACTCTGCTCGAAAGACTGTGAGAGCAGGCGAGGGCGGGACAAACCCCACATGAGAATCCCTTTGCTGTGAGACGTCTCAGCAATCACCTTGGCAGAGGACGGCGCCTCCTGCCCCGACATATGCTCCTTCCACTCTGCTCGAAAGACTGTGAGAGCAGGCGAGGGCGGGACAAACCCCACATGAGAATACCTTTGCTGTGAGACGTCTCAGCAATCACCTTGGCAGAGGACGGCGCCTCCTGCCCCGACATATGCTCCTTCCACTCTGCTCGAAAGACTGTGAGAGCAGGCGAGGGCGGGACAAACCCCACATGAGAATACCTTTGCTGTGAGACGTCTCAGCAATCACCTTGGCAGAGGACGGCCCCTCCTGCCCCGACATATGCTCCTTCCACTCTGCTCGAAAGACTGTGAGAGCAGGCGAGGGCGGGACAAACCCCACATGAGAATACCTTTGCTGTGAGACGTCTCAGCAATCACCTTGGCAGAGGACGGCCCTTTCTGCCCCGACATATGCTCCTTCCACTCTGCTCGAAAGACTGTGAGAGCAGGCGAGGGCGGGACAAACCCCACATGAGAATCCCTTTGCTGTGAGACGTCTCAGCAATCACCTTGGCAGAGGACGGCCCTTTCTGCCCCGACATATGCTCCTTCCACTCTGCTCGAAAGACTGTGAGAGCAGGCGAGGGCGGGACAAACCCCACATGAGAATACCTTTGCTGTGAGACGTCTCAGCAATCACCTTGGCAGAGGACGGCCCTTTCTGCCCCGACATATGCTCCTTCCACTCTGCTCGAAAGACTGTGAGAGCAGGCGAGGGCGGGACAAACCCCACATGAGAATACCTTTGCTGTGAGACGTCTCAGCAATCACCTTGGCAGAGGACGGCCCTTTCTGCCCCGACATATGCTCCTTCCACTCTGCTCGAAAGACTGTGAGAGCAGGCGAGGGCGGGACAAACCCCACATGAGAATACCTTTGCTGTGAGACGTCTCAGCAATCACCTTGGCAGAGGACGGCCCTTTCTGCCCCGACATATGCTCCTTCCACTCTGCTCGAAAGACTGTGAGAGCAGGCGAGGGCGGGACAAACCCCACATGAAAATACCTTTGCTGTGAGACGTCTCAGCAATCACCTTGGCAGAGGACGGCCCTTTCTGCCTCGACATATGCTCCTTCCACTCTGCTCGAAAGACTGTGAGAGCAGGCGAGGGCGGGACAAACCCCACATGAGAATACCTTTGCTGTGAGACGTCTCAGCAATCACCTTGGCAGAGGACGGCCCTTTCTGCCCCGACATATGCTCCTTCCACTCTGCTCGAAAGACTGTGAGAGCAGGCGAGGGCGGGACAAACCCCACATGAGAATACCTTTGCTGTGAGACGTCTCAGCAATCACCTTGGCAGAGGACGGCCCTTTCTGCCCCGACATATGCTCCTTCCACTCTGCTCGAAAGACTGTGAGAGCAGGCGAGGGCGGGACAAACCCCACATGAGAATACCTTTGCTGTGAGACGTCTCAGCAATCACCTTGGCAGAGGACGGCCCTTTCTGCCCCGACATATGCTCCTTCCACTCTGCTCGAAAGACTGTGAGAGCAGGCGAGGGCGGGACAAACCCCACATGAGAATCCCTTTGCTGTGAGACGTCTCAGCAATCACCTTGGCAGAGGACGGCGCCTCCTGCCCCGACATATGCTCCTTCCACTCTGCTCGAAAGACTGTGAGAGCAGGCGAGGGCGGGACAAACCCCACATGAGAATCCCTTTGCTGTGAGACGTCTCAGCAATCACCTTGGCAGAGGACAGCGCCTCCTGCCCCGACATATGCTCCTTCCACTCTGCTCAAAAGACTGTGAGAGCAGGCGAGGGCGGGACAAACCCCACATGAGAATCCCTTTGCTGTGAGACGTCTCAGCAATCACCTTGGCAGAGGACGGCGCCTCCTGCCCCGACATATGCTCCTTCCACTCTGCTCGAAAGACTGTGAGAGCAGGCGAGGGCGGGACAAACCCCACATGAGAATACCTTTGCTGTGAGACGTCTCAGCAATCACCTTGGCAGAGGACGGCCCTTTCTGCCCCGACATATGCTCCTTCCACTCTGCTCGAAAGACTGTGAGAGCAGGCGAGGGCGGGACAAACCCACATGAGAATACCTTTGCTGTGAGACGTCTCAGCAATCACCTTGGCAGAGGACGGCCCTTTCTGCCCCGACATATGCTCCTTCCACTCTGCTCGAAAGACTGTGAGAGCAGGCGAGGGCGGGACAAACCCCACATGAGAATACCTTTGCTGTGAGACGTCTCAGCAATCACCTTGGCAGAGGACGGCGCCTCCTGCCCCGACATATGCTCCTTCCACTCTGCTCGAAAGACTGTGAGAGCAGGCGAGGGCGGGACAAACCCCACATGAGAATACCTTTGCTGTGAGACGTCTCAGCAATCACCTTGGCAGAGGACGGCCCTTTCTGCCCCGACATATGCTCCTTCCACTCTGCTCGAAAGACTGTGAGAGCAGGCGAGGGCGGGACAAACCCACATGAGAATACCTTTGCTGTGAGACGTCTCAGCAATCACCTTGGCAGAGGACGGCCCTTTCTGCCCCGACATATGCTCCTTCCACTCTGCTCGAAAGACTGTGAGAGCAGGCGAGGGCGGGACAAACCCCACATGAGAATACCTTTGCTGTGAGACGTCTCAGCAATCACCTTGGCAGAGGACGGCCCTTTCTGCCCCGACATATGCTCCTTCCACTCTGCTCGAAAGACTGTGAGAGCAGGCGAGGGCGGGACAAACCCCACATGAGAATACCTTTGCTGTGAGACGTCTCAGCAATCACCTTGGCAGAGGACGGCCCTTTCTGCCCCGACATATGCTCCTTCCACTCTGCTCGAAAGACTGTGAGAGCAGGCGAGGGCGGGACAAACCCCACATGAGAATCCCTTTGCTGTGAGACGTCTCAGCAATCACCTTGGCAGAGGACGGCCCTTTCTGCCCCGACATATGCTCCTTCCACTCTGCTCGAAAGACTGTGAGAGCAGGCGAGGGCGGGACAAACCCCACATGAGAATACCTTTGCTGTGAGACGTCTCAGCAATCACCTTGGCAGAGGACGGCCCTTTCTGCCCCGACATATGCTCCTTCCACTCTGCTCGAAAGACTGTGAGAGCAGGCGAGGGCGGGACAAACCCCACATGAGAATACCTTTGCTGTGAGACGTCTCAGCAATCACCTTGGCAGAGGACGGCCCTTTCTGCCCCGACATATGCTCCTTCCACTCTGCTCGAAAGACTGTGAGAGCAGGCGAGGGCGGGACAAACCCCACATGAGAATACCTTTGCTGTGAGACGTCTCAGCAATCACCTTGGCAGAGGACGGCCCTTTCTGCCCCGACATATGCTCCTTCCACTCTGCTCGAAAGACTGTGAGAGCAGGCGAGGGCGGGACAAACCCCACATGAAAATACCTTTGCTGTGAGACGTCTCAGCAATCACCTTGGCAGAGGACGGCCCTTTCTGCCTCGACATATGCTCCTTCCACTCTGCTCGAAAGACTGTGAGAGCAGGCGAGGGCGGGACAAACCCCACATGAGAATACCTTTGCTGTGAGACGTCTCAGCAATCACCTTGGCAGAGGACGGCCCTTTCTGCCCCGACATATGCTCCTTCCACTCTGCTCGAAAGACTGTGAGAGCAGGCGAGGGCGGGACAAACCCCACATGAGAATACCTTTGCTGTGAGACGTCTCAGCAATCACCTTGGCAGAGGACGGCCCTTTCTGCCCCGACATATGCTCCTTCCACTCTGCTCGAAAGACTGTGAGAGCAGGCGAGGGCGGGACAAACCCCACATGAGAATACCTTTGCTGTGAGACGTCTCAGCAATCACCTTGGCAGAGGACGGCCCTTTCTGCCCCGACATATGCTCCTTCCACTCTGCTCGAAAGACTGTGAGAGCAGGCGAGGGCGGGACAAACCCCACATGAGAATACCTTTGCTGTGAGACGTCTCAGCAATCACCTTGGCAGAGGACGGCCCTTTCTGCCCCGACATATGCTCCTCCTTCCACTCTGCTCGAAAGACTGTGAGAGCAGGCGAGGGCGGGACAAACCCCACATGAGAATACCTTTGCTGTGAGACGTCTCAGCAATCACCTTGGCAGAGGACGGCCCTTTCTGCCCCGACATATGCTCCTTCCACTCTGCTCGAAAGACCGTGAGAGCAGGCGAGGGCGGGACAAACCCCACATGAGAATACCTTTGCTGTGAGACGTCTCAGCAATCACCTTGGCAGAGGACGGCCCTTTCTGCCCCGACATATGCTCCTTCCACTCTGCTCGAAAGACTGTGAGAGCAGGCGAGGGCGGGACAAACCCCACATGAGAATACCTTTGCTGTGAGACGTCTCAGCAATCACCTTGGCAGAGGACGGCCCTTTCTGCCCCGACATATGCTCCTTCCACTCTGCTCGAAAGACTGTGAGAGCAGGCGAGGGCGGGACAAACCCCACATGAGAATACCTTTGCTGTGAGACGTCTCAGCAATCACCTTGGCAGAGGACGGCCCTTTCTGCCCCGACATATGCTCCTTCCACTCTGCTCGAAAGACTGTGAGAGCAGGCGAGGGCGGGACAAACCCCACATGAGAATACCTTTGCTGTGAGACGTCTCAGCAATCACCTTGGCAGAGGACGGCCCTTTCTGCCCCGACATATGCTCCTTCCACTCTGCTCCAAAGACTGTGAGAGCAGGCGAGGGCGGGACAAACCCCACATGAGAATACCTTTGCTGTGAGACGTCTCAGCAATCACCTTGGCAGAGGACGGCCCTTTCTGCCCCGACATATGCTCCTTCCACTCTGCTCGAAAGACTGTGAGAGCAGGCGAGGGCGGGACAAACCCCACATGAGAATACCTTTGCTGTGAGACGTCTCAGCAATCACCTTGGCAGAGGACGGCCCTTTCTGCCCCGACATATGCTCCTTCCACTCTGCTCGAAAGACTGTGAGAGCAGGCGAGGGCGGGACAAACCCCACATGAGAATACCTTTGCTGTGAGACGTCTCAGCAATCACCTTGGCAGAGGACGGCCCTTTCTGCCCCGACATATGCTCCTCCTTCCACTCTGCTCGAAAGACTGTGAGAGCAGGCGAGGGCGGGACAAACCCACATGAGAATACCTTTGCTGTGAGACGTCTCAGCAATCACCTTGGCAGAGGACGGCCCTTTCTGCCCCGACATATGCTCCTTCCACTCTGCTCGAAAGAATGTGAGAGCAGGCGAGGGCGGGACAAACCCCACATGAGAATACCTTTGCTGTGAGACGTCTCAGCAATCACCTTGGCAGAGGACGGCCCTTTCTGCCCCGACATATGCTCCTTCCACTCTGCTCGAAAGACTGTGAGAGCAGGCGAGGGCGGGACAAACCCCACATGAGAATACCTTTGCTGTGAGACGTCTCAGCAATCACCTTGGCAGAGGACGGCCCTTTCTGCCCCGACATATGCTCCTTCCACTCTGCTCGAAAGACTGTGAGAGCAGGCGAGGGCGGGACAAACCCCACATGAGAATACCTTTGCTGTGAGACGTCTCAGCAATCACCTTGGCAGAGGACGGCCCTTTCTGCCCCGACATATGCTCCTTCCACTCTGCTCGAAAGACTGTGAGAGCAGGCGAGGGCGGGACAAACCCCACATGAGAATACCTTTGCTGTGAGACGTCTCAGCAATCACCTTGGCAGAGGACGGCCCTTTCTGCCCCGACATATGCTCCTTCCACTCTGCTCGAAAGACTGTGAGAGCAGGCGAGGGCGGGACAAACCCCACATGAGAATACCTTTGCTGTGAGACGTCTCAGCAATCACCTTGGCAGAGGACGGCCCTTTCTGCCCCGACATATGCTCCTTCCACTCTGCTCGAAAGACTGTGAGAGCAGGCGAGGGCGGGACAAACCCCACATGAGAATACCTTTGCTGTGAGACGTCTCAGCAATCACCTTGGCAGAGGACGGCCCTTTCTGCCCCGACATATGCTCCTTCCACTCTGCTCGAAAGACTGTGAGAGCAGGCGAGGGCGGGACAAACCCCACATGAGAATACCTTTGCTGTGAGACGTCTCAGCAATCACCTTGGCAGAGGACGGCCCTTTCTGCCCCGACATATGCTCCTTCCACTCTGCTCGAAAGACTGTGAGAGCAGGCGAGGGCGGGACAAACCCACATGAGAATACCTTTGCTGTGAGACGTCTCAGCAATCACCTTGGCAGAGGACGGCCCTTTCTGCCCCGACATATGCTCCTTCCACTCTGCTCGAAAGACTGTGAGAGGAGGCGAGGGCGGGACAAACCCCACATGAGAATACCTTTGCTGTGAGACGTCTCAGCAATCACCTTGGCAGAGGACGCCCCTTTCTGCCCCGACATATGCTCCTTCCACTCTGCTCGAAAGACTGTGAGAGCAGGCGAGGGCGGGACAAACCCCACATGAGAATACCTTTGCTGTGAGACGTCTCAGCAATCACCTTGGCAGAGGACGGCCCTTTCTGCCCCGACATATGCTCCTTCCACTCTGCTCGAAAGACTGTGAGAGCAGGCGAGGGCGGGACAAACCCCACATGAGAATACCTTTGCTGTGAGACGTCTCAGCAATCACCTTGGCAGAGGACGGCCCTTTCTGCCCCGACATATGCTCCTTCCACTCTGCTCGAAAGACTGTGAGAGCAGGCGAGGGCGGGACAAACCCCACATGAGAATACCTTTGCTGTGAGACGTCTCAGCAATCACCTTGGCAGAGGACGGCCCTTTCTGCCCCGACATATGCTCCTTCCACTCTGCTCGAAAGACTGTGAGAGCAGGCGAGGGCGGGACAAACCCCACATGAGAATACCTTTGCTGTGAGACGTCTCAGCAATCACCTTGGCAGAGGACGGCCCTTTCTGCCCCGACATATGCTCCTTCCACTCTGCTCGAAAGACTGTGAGAGCAGGCGAGGGCGGGACAAACCCCACATGAGAATACCTTTGCTGTGAGACGTCTCAGCAATCACCTTGGCAGAGGACGGCCCTTTCTGCCCCGACATATGCTCCTTCCACTCTGCTCGAAAGACTGTGAGAGCAGGCGAGGGCGGGACAAACCCCACATGAGAATACCTTTGCTGTGAGACGTCTCAGCAATCACCTTGGCAGAGGACGCCCCTTTCTGCCCCGACATATGCTCCTTCCACTCTGCTCGAAAGACTGTGAGAGCAGGCGAGGGCGGGACAAACCCCACATGAGAATACCTTTGCTGTGAGACGTCTCAGCAATCACCTTGGCAGAGGACGGCCCTTTCTGCCCCGACATATGCTCCTTCCACTCTGCTCGAAAGACTGTGAGAGCAGGCGAGGGCGGGACAAAAGACGCCATTGATATGAGCCCCTGCCACGGATGAGAGAGAAGAACGGGCAGAGGAGAATGAGACGATCGCCGTGTGGGAGAGGAGTTGAGAAATCTCGGAAATAAACTTGAACCAGGGAGCAAAGTCACCTCCTTAGTCGACTCAAAAGTCACCTCCTTCGTCGACTCAAAAGTTATCTCGGAAATAAACTTGAACCAGGGAGCATCTCTACTCGAACCGCAGGAAACATATGGGAGCAAAGGAAGAGAGAGTATCAGCACGTGAGCAGCGCGTAGGTGACGACTGAGAAGGGGCCTTGGAAGAGGTTTACGGCTTATTTCATGTCATGTCATGTCATGTCATGTCATGTACCTGCACTTGCGGCATGAAGGAGGCGGTGGCGCCATCGTATGTGAAGGACTGCAGGGATGAAGGCTCCGTGGTGATGAGGGAAGGAGGGTGGCATGGATGTTGGAACCTTAAACCCCAAACCAAGAACCCTCAACCTGGGAGGGTGGAATGAATGATGGATGTACCTGCACTTGCGGCATGAAGGAGGCAGTGGCGCCATCGTATGTGAAGGACTGCAGGGACGTGGGCTCGGTGGTAATCCACACGTAGCCGCGGCTGAACATGCCCAGCTCCACCGCTGGTAGCGGGGTGGGGAAGACGAGTATATGAGGGGATTTGGAGGTGGGGAACAGGGTGTGGAGTGAGTGAGTGAGTGAGTGACTGGAGAGACGTGGGCTCGGTGGTAATCCACACATAGCCGCGGCATGCCCAGCTCCACCGCTGGTAGGGGGGTGGGAATGGGAGTGGGGGAAGTGGGTAGGGTATGTCGTGATTGTTCAGAGGGAGGAGGTGAGCTCCGTGGTGATCCACACGTAGCCGCGGCTGAACATGCCCTACGCCTGGCGTGTACCTGCTTTGAGCAGGGCGTCAGGCGGCCCATCGTCCCCTGCATGGACGATCACAACTGATGTGCGCACTAGCTACATATTGTACAGGTAGCCACAGTGCGTCCGCGTCTACATACAGTGTACCTATGCCTAGCATGCACGTACCTGCTTTGAGCACAGCGTCAGGACCGGCACCCCCCGCGTGGATGATCATCACTGATGTGCGCACTCACTGCAGCTGCTCCAGTGAGGAGTATACATCACTTGTCTACACACAGTGCAGTATATGTACCTATGCCTCGTTTGTACCTGCTTTGAGCACGGCGTCAGGGCCATCGCCCCCTGCATGGATGATCATGACTGACGTGCGCACTTGCTGCAGCTTCTCCAGAGAGGAACGCGCGTCGTCATACTCCCTCCCGCGCTTCAATGCTACTCGTGCTACTACCGGGTGTTGCCAGCCCTGGTGGAGAAGGAAGAAAGGAGAGGGGAGAGGGAGGAGGGGAGAGGGAAGATGGGGGAGGGGAGAGGGGGGAGGGGAGAGGGAAGATGGGGGAGGGCAGGGAAGAGAACAAGGGCGTCCAGTAACCATCAATAGAATCACAGACGTGCCTCTCAAATCAAGAGTCTTACCGCCTGAACTGATGATTCGCCCACTTGATGATCCACCCATCTGCCTGAAATGATAATCCCTCTTTCCTTTTTTCGTTTGGTTCAAGGCGCGTCATAATCCCATCCCAAAGTATTGACCCACCCATCGGTTCTGCAGAATGTTCTCCAGCACGCTGATGCCGTTCCGCCCAAACCGGTCATCTGTATTGACCCTAACAATATGTTGCCCACCCATCTGTTGCCAGCCCATCAGTCGCCCACACACTCGCCTACCATCTCCCTTCGCCTACCCATCGGTTCTGCAGAATGTTCTCCAGCACGCTGATGCCGTTCTGCCCAAACCGGTCGTCTGTGAAGATGGCCACAAAGTGCTTGTAGCCGTACAGCGCCAGCAGGTCTGGGGGAGGATGGGGGAGGGGAGGGGATGGCCAAGAGGGGAGGGAATGGTCAAGAGGAGAGGGGGGAAAGGACGGAGGTCGTCTGTGAAGATGGCCACAAAGTGCCTGTAGCGGTACAGCGCCAGCAGGTCTGGGTGGAGCAGAGGGAAAGGCGAAAAGGGGCGGGGATAATGAAATAGGTTGGGAGGGGGGAAAGGAGAGCGGTCGTCTGTGAAGATGGCCACAAAGTGCCTGTAGCGGTACAGCGCCAGCAGGTCTGGGTGGAGCAGAGGGAAAGGCGAAAAGGGGCGGGGATAATGAAATAGGTTGGGAGGGGGGAAAGGAGAGCGGTCGTCTGTGAAGATGGCCACAAAGTGCCTGTAGCGGTACAGCGCCAGCAGGTCTGGGTGGAGCAGAGGGAAAGGCGAAAAGGGGCGGGGATAATGAAATAGGTTGGGAGGGGGGAAAGGAGAGCGGTCGTCTGTGAAGATGGCCACAAAGTGCCTGTAGCGGTACAGCGCCAGCAGGTCTGGGTGGAGCAGAGGGAAAGGCGAAAAGGGGCGGGGATAATGAAATAGGTTGGGAGGGGGGAAAGGAGAGCGGTCGTCTGTGAAGATGGCCACAAATTGCCTGTAGCGGTACAGCTCCAGCAGGTCTGCGATCAGCACAGAAGACGGCCACGGTGGGGAGGTGGGGAAGGGGGAGAAGGAAATGAAGCAGAGGGTTTGGGCCACGAAGTACCTTGAGCAGTACAGAGCCAGGAAGTCTGCGAGCAGAGGGAATGAGCAAGAGGGGCGGGACATGAAAGGGAGAGAGGGGGCGGGCGAAGTGCTTGTAGGCACTACTACTAGGCGTGGTGCACACGAAATAGGGCCGCTGGCGCGAGGTGGTGAGGAGGGGGTGTTGGAGGTTCCAGCAGCAAAGAATGCACGAGCCATTCCCCCAGCTAATCTCATCGCACCAGCAGTGCCACTCACCTGCTATCGCTTCCATTTTTGTGGCGTCACTGGGCACGGTGCGCATGAAATAGGGCCACTGGAGCGAGCGAGGTGGTGAGCAAGGATGGGGTGTTGGAGGCTCCACTCCAGAATGGGCAGCAAGCACCGGCTACTCCCCAGATAATGCCATTGCAGCACGAACACCAGTTTTGAGGCGCCTCAAAACTAGAATGGGCAGCAAGCACCGGCTACTCCCCAGATAATGCCATTGCAGCACGAACGAACACCACTCACCAGCGATTGCCTCCATCTTGGTGGCGTCACTAGGAACAGTGCGCATGAAGTAGGGCCACTGGCGCGAGCGAGGTGGTGAGCAAGGATGGGGTGTTGGAGGCTCCAGAAAGGGCTGGGCTGTAAGCACCTGCTACCCCACACCAGCTATTGCCATCTCATCCCAGTGGAAGCGTCACTCACCAGCGATTGCTTCCATTTTTGTAGCGTCACTGGGAACAGTGCGCATGAAGTAGGGCCACTGGCGCGAGGTGGTGAGGAGGAGGTCGGTGGCGGAGTAGGAGAGCAGGGGGATGCGCGTTGTGCCCGCCAGCCCGCTCAGCAGCGCCACCTGGCTGGACGTGGTGGGGCCGATGATGGCTAGAGGCTTCTCCTGCAGCATCAGGTGCAGGCCTGTGGGGGGGAGGGGAGGAGGGGAGGCAGGGAAGCGGTGAAGGAAAGAGATCTGAAGTGCCTGAATGGCCACTCAGCAGCGCCACCTGGCTGCTCGTGGTGGGGCCGATGATGGCTAGAGGCTTCTCCTGCAGCATCAGGTGCAGGCCTGTGGGGGGGAGGGGAGGAGGGGAGGCAGGGAAGCGGTGAAGGAAAGAGATCTGAAGTGCCTGAATGGCCACTCAGCAGCGCCACCTGGCTGCTCGTGGTGGGGCCGATGATGGCTAGAGGCTTCTCCTGCAGCATCAGGTGCAGGCCTGTGGGGGGGAGGGGAGGAGGGGAGGCAGGGAAGCGGTGAAGGAAAGAGATCTGAAGTGCCTGAATGGCCACTCAGCAGCGCCACCTGGCTGCTCGTGGTGGGGCCGATGATGGCTAGAGGCTTCTCCTGCAGCATCAGGTGCAGGCCTGTGGGGGGGAGGGGAGGAGGGGAGGCAGGGAATCGGTGAAGGAAAGAGATATGAAGTGCCTGAATGGCCACTCAGCAGCGCCACCTGGCTGCTCGTGGTGGGGCCGATGATGGCTAGAGGCTTCTCCTGCAGCATCAGGTGCAGGCCTGTGGGGGGGAGGGGAGGAGGGGAGGCAGGGAAGCGGTGAAGGAAAGAGATCTGAAGTGCCTGAATGGCCACTCAGCAGCGCCACCTGGCTGCTCGTGGTGGGGCCGATGATGGCTAGAGGCTTCTCCTGCAGCATCAGGTGCAGGCCTGTGGGGGGGAGGGGAGGAGGGGAGGCAGGGAAGCGGTGAAGGAAAGAGATCTGAAGTGCCTGAATGGCCGCTCAGCAGCGCCACCTGGCTGCTCGTGGTGGGGCCGATGATGGCTAGAGGCTTCTCCTGCAGCATCAGGTGCAGGCCTGTGGGGGGGAGGGGAGGAGGGGAGGCAGGGAAGCGGTGAAGGAAAGAGATCTGAAGTGCCTGAATGGCCGCTCAGCAGCGCCACCTGGCTGCTCGTGGTGGGGCCGATGATGGCTATAGGCCTCTCCTGCAGCATCAGGTGCAGGCCTGTGGGGGGGAGGGGAGGGGAGGGGAAGAGGTGGGGAGGAGGGACCTCTGAGTTGACTTGACTTGATGATATATAATGTCCCCCTCCATTGCCTACTTCTTCATTTTTATATTTCACTTTTGTGCTTCCTTCACTTGACGTCTGAGTCGACTTGACTTCTGTTTGTGTGATTATGTGCTCTGCATACCTGTCATTTGGCCCTGGAAGGGCGTGTATGTGCAGTTGGCTGCAACCAGCTTGATCTTGGCGCCTAGAAGCAGGGGAGTTTTGAGTCGACTCAGAACTCACAGGGACCATGTGTGCGTATCTGCTGCTTTGCGCACCTGCCATTTGGCCGGGGAAGGGCGTGTATTTGCAGTTCGCTGCAACCAGCTTGATTTTGACGCCGGGTAGAAGCGAGGAATCGTTGCTCACATGATGAGCCGCCAGCTGAATGGCTGCACAGGGATGAAAAGGGGTTCAAAACGGTGAGCGTTTGGCATTATATCTGGAAAAGAGAGGGATGGGTGGAGGTTGAGAGAGGGATGGGTGGAAGCCAAAGGGGAGAGAGGGATGGGTGGAAGGCGGGGGGAGGAGGAGAGAGATGGGCGGAAGGAGGAATCATGACTGCAGGGGGTGGAGGGGGTCCTCATGCCCCAAATGGGACGACGGACGCGGAATGTTGGCGGAATTCAAGACTGGCGTCAGATTCAATGAACGGCTGAGCGCGACGGAGCGTCTAATCAAAGCAGCCTGTGCAAATGAGAGTCGGTCGGAGCAGCGGCTTAAGTTGCCGTGCGAGAGCTGTCGTCCGTTGACTGACACGTGGATGATTGTTTACATTTGGGTGAGTGACTTTAGGGTCGGCGACTCTTATAAGGTGCCATTTTGACCTTTGAAGACGAGATACCCGTAATTTACGCACAGATTAAGCTTATGATTGACTATCTGCATGATTTCGATAAGTCTGAATCAGAATACGATGGTCCGAAACGACGTTCACGCGACGCAATCTCGTCAACCTAAGGCCGACAAGATCTATAGGACCTGATCGGAAAGGGTAACCCGGTAACCGGAAATGAATGTCATGGAGTAGATCTTCTGACCCCGGCCGGCATAATGCCTCAACGGCGGCCAATAAAGAAAGCTCGTGGGCTCAGTGAGCGACGTTGTTACTGAATCTGACATTGTTACTGCGAGACTACATTGGTTTCTGAATCTGCCGAGCTGCGTTCGGTCCTCGCGTCTCACCGGAAAAGAAGGAAACCCCGTCGGCCGTGTCGAGCGGAACGAGGCATCCTATCGTTATCTCTGACGGAAAATAGCTCTTCTTGGACGGTAACTTTGACGGAACGGTACCATTCCGCGTCTCTACTCCTTCTCGCTGCTGCCGGAGAGGAACGTCAGCCCAAACGGCCTTGCAAATCGACGCAACGAGGAGAACAAGCGTTATCTGAAGCAGAAGGAACCAAGCCTGCGGCGACCGCGAAGGTCGATGTCGCCTTGACATTGTGGCATTCTCCTGACGTGACAGCTAGTCCGACTGGGATAGTATTGACCCAAACTGGCAAAAAAAAAGTAATCGATTAAATACGACGTCCAGGGTGAAACCTTGAGAACCTCGTCGCCATGAAACTAAAAAAATGCGGTGCAGTGCTGCTATCCTCAGTAAACTACAGCATGTTCGCTGTTCCAACCACCTCTCTCACTCTTGTCGCACTTGCTTTTCCTACTGTTACGAGTGCAATTGAGTGAGCGAACGAGAACTGCACTATCGAAGCAAGAGTACAATGAGCGAAGGCATGAGCGAAGAATATATAGCGAAACTACAGTGGTAACGGTAATGTGTGGAAAATGGGGTGCGCGACGGGCCTGGTGCCGAGGTTGGGAAAGTGTCGAGGCGGAGGTCCGGAGCGCGGGTTACCAACCGAACCGTGAGGTTGGGTCGCGTCGTGAATGGTGGCGGGAATGGTGTCGAAGCGAGTGTCGCGAGTGGTAACGGATTACTGTTGGGTGCTGTGGGTGGGAACAGTGGTGTACGCGCTGAGCAGGGACGCGAAGTAAGGAAAAGGAAATTTCCTTACACTACCGCCCCTCCCCAAGGAGGCCCCTCTTACGAGAGCGCGTGTACATCTCGGAAGTTTCGGCTTCGCAGATACTCGGTGAGGACAGGGTGTTTCTCAATTCTATCCAGGGGGACCCAGTTGTCTTCGGTGGGTGTGCGGTCCTTCCAACGGATCAGGAATTCGATTCTGCGGGCTCCCCGTGGGTCACGTACTCGATGGCTCAGTATTTTCTCAGGTGTGATGACCGGCTCAGTTGGAGGTCGGGTCATGCTGGCGGGGCGGTTGCGGGGCAGTTGGCTGGTGGATGGCACGTATGGGCGAAGCAGGCTGACGTGGAATGACGGGCTGACGTACCAGTCAGCAGGGAGGAGGAGGTGGGCGGTGACGGGTGTGATCATGTGGCTGATGCGAAATGGCCCGCAATATCGGGGGCGGAGTTTCGGGGTGATGGGCAGGCGGAGGTTTTGGGTGTCGAGTAAAACTAGGTCGTCTGGCTGGTAAGTGACGGGGCGGCGGTGTCGGTCGGCGTTGCGCTTAGCGATGACGTTTGATTTTTTTATTGCTTCTGCTGCTCGGGTCCGTGCTGCTTGTAATATCTCTGCGAACTGTTGTGCGCGTGGGACTGGGTTGTCGGGATTCGGGGTCATGGGCACTGTGGGGTCTTGTCCGTAGTTCAGGTAAAACGGTGACTGTTGGGTCGTGGCGGATGGTGAGTTATTGTATGCGAATTCGATGAGTGGCAGTTGCTGTTCCCACGTGGTCGGGTCGTCGCACGTGGCCCGGATGAGCTGTTCCATGGTCTGATTTGTCCGTTCTGTCTGTCCGTCGGTTTCGGGGTGGTACGATGAACTGAATTGCAGTCGCGTGCCGAACTGCTGCCACAGGTTCCGCCAGAAGTTGCTGGTGAATTTCGTATCTCTGTCGCTGATGATCGATGCAGTCGTACGACGGTGGCGATGAAGAGGCGGGCTGTTTCTTCGGCTGTGATTGATTTCTTGCAGGCTGCGAAGTGTGCCATTTTCGTCAGTCGATCGACGACGACCAGGATCGCGTCATTCCCACTCGTTCCGGCAGGTAACCCCGTGACGAAGTCCATCGTCACCTGCTGCCAAGCACGCTCTGGGGGTGGGATCGGCTGCAACTGTCCTGCCGGCCGCTTCCGTGATGACTTCATGATCTGGCAAGTGGGACACGATGCCACGTGTCGTTGAACGTCGGTCAACATTTCGGGCCAGTAATATTACCGCTGTAGCTGCTGCCGTGTTTTCTCTACCCCGAAATGTCCCGAGGTAATTCCGTCGTGTGCCTCCTGTAACAGTAATTCCCGTAGCAGTGTGTACCCCGGTACCCAGATGCGGTCGGTCCCGGCTTTTACGTAATAGACTCCTTTTGCTGCTGCGAACTGCTGCGAATTTCCTCCTGTGAAGAATGGGTTCGTTTGGTATCCGTGGGTAAATAGTCCGGTCAGTAGCGGGCTGGTCTGGGCGAGTAGTATCGCGTGGATCTGGGCAGTGGGTCGGGTCAGTGCGTCGGCGATGTTCGAGGCTCCCTTTTTATAGGTGACCGTGTAATGAAAATTGGACTCGAGGAAATCGAGCCAGCGAATCTGTCGTGGGTTGAGGTGGGGCTGTGCGCGGAGGTACTGTAGTGATCGGTGGTCTGTCCGTACTGTCACGTCTGCGCCGGTCAAGTAACAGCGCCATACTTTGAACACATGCACGATCGCGAGCATTTCGCGGTCGTGTATCGGGTAGTTTTTTTCGAGCGGATGCAGCTTTCGTGACTCGTATGCGATAGGCTGTAGGCCGTTGCCGAAATCCTGTAGCAGTACGGCTCCAATGGCGATGTCGCTTGCGTCTGTAATAACTTCGAAAGGGCGGTGTGGGTCAGCGATGCGCAGTACGGGCGGGGAGCAGAGGACGGTTTTCAGGGCAGAGAAGGCAGCATGCTCTTTCTCCCCCCACGTAAAAATGACCCCCTTTCGTAGCAGATCCGTCAGTGGGGCTGTTAATTGTGCCATGTCGGGGACGAACCGACGCACATACTTAACGAACCCTAAAAAACTCTGCAGCTCCGTGATGTTTGTCGGGGGATGCCACGCTTTTACCGTGTCCAACTTCTTCGGGTCGATTTCAACCCCAGCCTCCGAAATAACGTGCCCTAAAAACTCTAGCCTGTCTTGAAAGAACTCGCACTTGGAACCCTTGGTCAGTAGTCTGTGCTCGTCTAAAACCTTAAATACTGCTTCCAGATCTGCTAAGTGCTGCTGCTTGTCCCGACTGTAAACCAGGATGTCGTCGAGGTAAACTATCACGCATTTATCTAAGAGCGGCCTAAACGCCTCGTTCATGGTCATCTGAAAAGTCGCCGGTGCGTTGGTCAGTCCGAATGGCATCACTGTGTATTCGAATGATCCGTATCTAGTCCTGAAAGCTGTTTTGGCGCAGTCCGATGGTTCGACCCTAATCTGGTGGTAACCTCCCCGTAAATCTATTTTCGAAAAAAACCCGTGCTGTTCGCAGTTGGTCTATCAGTTCGTCGGCGCGGGGAATGGGGTATCGCGATTTGACTGTTACCCGGTTCAGTGCTCTGTAGTCGATGCACATGCGAAACCCTCCATCTTTTTTCGGTGTGAACAGTATCGGTGCGGCAAACGGTGACGAGCTCGGTCGGATGATTTTTTTCTCTAATAGGTAATCTAACTGCTTCCTCAGTTCGTCGAGCTCGGGTTGTGTCAGACTGAACTGTCGCTGTACGGTTGGCTGTGCCCCCGGTTCTAACTCTATGCGATGGTCGTGTGCCCGCTGAGGCGGCAGTCCCTCCGGTAAATCATCCGGAAAAATCCCCGGGTATCGTTTCAACAGTTCCTGCAGTTCGGGCGGTACCGCTGCCAGCAGTTTCTGAAAATCACTCGGCTGCTCTGCTTCTCCTATCAATGCTATATCTACTGCGTACACGTCAGCTCCAGCGGCGACAGCCCGTTTCATCGTGACGGCGTTGACGTGGACCGTTGAAGACTCGGGCGACTGCCAGCGAGGTAGCACGACCCAGTTACCGCTACTTCGCACAGTGCAGCTACCCGTCGTCCAGTCAATTCGCGGGTTATACCGTCGCAGCCAATCACGTCCCAGTAGAATGTCGTGCCCATC